GTGATGTTTAAACTATATACTATTTCAATAATTATTAATATTTCAATAAATATTCTTTCACACAGGAAGCAAAGTTTACGAAGCGAATCCCGATACGAAGAGACTTTACGACGATTTATTGTCCAATTATAATAGATTGATACGTCCTGTTAGTAATAATTCGAATACTTTAACAGTTTGGCTGGGATTAAAGTTGTCACAATTAATAGAAATGGTATATATTATATGGACACTGTGTGCTCTCTATCTCATTAAAATAATATTTCGAGACTTTAAAAATATTATTTAAGTCTTTATTTGTTAAAATTATTATTTAAGAATCTTACAGGAAATTAACGATTGATATTTATTACAGAATTTAAAGAATCAAGTCATGACAACGAATGTCTGGGTAGAGCAGGTAACATCTGTCGGTTTGATATTACTTTTTTTTTTACTTACACAACAGTATCATATATCGACCGTTTATAGACAGATTTACAAATTCTATTTGTTCTTTGCAGAAATGGTTTGACTATAAATTACAGTGGAATCCACAAGAGTATGGTGGTATAGAAATGTTATATGTGCCTTCCGAAAACATATGGCTTCCGGACATTGTGCTATACAACAAGTAAATTGCAACGGAAATTTTTTGATAAAATACGATTGAGAGATCCATGTGATATTTTCTCCAAATAAAAAAATTAATAAATTTACTTGCGATCCGCTAAGAGAATCGAGAAATTTATTTATTAATAAATTAGACGAATATATGGGGTTATATAAAGCGGCGTGGAAAAGCAAACTTTTAATCTTCTAATCTTCTCTCGTTTGTTGTACAGCGCAGATGGAAATTACGAAGTAACGTTAATGACGAAGGCCACTCTGAAATTTACCGGCGAAGTATTTTGGAAACCGCCGGCTATTTACAAGTCATCCTGCGAGATTAACGTGGAGTATTTCCCGTTTGATGAGCAATCGTGCATTATGAAATTTGGCTCGTGGACTTACAACGGTGCTCAGGTTAATAATGTGTATTTATATGCAAACGATATAAAATATCCTTAAAAAAACTTTTAATATTGTTAATCAAAATGGGATTCTTTATTTAAAATCAATATTTAATTTTATAATTTTATTAATTTAAAAAATTTCTTTTTTGCGAATTAAGCCTTATCACAAAATAATTTAACGCAATCATATTGTTTGAATGCTTTTTTATTCACTAAAATTAAAATTAAACTCCTTGTACTCATAAAATATAAAAAGCTTGTACTCATAAAATGTAAAAGCTTAATTATCCGAAGCTCTGAAAATAGCACGTATATAGATATGTTATATTGATTAAGTGTGTAATGTGAAAAATTAAAATACTACAATAAATATGATTTCAAATTAGACAAAAATTTAAAAAGTTAAAAGAACATTCTGTATAACTTATCGTTTAAATAATTTTTAATTCAATTTTTTTATATCTTTATCTCTATTTAAATTGAAAATCCATCATAATTGCTAATTTTATTTCTACGCACAATATTTATCGTGATAAGTCTTAATCGCTTTGTAAGTCTCTAGATTATACCACTTTGACTTCAACAAAGTATTTCAAAAGCGTGCTTTGTAAAGCCTGTTGCCCACAGGTAGATCTGAAGCATATGAAACAAGAAGTTGGTAGCAATTTAGTTGATGTCGGCATAGATCTCAGCGATTTTTACCTATCGGTGGAATGGGATATTCTTGAAGTACCAGCAGCACGCAACGAAGAATATTATCCGTGTTGTGTAGAACCTTATTCGGGTAAGTGTATTTGCAAAGAATTAATAACAGTTTAAGTTTTAACCAGAATAAACAATATTTCGCTCGTTCCAATTATTTCCATATTGTGTTGGTGGAGCGATATTTAGATTTTCATCCAATTTTATCTTGGATAATTTGCCAAATAATTATTATTATGATTTAATTACAGATATCACATTCAATATTACGATGAGAAGAAAAACTCTATTTTATACTGTCAACCTTATTATTCCATGTGTTGGCATTACGTTTTTAACGGTGCTTGTTTTTTATCTGCCCAGCGATTCCGGTGAGAAGGTAAATATATCTTTCGAATCAGAATCATTAAAGATTCTCTGTCGAGAAGTCATGAAAGTTTAGTTTGTTTTGGAAAAGCTTCTTATAACGAATTGTAATATATTTCGACACAGGAACGTACGAAAATATCACGTTTTGACGAAATTAGCCACGAATTTGATAGTATAATTTTTTTGTACAAGAAATACTTGATTCTATTTTGTCATAATTATTTTGTATATTTGTCACGCAGGTGTCATTGTGTTCTTCCATTCTCCTCTCACTGACGGTGTTCTTCTTGCTATTAGCCGAGATTATTCCCCCAACATCGTTGGCCATACCTTTGCTCGGAAAATATTTATTGTTCACCATGATTTTAGTTACTTTATCCATTTGGATTACAGTCTGCGTCTTAAATGTGCATTTCAGGTAAGTCGCGCGTTTGTTATAAAAATAAAGACAAAACAATTGCATATTAAAATGCATTATATTATGAGTGTCTTTAATTTTAGAATTAATTAATGATTAATTAAATAACATAGGTCGCCTTCCACGCATAATATGTCGCCATGGGTGAGACAAGTATTTCTGAATTGGATGCCAAGGGTATTAATGATGCGTCGCACACCATATTCTACACCAGAATACGATGATGCTTACATGGATAGCGCGTACACTAATGAAATAGATTTCAGGTAATATCGATTTCTCATTAATTGAATTTAAAGATATTTAAGTATTTAATATTCTAAAAATACAATCATATTAATTTTAAAAAATTTTTTTATATACATGTATCATCTTTGAAGAGAATGTGTTGATATAAAATTTGATGAGAAAAAATATAAATCAAAAAACCTTGGTCAAACATATTATTTGTAATAAAATGTGTTGTAAGTCAACATTAATAAGGACTTATTGAAAAATCGTATTAGATAATAAAAGATATAAATACATTAGAGATATTTAAAAAATATTGCCGTTTGCTGTTACAAATAAAAATTGTACACCATTAGATTAATTCATGTTAAAGTAAATTCCATCACTTAAAAACGTTGATTTTAAGAGCAACATGCACATACTTCGTCCGTCTTTAATTCTTTAATTTTTAACAGTGTAAGCGATTATCCTCTGGAACTAAAAGGAAGCCCAGATGCTTTCGAAAGCGTCACTTCTACATACAAGAGTATCAGAGATGATGATGCACGACACGTGCCGCACGCTTCAGGTAATATTTTTTTAATATTTTGATGCAATTGACGATTATATAAATTAGTGTACTACCATTGGATAATTTTTCTAGAATAAAGAGAAATCAAATTTGTATGAAAACTTAGCCATACGTTTATTACACGCAATTTTATACATTATTGTAAAATATTCGTAAAAATAAAATAGTAGGACATTGATTATAATTTTTTTTCCACCGTATTACATAACTCATTTAAAGATTACATGATATAAATCGTAAGCGTATCGAACGAAGGAAATTAGTTTTACAAAAAATCATATTGATCAAACACATTTCAGTTACTGACAGCGAAAATACGATGCCGAAACATTTATCTCCAGATGTCATATCAGCTCTCAAGGGTGTGCGTTTTATTGCTCAACACATAAAAGACGCGGACAAAGATAATGAGGTAAATAATTTGTCTTTTAATGTTTTCACATTATACATGTTTCATTATACATGTATCATTATAATTCTCTTGTTTCATTCTCAATTTTTCTCTAACATTTTTTTACATATATGAAAGATTATAATTATATTTTTCACAATATCTATATATGTATAATCGTATCGATATATCTATACAAGTACGTATATACAATATCGACAGGATTAACAATAATTTTAATAATTAAGTCTTGTCTCGCATTTGAAAAAGTGTCTATCCGTTCTCACAGGTCATAGAAGATTGGAAATTCGTAGCTATGGTTTTGGACAGATTCTTTCTTTGGGTATTTACTATCGCGTGCATCGGTGGCACGGTGGGTATAATATGTCAAGCGCCTAGTCTGTACGACACCCGAAAACCTGTGGACCAACAACTCTCCAGTATATCATTACGCAATTACATGTATCCGCCAATGAATAGAACTTTTGATGAGGACTAATTAATTATTGTGACGCGTGCAAAAGTGACTCGTATGTAAAAAAAACACGCATGAACACAGTAATACATTACATTCCTCTAAAATATACTTGGCACAACACATACATTCATACATACACACACACATACACACATGTTCACTCTCTACATCCATATATATATATATATCTGCGAACAAATTTATCATTTTTTTTAATAAAAATTTCTGCCCTCAACAAAGCAAAATATTAAATAATCACCGCAATGAAAACATTATTGAATGAACATTATTACAGTTATTCAATATATATTATTAATATATATTGTCAGATATCAGGGTAATCACAATCGAGCAGTGTAAGAACAATAATACATACATACTGAGTATGCACGAATCTTGTAGAGCGATTATCCGATACATATTTCTTTTTGCACTAGAAATCTCCGATTATATAATTAAACATTATACAAGAATTAAAGATTATAGTATAATTTAAACATTTCATTATAAGGCTTCCAGTTCTTCATTGCAGCAATGCAGAATTATGCGCGAGAAATTGTATGAATTTTTACTCGCACTATACATCGAAATACATTTTTTTCATATATTACAACTCTAGGAATGTTCTAGATTAGATTTGTGAAATGTACCTAAAATTTTCTTTTTGATCAAATTAAATAAATAATCGTAAATTTCATCAAGAATTCGTTGCAGTGAAAACTGCAATGAAAGACCAAAAAGTCTTAAATGCTATAAGTATTGTCAAACATATTTTCCAAACATGTTAAACTTAAATAACTTTAACACAAATAAGATGATTACAGCATAAATTTAACAGTCCTTGCTTATAAGAAATTTTATCATGTTTAATAAAAAACAAAGATAACTTTATTCTCATTTATATCACATTTATACGATCAATTTCAAAGTAAAAAATATATTTACTGTATATTCATTGTAGTAAAATCAGAATCGACTAACATTATATTCAGTTCACCGAAAGTGAGATTGGACGAAACATAAATTGTATTTATATTTATTATTATATATGCAATGTTATATCAAAGTTATTAGAAATAAAAGTCTAATTTAAACTCCTTCACAAGAACAATTATAATAAAAATAAAGTGATGCATGAAATGTCATCTCCGATTGAGTTTAGTAAATAAGAAAGAAAAATGCATCCTTACAAAGGAAATAATTTTGAAAAAACTCTGTATAGAGTATATGTAATTTTTTTATCACACAATTCTTTATTCTAAATCAATTATCATGTATTCTGGTGATTCACTCGTACTACTAATAGAACTTGTTTGCGGTTTCTTAGGCGACGAAATACCACTTGCTGGTTTCTTTGTACTTTGAGTCGGCGTGTTATCTTCATCATCATCCTCGCTATCCGATATCAAATCAATAATGACAGCGCGTTTCTTTTCTTTTGGTGCAGGAGTAGTAGGATTACTTTCATCTAAACAAATAAATAAAATATTCATCATTTGCAGTCCTTATCTAATATATACAAAAAAATTTCAAGTAACTTGAATTAAATTTGAAAAAAATCTCAATCTCTTTTCAACTATTTGCTCAATAAGTTAGATTCTAAAACTAGGTGCTACAATATCATTATTTAATAAAATGCTACAATACATTATCTAATAAAATGCATTTTTTCCTCACCTAGATCCACAGTGTCTACATCAATTTTATTTTCTCGTGACGAGGCGCCGTCTCCCGGCGCTTTTGTTTCCGTTTTCTCTTTATCTTTCTCTTTCTTCAATACTAAGTTTTCCCACGAACCGTCTTGCAACAACTGAATCTCATTTACATCCGGCAGTAACTTATTTGAGTTAAGAACTTCTTGGAAGTATCCATCGATCACAAGATGATCATAGAGCGCCGGCTTATCACAAACTGGACAGTTCCAAGTAGGTTTCCGTTCGTTCATTTGTAGGAACAAAGAAGCATCGAAACATTGTAAATGAAAACATGTTGATGCTCGACATGGCGTAGACATTCTCATCTTTCCTAAAGGACAAGCTAACGATACTCTTAATGACGTGGTAGCTATTTCGCTATCTGCATCTTCATTTAATTTCTCCTTAACTGTAAAATAAGTCACAATTATTTTTGTGATACTCTTCTCACAATTAATCTTAATAGTGTTTATAATCGTAAAATAAGTGCTCACTTAATCCCCTAGTATAATCAGATTGTCTTGGGCCTCTGTTTTTTAATCTAGTGAGTAATTCTGCGCTGGTTAATTTTCTGACGAGATACACCGCCATTGCATATCGTCTACCATAATCAGCTGACCATGTAACACGGATTTCATTTCCGACCGTAGGAGACAGCTTCACCAAAGGACTGATATTAACAGGTCGTGGTGGTCTCTTTGGTTCTACGCTTGGTTTATTAGTAGGTATAGGATTCTGAAAAAAAAGTACAAATATTCATTATTTTCCACAATAATTTATCAGATCGTTTAAATATTAATAAAGAGAAAAATTATATATCTACTCAGTATTTTACAATTTTACATCTGACATTATCGCAATTGTACGTAGAATTTTGAAAGAGATATTTATATATCCAATTTAACTTACAGGTAAGGGGCACAGTTTTCCATTAACTTTCACTCCAATATTTGGAGGAAAATAGTCTTCTTGTTCGCATGACGTTTCTTGTAAACAGAATCGCATTTGTACCTATTGAAACATAAATTGTATGTACATAAACTTTATAAAAATGTGAAAAATAGCATTAAATATATCTTAACTATTTTTTATAAGTTCTCTTTTTCTAATAATATTCTATAAACAATATACTTTACACGCAAGTTCTCAACATACCTGTACAACATAATCCATTTTACTTCCAGCTCGACAGTCGCGTGAACTGGCAATATCAGTGGCTTGTTGTGGAGTTAAATGAAATAAAAATGTGTTTTCTTGCAATCTCATTGTTCCCTGTGGCATTAAACTAGAAGGTTTCAATAATTCACTTAATAAGTCAAAAAATGGAAGTCTCTTTAGTCTAACATCTGGGTGAATCGGGTATTGACTCGTAGGTTGTATATGCAATGGTGTTGGTAAGACTTTGGTTTGATACTGATATGGATTATATGCTGCACTTGCTGTACGCTGAAAAAATTTCTTTAATGTATGTCTATTCTCCAATATATTATTTTAATTCATGAGAAAGTCTGTGTTTAATTTTTCATACATCTTAAACATAATAAATTTTTATTTACCTGTGATGCTACACTAGTATCCCATAGTTGCGCACCAGTTGTCGGACCAACTAGTTGTTTGGCCCTAGGTTGTTGAGGTATAGATGCTTGATGCGCTGGAGTCAGTTCCTTCCCAGCAGAAATGGATGCTTGTTGCTGTTGTTGTTGACTAATTGCTTGTCTTGAAATATAAATATTTTTGTTTCATATAAATAATCCTATTTTTAAGCACATATACAAAATGTGATAATTGATAAATAATATATCTACCTTGTGGAATAATAATTTCTATTGTGCATATTTTGATCGATTTGTGGCTCGGAGGTACTGCCAGTTTGGCCATACATTTGATGCGCTGCCATTTGATCTGCTCTACAGAAAATATTTCTTTTCAGATGTGAGGTAACAAAAATGCTTTTTACTTACAGACAATTTTTAAAAACCGATTAATTATAATTGTTTATATCATAATTAGATACTTTCTATAGACGTTTCATTCAGATATCTGGACTTTCACTTACTGTATTGTCTTATACAATTCACGAATCTTTAAGCGTATAGCTGGATGTGATCTCAAGCGTAATAATTCCAATGCTCGTGCTTGCAACTCGTTCTTTCTACCAGATTTATTTCTACCAGCAAAACCAAGAAGCATCTGAAGCTCAGACACTCGAAAACTTAATACCATATTCTGTAATAAAAACATTCCATTGCAGGACATCCCACAAAAATTCCGTGATCTCTCACAACAATAAAAATATCTAACAGCAACTGATATTGTGTGTATGTATAAAAAAAACCATATTACTACCTAATCAAGGCATAGCGCTTCTCTAACAAAGGTTCGCACGTAGAGCTCGAAATCCCATATCGTGCGTGAACTTTCGTTCTACTTGAATATTTTACAAAGCCACCAAGACGAGCACCCAGTGTCATATGGATGACATGGCGACACGTGACATACAATATCTCGAGAATAATCTCTGCGGAACGAAATCCCGGGAAGTGCTTAGCGCAACGTCTTCGAATTCGATCGCGGGAGCAGCCAGGCGCGCGATTAACGCCCGCATGGACGGGTCACACCGGAGAATTTCGGAGAAAATTTGACAGGTTACCCATGTAGGCAGTCGCGTACGAGAGAGCGCCTCGTATCGCCAGTGGTCGCTCGCATTCTCATCGTGCGACCTGCGGGTGGGGTGGTCCGTCAACTGCGATTTACCAATACTGTTCGTCCGGCAGACACGGCTGACAACGAGAGTTCCGGAATGCCTAATCACAGCTCTCGAGTCAGGAAACAGGAGAGAAACGCGCGCGCCGAGACTCTCGGGAGGAGAGATCCGTCTCTCTCGTCTTGGGCCCTCCCGGAAATGAAGCCGAGGAAAAAACGCTCACCGACCGCGCTGTTACAGCCCGAGCGAGAATCCGGCTGCGACGCCTTTATTTGTTTACAACGCGCACCCACTCACCTCGAGTTCCTCGGAATCCGCCATCTTCCTGGCCGACTTTTTTCCCGCAGCCGTTTTGTCGGATTAGTTATTTCGACACTCGCGGCTAAGGAGAAACGTGTATAACACGCGTGTGTGTACGCGACCGCCGCCGTGCCGTTACATCCGCCGGCCTCTTTCTCTCTCACATCCGCTCGCTCTCTCTCTCGCTCGCTCGCTCGCTCGCTCGCTCGATTCTCACGCTCTCGCTCGCTCGCTCGCGAATCGCCAAAATATTTGATTATAATTCTTTTCGCTCGCCTAGCCTCGAGTGCGACGTGATGTCTCGGAAGGGGAAAATTCAGCGAATTCAAAACGATCGGCGCGCGCGACGACACGCGACGAATATCGACATTTGACACTTGCCGTTTGAAAAGCTCATTTTCCAAAATGGCGCTGATGAGAGAATTTGTGTGGGTCTATAAGTCCGAAGAGGAGAGAACTTTGCGCGCCTTTTTCTATTTGACATAGTTGATCGAATTGTGCGAGAAATTAAGAAAAATCGTTTATTTTTTGCCTCTCTCTCTCTCTCTCTCTTGCTCTCGCAATCCAATATTTCACGTCGTCTTTTCGTTCGATGCGTAAATATTGGAACGTCTAGATTCGCATCTAGATATTCGTGCACCGTGACTATATAATTAAAAAATTAAAAAATGAATAACTTATAAATAAATTATTATTAAAATAATAATATTATTATTGTAAATATATAATATTATTAATATTATAATAAATATATAATATTATTATTATAAATATATAATAATTATTATTATAAATACATTTTTTATAACTATAAAGGTGCCTTTTCACATTTTGAGCGTCACCTTGACGTGAGAGGGCACCTTAAGCGTTGGATTGACCAATCAGGATGAAGAACCTTGGCACCGATCGGCCAATCAAATGCTTTCAGTTTCCAGCGAAATGAGAGCGCAGCCATATGTTTATGATTGAGAGTAATTGTTGTGACAGGGACAGGATTGATTGTGTGATATTTTCTTTTCATTCGAGAATATAGTAGAATTTCACTCTTTTTTCAATAATTTTATATAATCACGTAATTAAAGAAAAGATTCTACTCCATCAAACATATTCGTATTTCTCTTTAATATGAAGAAACGGAAGAGAGTTCGATCTACGAAGAATATGTATATATATACATATGTATATATATGTGAATTCGCATTGTTCGTAAGTTGCATGTATTTATAGTATATATATATATATATATGCACAAAAAACATTTATCAATAATATATATAGATCGAGCCAGAATTTACGATACAATAAAAAATATAAAACTCAAAATACAATTGAGAAATATGTGTATAATTGCGATATAATATGATAAATGTTAATATCTTCAATTTATTTGTTTTGTGCATCAAACATTCGTATATATATGCTTTTAGACAAGCTTTATCTGTATATATTATATAGTTATCTAACAACCAGATCTAATTAAATAATGACGAATCTTAATTGGTTTTTATTGTATTAACATTTTTTATCTCTCGATCTATATCTTATATCATATATTTCCTACATCATTTTCCTATCTTATTTCCTATCAAAATGACATTTTTTATACGATGGAATATTTATGCAATATACTTATAAGAGAGTCGAATGATATAGCATCATTCGACATTCTACTATTTTCTTCGTATCTTTCATCGATATAGATATTTTTTTAAACTTGACTTATATTTTCTCGTGTGCCGCAATCGACATTTTTTTATCCATATTTAAAAAAAATTGCACATTATTCTAAACTGTTCATATTTTTCTCTCATGTAATTTTATTTAATACTTATTTAGAAAAATTGAAATGTGTTTTCGATAAAAAAAAAGCACTTCGACATTAGTTAATATAATATTAATCGAGTATATATTAATTAAATAAGAAGCATTCTTATAAGATTCTCGATAAAACGATACAGTTCATTAAAACTATAAAGACACGTTCAGTCTTCATATATCTTGTTCCGAATACAACGATTTTTATGCACCTTGTTTGACATTCACAAGTCCTCTCGAATTATCAATAAACTTATCGTTAATCGAATCACAATTCTCTCAAGTCATATCTTATTTATTACGCTTTATATTACAAGAGCTTTGTTTGGCGATGTACTCTTGGCGCACTTGACTTATTATAATTTCAATATCTAATACTTTCAGATTTTGTGTTGCATTTTTCTTGTTAAATTCGAAATATTAAAAAGAAGAAAAACATTTTGTGCACTGAAAAAGAAATTATTAACTTGATTAAACCTTTCAACTAAATATTATTTTAACTAAACGTATAGTTGACTTAAATACTAATACATGTTTAATTAACAAAATAGTGATTTAGTTGAAAGGTTTACAATTAATCAAGTTAACAAATTTTTTTCAGTGTTTATTTCTAAATCAAATAGTGTTTAATTTCACGATATTGAAAAACAAAACACCTTCTTTATCATAGTTTATCATACATTATAGTCGATTTTACAAAAATGATAAAATATAGCTATATATATATATATATATATATATATATTATTCTTTTAACTTCTATTATTCTCAGGAAAAATATTAATTAATTTCTCAATATATTCTACATACATATATATTTTGAATCTCGCATTTCTTGTCATTAATAAATAATTTGCTAATATTTGGCAAGTTTAAGCGATTAATTGAATATTGAAATACATTTGAAGAAGAAAAAGATTTACATGATGCTTTGTAGACAAGGGAAATAAATCATTGGTAAAGAATTAAGACAGAATACAATAAAAACTATGACTTATGATATTAAAAATAAATTATCAAATTATGTCAGGCGATAATTAAAAATTGTAAAAAATCTGATGTATTATTATATTGCGACCTTTATTCCTATATATTTTTTTTGTATGGCTGATGAATAACGAGACTCTTCTCTTGATAAAGTTTTGTAATTTTATTACTGGAATCGGGATATTTTTTTATGCATTGTGAAATAATCGTAAAAGCTGACATATTTATTTAAAAGCGAAATGACAAGTTTGTGATGATTGAGAAGGAATCTTCATATTGACATATTTTTAATTTAAAATCTATTAAAATCTGTATACATAATTTAATTCTTTTGCTATACAGATTATCAAGTTAAAATCTTTTTATCCTTACATAAATCTCATATCTCTTGTAGAAATGTATCACTAGTAACGCCAATTAATCATTTATTTCGAGTACTTCAAATACTGATATACTCTAATTTAAGTACTTGAAATAAGTGATTAAATACTCGAAATAAATAAATTGGCGTTACTAGTGATAAATTTTAATAAGGGATGTATATGAATTGAAAGTGAGAGATAATTTATGTGCATAATTTGGTATCAAAGGATCGAATTGATAAGAAAATTTTAGGAAAATAATCTTATAGATTTTATATTTATATACATATATATAGATTTATTAAAATATCTTATAGCAAAATAATCTACTCCTACAATTACAATAGTAATATATTTCTAACAAGCATTGCTATTTGCTCTTCGTACTCGTTATATTTTCAGCTTTTCTTCTTACTCTTCGAAATTGATGGTTATTTATACCCAATCGTCCCAACTGTTTTTACATTTGCTACTAACTTTTGACGCTTTTTCGCATACTTGATTTATATGATCGAAATATCTTCCCCAAGCACAACTCTGTAATATCATCTCTTTCTTTTTACATTCATAATACAATCTGCAGTCGCACTCGTGAGGCCATCTTGTAGGAACATCTTTTGGACAGACGCCAGGTTCTTCTGATTTTGGCGTTGTTGTTGGTTCCTCTGTTGTTGTTTTCTCTTCGCAACGAGCAGCTTTTTTAGTCGTACATTTCAGAAGTGTAGGGCTGAAATGTTGATTTTTCTTACATACCTCAACGACCCACTCCTTATTTGTGCATGTGTAGTATTTCTCGCAGAGACATTCGTGGCTCTTCTTCTTTCCTTTAGTACAAGTTGCCTCCGCTTCCGGACAAGAACCTTTCTTGCATTTCAACGATTTTGTATCAAAGTAATACCCTTTCTTACATTCGCGCAAGGCCTTCTTACTGTTCTTGCATTCGTAGTACTTATTGCATTGGCATTCGTGAGGGAGATAATCGCCGTCATCTTCGCACTCGGATTCTGAACTTCCCGATCCGTCGCAGTCTCCTGGAACACAACGTTCCTTGTCTTCGTCAAAATGCTGTCCTGACTTGCACTCGCGCAGGACCCTTTTATTATTTTTGCATTCGTAGAATTTATTGCATTGGCACTCGTGCGGATATAAGGCCTCATCATCGCATTCGTCGTCGTCGTCACCATCACCATCACTACCACTATCATTATCATCGTCGCATTCCGATTCCTCGGGTTCAACGCAGCCTTGCCATTTTTTACTAAAGTATAAGCCGTCCTCACAATCTTTCAAGACTTTTTTGCCCTTGCTGCATTCGTAATATTGAGCGCAATCCGTTGCAACTATCAATTTCGGCGGGCAAGTGTCCTTCGCCGGACATGCATCTGCAGCCACAGTAATGGTCTCATTTATCTCATTTACGGCGATCACCGTCTGGACCAGGAAGGCGATGGCGATTAGATATAGTCCTGTGTCGAAGAAAAAATATTGCGATCAAATTAGCCGTTACAAGTAAAACGAAAAGTCTATTATTATTTACATGAAAATTGAAATTCGAATTTGTATAAAAAATCTCGAGACGTTTAATATAATAAGTATTTTAATTATGTTAAACGTTCTTACCCTTCATCGCCTGTCACTTGCTTTACTCGTCGTTACTTGAGAAGAGAAGGAAATATCGTATTGTATGTGAAATTATCCTATTAACCCTTCACTGTGATTCGTTTAGATACATGACTGGTTAAATTAAGGCGTATCCGCTTTTATAAATATGCATCACGTTATCACAAATCACAAGGACAGATTATCATATCTGTTAAAAAAGATTATCAGAACTGTATTTACTTTTTGTGGAACCCTAAACACATTTTCTCGAAACCTTACATTTTGCATGGGTCTGCAGAGAAAAAAAAACAAATATATATTTAATAAAAGTATAATAAAATATTTATTTTTGAACTGTAGCATTCCCTTTACACACAAATAAATTCTATTAATTTAAATAAAGTTACAAATATATTTATAATATTTTAATTATTTAATTAGTAAAAAAAGTAGGATTAAAAAAATATAATTTTTTCTAATTTCTTTTATTGTATTGATTCGTATAATATATATTTCATTTAAATCGTAAATTTTACTATGATTTTGTGATTTATCGAAATTTATGAATTTGCAAGACACTTAGGTGCATCCAATTAATATGCCTAAATATATGTACGGCCTTGATTGAAAATTTAGAAGAGAAGATTATCAGTCATATAATGTTTCACAGAAAAGATATATTGCTTACAGATTTGGGCAATAAATAATCTTTTCATGACGTAACAAAAATTTAAATTATATTCATATCTTACCTTTTATTCCTTGTTTTTATTAAATTTGATTTTAACCAAGAGAAGAGAAAGAACATTATTAAATATGTATACCTATTCTTATTGTAGCTAAAAAATATAAATAATGTGTAATAATTAAGACACGTCAAATAAATCTTGATAATGATATATTTTTGAAATTTTTAAATAATAATTGTGATAAATTATTATTAATTTCTTTAAGTACGAACAATCTATAACATTTAGATAAGTAAAATATTGCGAAATAGATCAAAATAGTTTATTTACCTAAGTGTTCTTAATAGTTAATTTATCTGTGTGTTCATCGGCTCAAAACTAATAAGAAAAGATGATAGCAGCAGAAAAAAAGAGTTAGATTCGGTTACAATGTTACAACATTAACTCTATGAACACGTTCATAATTACAATTATTACGCGTTATCGAAAAAAACTTTTTAAATAAAACACTTGTAAATAGTTCCTAATTCTTAATTTTTTATTTTTTATTCTTGTGGTAAAGCAAAATAAAATTCTTGGAACTATAAATAGAATTTATTTGTAATCATAGAATTACAGAAGTTACGACAATTTCAATTTTACTAAAATTGAAATTTTACTAGATAGATTTTTTAAAAATATTTAAAGCAACTTCTAGCAGAATATTTGTAATTACTTGTTACATTTATAATAAATTCACTTTTATAATTAAAAATTGTATCACTATGAATAAAAATAAATTTATTACGTTAAACAATTACAAAGGAAATTTTGGATCGAGATATACATATATAAAAATATTATCGAAATTTTTATTTATAAAAAAAAGATTGGAACGATTATTTAAATTTTTTAAAATGTTAAATTTTCTTTTGTCTTCAATTATGTACGAAATTATTGCAACTAGAAAATATTAAAAGCATATATTATTTCTTCGAAACTTATTTTATCAATAAAATATTTTATCAATAAGGAGAGTACCAAGTCCATTGCAAATTTGATACAATCTTTCGATATTAGAGTCAAGGTTTTGAAATTTTGAGTGGCAATCGTAATTCACTCATACGATCTTATCAAAAAGATATAATCTACATCGATATGGAAATAGAAAAGGATGAGTGTTTCATTTTTTAAAATTAAATTTAATAAAATAAAATAAATTTAATAAGTAAAAAAATTTTTATGGAATCATATTTTTTCAATTTTCTAAATAGTGTTTATAAATAATACTAATATATTATTAGGCCCTTTAAGTTATTAGTCGCAAATTATACACTTTATCATCTTGTTGAATAAGACGAAGAAAAAACAGAAAAGAATAATAAAATTTTACCCAACATCATGATGAAATCAATTAATTAATTAACTTGCATCATGCTCATTACGATCATGTATCTATAGTTTGCCGTCAATGAATCGTTATCATAAAGAGGGATTACAGTATAGCGTGATCGATTGCGGATGAGAATATAAGAGAGATCTTTTTATGCGTCATGAATTGGACAGGTCTATTACTAAGTGGATTTTACATAATTAATTTATCGATGAGACTTGATGTATGTTAGATTTATTTAATATTATCTTACTATTTAAAAATAAAACGAATACAAAAACTCATAAGAATTTGTGTGCTTCTTGCGCGCTTTTTTTTGACTAAACATATATATATATGAAATATTGTTATAAATAAATTAATTTAAAAACTCATTATTTTTATTAAGAAAATAATGATAATTTCTAAAAATCTTAGAAATAATATAAAAATAAAATAAATACGCTCACATCCCTTCGATTTTATATAGTTTTATATTAATCATATATATAAATTAATAATTTTTTAAATTAATTAAAATTTAATATTGTTTTTCAAATATTTTTATATAAATTTGCTTAATAAATGAGTCATATGGTACATGATATTAATCATATATGTATAATCTATTATACAAGTCAATATCTCGATGATTAATTAAGCAGATAACAAACAGATTTTTGATAATAATATATCTTAACGGCAAACTAAAGTGCGTATAATATATGATATATTTTGTCAAGTAAAAAATTTTCTTCAAATTTTCAATATTTTAAAGTTTATTGTAAACTTTTTTATTAAACAAAAAGAAATATATATATATATATATATATATATATATATATATATTTTTTTTTTTATTTTTTTTTTATTTTTTATTTTTTTATTTTTTTTTTTATAAAACTATATATACGCGTATATAGGAAATATTGGAATAAATAAAAATTTGTAAAAATTACGCAGGGAAAAATTGAAAAATAAAAAGAATTATTTTTATAAAAAATTAATTCTAATTAAACTATAAATATATATATATATATATATATATATATATATATATATATATATATCTCCTTTCACTTGCTCTCTCTCTTTCACTCTCATTATCTTTAATTTTCTATCTTGTTTTCTGGATTATTATATAACATCACATATATAGATGAGATTTTATATTGAGAAAGACAGAGAGCTTACTTATATAGCTATCTCTCTCGGATTGTGTTTCAAACGCCAATGCGTATCCATCTTACAATAATGCGCATCTATATATTCTTAAGTCGATGACCTACTTAGGTACTGGAATTTCTCGTATATCATACGTATCTATGACAATTTAAAAACATGGCTACCATGTGAAAAATGGATTGGTTGGTTTATACTGTTTGCATGCTGTAAACAACTTTCTATTTAATTTATCACGGATAGTTTTGTGTTTTGCGTTGTCGACGTAAACGAATCGCCGATTCGAAGAAACCTTCCTAGTAGACTGGAGCTGAATCGAGGGACCCATTAAGAACGTCAAATAATTGTCGGAAGTGAAAGCCGCGTGAATTCGCAATAGCACAGATTCTATGTTTCCCCCACGAACGATTAATATTCCGTTCTCTTCTGTTATCCGGAAAAAAATTGCTGCCAAAACTCAGGTATATTTCAAATTCGTGCAGAATTCAATTTTAATAACATTGTCAGCTTTGTAATTAAGATTACAATCTTTAATTATGTGTGTATATATATATATATATGTGTGTGTGTATATATATGTATCCATGTTGCAGATGCAATTAAGAAAGTTCTAAGAACTAGGATGTAAGGATTTATACATTTGCAAAAATACTGATCTCCGATAAACATCCACATGGATACTGACTTTAATACTATTATTCATCATCCAAGAACCATCATTCACTTGGATGTTGACTGTTTTTATGCACAAGTAGAGATGGTTAGGAATCCGGAATTGGAGGGAAAGCCACTAGGTGTTCAGCAAAAAAGTATAGTGGTTACCAGCAATTATCTGGCGAGAGACTATGGAATAAAAAAATGTATGTCAGTGCAAGAAGCTTTGCGTCTCTGTCCAGAACTGGTTTTGGTAAATGGTGAAGATTTAACACACTATCGTCATTATTCTAATAAAATATCTGAAATTTTGCATCGATTTACACCATTGGTGGAAAGACTGGGCCTTGACGATAATTTTCTTGATGTGACATCAATAGTAGAGAAACAGCTTAAGTCTCAGAATGATTCAGAGTGCGATATGAACAGTTTGCACACAGACGAGGAGCTAAAGGAATCAGATAGTAAGATATTTGGGCCTTCGGATGAGGAATGCCCATGCGATTGTCATACACGTTTGATGATTGGCTCCAAGATAGCAGCTGAAATACGGAATCGTATTTATAACGAATTGCATCTTACTTGTAGCGCTGGAATAGCGCACAATAAGCTTCTGGCGAAATTGGCAGGATCGCTAAATAAACCAAATCAACAGACATTGGTATTTCCATGCAGCGGCCCAATGTTGCTCTCCGCAATAGGCTCTGCATCTAAGATACCTGGTGTTGGACAGAAGACCACGGAATTATTGTTGTCAAATAACATTAAAACAGTAGATGATCTGCGTAAAATATCTCTGGAAAATCTAGAATTAAAAATTGGCGTTGATTTAGCGAGAAGATTGAAAGATAATGCAGAAGGAATTGATGAGACAGCAGTAAAACCATCTGGAAAGAAACAATCCATAGGTTTAGAAGATGGATTTAAAAGCGTGTCGCTGGTGGCGGAGGTAGAGTCAAGATTAGGCGCACTATTGAGGAGATTAACAGAGTTAGCAATGGAAGATGGTAGAATTCCTATTGCTATGAGAATAACAGTGCGAAAGCATGATTTGAACAAACCTACTTCCGGTAAGAGAGAAACTAGACAATGTGCGCTGCCGAAACATCTTTTACCGTCCACAAAAACCGGCGTGTACGATCATAGTAAAATGTTGACCCTCTCCATGAAGCTATTTCATCGAATAGTTGACGTTTCAAAGCCATTCCATTTAACATTATTGGGAGTTGCATTTACTAAATTTGAAGAGAGATCATATGGCAGGAGCAGCATTACATCCTTTTTGCGCAAGCAGGTTGCCGTCCATTCCGTTTTGGATATAAGTTCCGAAGAAGGCATCGCAGAAATGAATGTGGGATCACCGATGAGTATCAATCAAGATAGTAATGATAGCTCCGATCAATCAGCGACGAGCTTGATGAATACTTCTGCGTCAAGTCTCTCATGTTCACCGATTTCTAAGTTGTCAGGTATAGCAGCCAGTCAGAATACAGAGGACGATTTGCAAAACGAGGTGGAACCATTACCGAAAAAGACCAAGTTGGAGGTATGGTTGAGCGGTCGTCGAGAATCGCCGAGTAATGAAATGGCTTGTCTTAGATTGAGTCCGTCATCACCTATGCAGTTGTCGCCTACAGTGGATACTACGGTTTTCAAGACTCTGCCTATCGAGAGGAGGGATGTGACGCGTTCTTGGCCGACAACCAGTAAACCGAAACCAAACAATATATATAAATTTTTTACCATAGCCAATAAGTGACAGAGCTCTGTGACTTAGTATTGAATATCATTGCTCTTATATATGCGCCTGAATTGAACATGAAATGCCAGCACCGGGATCTTTAATTTTCAGTGCTCTTCTAGGGTGCTAGATTTTAAAATGTAAAATGAGAAAGTAGTATTATAATATAGAACTTATATAGGCTTTCTGTTCTAAATAAGATAATTTGAAAATACTCGCAGCGCCCACAAATAGTTACAGAAGATCTAATACTTTGTTACGTTAATAGTAGAAACAGAAAATTATACTATTAATGTTATTAAAATCAAGATGTGCGTTATCATTACAAGATAATTACTTCGAATATTTTCTTTAAATCTTACTTTGGAAATAAAGCCTGATTTGGACAGTTTTTTTTCTTATTTAATACTCAAAGTTTATGCCCTGAGGTTTTGACATACAATTAAATGCAATTAAGAATCATTCCATATAAATTCATTTTTTTTCTCTTTGTCGTATGCGTTTTTAATTTCTCGGGCTAAATGCAGCTGCAGATCTTACATGACAAAAGATATCTGTGTTCAATTGCATTTAACATATATTTTTGTAAGTTTTTTTTTATATATAATATATATACGATTTTCGTGCGCTGTTAGCAAGAACATAGATATAATGAGGGCATATATGTAGTTTTTTTAGCAATAGTTGTTACTTTTTATTTTCGACAGCAACAAAGAAAAGTATTGTGATTACATTTTGGGTTATTGTTAATTACAATTACTTTGCTAATATTATTTTATCAGAGAAATATGCTTCAAAAAGCTATTGTAATCCTTTAATTCGTATTTATTCAAAAGATTTTACTTATAATTGATTACTTATAACTGAAATAAATTTTTTTTTAGAAAAAAAGTACCAAATACAATTTATGTTACCGAAAATACTTCAGTTTTCACATTTTTTATTGCTACCATTGTTTTCATACATATAATTCAAAATACGAACTGTATTCATTTACTATTATGTACATGATTTTCATATAAACGTATTAAACAGGTGGTGTTATAGAATTAAACAGATGGTGTTATATATAATTAAGCGAAACTACTACAAAAAGAATATATTTACCTAATTTATGCAACAAAAAGTTAGAAAGTATGAAAAAAATATCAAAATATGTCTGTCAATACACACATAAGTAAAATAAGGTGCTGACATTCGATGTTGCGACTTTCTCTCGAAGGATAAGTAATTATATAAATTAATTATGTCCTAAGAAGAAAAAAAATTATATTTTTAGTACTGTTACAAATGTTATCTTATAATTAAGGATTGAAATTGATATGTAATTTCGACGAACTTAATTTTTCAATATGCAGTTACGCAAGAGACATTCAATCAGATGTGGCATTTTTATTATCGCAAATAAAAATGAGGAGATTTACGCGTAATCTTTGCAGTATCGAAATCTAAAGTTCACGATCAATGAACAATATCGTTTTCACTACCTGCGCTTGTAATATATGCGCCGAATATCGAACAAGAAATATAATATGTGACAGGAAATATTCGGTTATTCCCAGTCAGAATTAACTACTGGCGCGAAGCTTCATTCAAATATATAAATGTATACGTGTTTTATTCACATATGCGCGCAAAAGAGATTTAGACAATCATAAAGTTTTCATGCCACTTCAATATGGCACAAGGTGATTCTCTCGCATACATATATGTATAAACAATTAAATATATATATACATATGTGTGTGTGTGTGTGTTTACATATATATACACGTACATATATATGTACATATTAATATATGTATATCTTGTCATGTCATAAAAAAAACACTCTTGCTAAGCGCGAGACACAGGACATGATACATGATAAGAACTGCGATTTTACTTTTCACAGATACTTAAAGGATCCTTCTTGGATAATGTGACTAGGTCCGCAGGTGATAAACTGAAACAATGTAGCTTTTGTATTTGCGAAATAGAATATTCATTAAGATTACATATATTGTTTAACATAAGAGAGCGAAAGAGAATGAGCTACTTATATAGAAAATCATCGAATGCGCAGCTCTACGAAATTTTTCTATTTTTATTTATTTACAACATATATACATGAAACGGTGTTGTCTTTATTTTAAACTTCTGGTTGTGAGTATATGCATATTTTATATGGACTTGTTTAGGCGGGGATTATGCAGCGTTATAAAACATTACAAGTTTTTCAACGTCAAGGTCGAGAGTCGAGATCGAAACGCAAAAAACTTCGCTTTTAGAATAACAATATCGTCTCGAGAATATCTTAAACATTTCAATAGATACAGTGAAGATGATGATTGACGTTTTTTCAAGTGACACTGCAACGCCGCGACTCGCATTACTTCCGATTTATTTCAATAAAAAAATTTCAAGTTGAATTGCGCTATTCTATTAATTTCTACAAACCTGCTATCTCCGAATTTCCTTATATTAATTATGACTTATAAAATAATTACTTGTATAGGTATTATGATATCTGTTCAATCATATTTAATTTCTTATCTGCACTGCATTAAAAATATTTAAAAAAGTTCGCTAAAACGCATAAATATTGCATGAGAAAGCATGCACGTTATCGAGCTTATTAGTAGAACTATTGTAGTAAATTTTTGCAAATATCTGTCGCATATTCATTCACCATAAAACTGAACAGTTATATATGAAACTAAATAAAATGTAAAATTAACTTTTCTTTGTGTTATGACAACTATTCGTGTATTATCAGTATCCTCAAGAATTTGATGGTGAAATTAATTGCAACATTTATATAATCATCAATCTAAGGTCGAAATTTTCTTTGTGGGATACAATTTTTTAGAATGTTACTGAAATGCATACAAAATGCTTATATTTTTTTATATATACTTATAGATTAAAATAAAACAATCGCATAATTAAATATATTTTATTTTAAATTCAATTTTGTATATATTATATAATTTTTATATATAATATTTTTTAAATGTAATATTGTTCGAAATCGTTATGGAAAATTATTTTGTTATAAAAGATTGGATAAATCGACTTTTAGAAAATTTTGTTTATCGAAAATGTATAACAAGGTCACAAAATATTAGGGGTCATAAATAATCAGGCCATAAATACATAGAGTCACCTATTTTTTGTCTAAAGATTCTTGTCAATATAAATAAACTTAGTTAACAATCTCAACAGCCACACAAGGACTCGAGAACGTTTCCTACCAATTAGGAAGCGAATTTACATCTCGCGCATGACAGAAACGTATCCACAACACGTGGATCAATTTCGCGCGACGTCCTTGGGTGATCTCCAACAATTTTAAATAATTCTAAAATTGTTGACTATCAGGAAAAAGGGAGGCTTCTTTGGCTCAATAATAAAAGGAGCCCTCACACGCGTCTTACCGCATTATCGAGAGTTCACTAATTCAGTATATACTGCAGATTATTTGCTTAACTATTTTTAAATAGAGTATAAATTAAAAGACAGACAATTTAAAACATATATTAAGACAATTGTGCGTATTTAAAAAATTATTTGCACTACAACTTGGAAATCTGCAGTCTGGATCAAGTGGTGCGTACATTATGATTTAGCATTTTTATCTCTGTTCTGCAACAATGATAACAACTATATCCGGTCATAAATTGTAGCTACCGACATATCACCCTACCTATCACATTGCACATGAGATACATCAGAAACCAGGCAGGTTCAGAATTTTTTTTTTTTATACGCAGTATCTGACCTAAATTTAAATATCCGATCACATTTCCTTAATAATCATTTTACGCGTATATAAAAACCGGTGTGAATAAACGACGAGAATTAATTTGGTGCTAAACTTTGTGGAAAAAAAAAAATTTGTGTTTTCGATTATTGGTATTATTAGTTTAACAAAAATGATGCTGATATTCTACATCTTGATTGTTGCAATGCATGAATTGTCAGGTAAGAATTTTTGTCAGTAAATTATTAAAGTAAAGTTTGACATATATTTTATATTCTAACGTCACGTAACTTTTAAATTATGTTTATTAATTTATTTATTTGCATAATATAATTTAATTATTTAAAATTATTTTTATGTACGTTTTTTATATGCGCTCGATTTATTAATTAAGAAAATATATAAGAGCTTTTTGGCGAAAAATTATATTGTTCCAAAAATATTATGAAACTTTTTAAAAGGTGCTCCTACAACGAACACAAGTGAACCTGTTAATCTACCATCAACGAAAATCGTGGGCGGTAGTCCTGCCACTGAAGGACAATTTCCTTATCAGGCATCCCTTCGTTATAAGAATCAGCATTTCTGCGGTGGTTCTATTATAGATAAGCGATGGATCCTAACAGCTTCTCATTGTTTGGCAAGGTACGTGGCAAGGTTATTGGAAAAATCTTTTATACATATAATAATATTTTTATTTCAACAATATCCAATTAAGCAACAATTATTTACACATAATAATTTATTAACGTTAAAACTGTGATGGAAAGTGCGTATTGTCTCAGAAATATTTTTTATTAACGATATAAAATTTAAGGCAAAAGTTTATGATTTGACAAATCAATTCTCACATTTAGAAGACTTTATAATTTCGTAATTTTTATTTAACAGATTTGATGATACGCCTATCAAGGTCGTATTGGGCACAAATACTTTAGACAAAGGTGGTGATGAGTATTCTTCGATCAAGAATGTGATGCATCCCTCCTACAATAGTCTCCTTATTAGAAACGACATTGGATTACTCAAACTAAATAAGGATATTGTTTTTGGGGACAAAGTGAAACCGATTGCTTTGCCCACTCAATACTTTAACAAAACTGGTTATCCAGCGATGCTGTCCGGCTGGGGTACAACCAGTGTAAGTACATATTAGATTAATTAATTATGTATTATATACTACGACATTACAGAAAAATTATAGATTTTTAATATGTACATATAATATCAATTTATGTGAATATTATACATATCATGTTATCTGTCTTATTTTCTACGAATTTGAAATTTTATATTACTCATTGATTAACCGATGGATTAATTATGCTTATTTTGATAATGATAATTTTGTGTGTCCACATTATCAGTATCCTGGGGATGAGCCTAATGAATTGCAGCATATTGAACTTAGAGTCATCAGTCAAAAACAATGTTTAAACACCAGTTTTCGCATTACCAATAGCAATATCTGTACACTCAACAAAAAAGGCGAAGGCGCTTGTCACGTAAGTGTATTCTTTAATTACATTACTCCGAAACAGGATTTTTTTATCATGAAAAGATGAATATTTGATATTGACGTTTTTATTTTTCAAACATTAAAAAATATAAAATAATCTTATATAAAAAAAACATTGAATGCTTAATCGAAAAACTTATTTCGTAACTTCTTATAAATCTATATTTTTAAAAAAGTAAAAATTACACTTGTGTAACAAAATAACAGTTATTGTTTTATCATCTAGTTGAAAGATTGATTTGACACATGGTATTATACTTATCGAAACGTTGTCTTGATTTAATAATATGTTTTAGTAATAATAAAGATATTTTTATGCCAGTTGGGTCGTTAATTTTGTTTATTTATTTTATCATTTACTGGCGAGACAAAGATTTACTGATTATAAAAAATTATAAATTAAAGAAAAAAAATATATAAAAGTATATATAAAGAAAAAATATATATAAATAATATATTGTTATATTTAAAAAACTTATTTAAATATCTATATATATATATGTATATATAGGGTGACTCTGGCGGACCCTTGGTAGCCGATGGTGAACAGATTGGTGTGGTATCTTGGGGAAGACCTTGCGCTAAAGGATCCCCAGATGTATTTACACGTGTTTACTCTTATATAGATTGGATCAAAGAGCAAATCAAAGAAAACAATTCTGCATATGCGACTTTCTGAATTCCTTACAAATTGACAAATCAAAACAATAAGTGGAGATGATAATTTTTATCTGGATTTCATTTATGTAGACCACAAGTAAAAAATTAGATGTCAAAAAATAAAGTTGATGACAATTGTGTTTTGTTTAAAATAAGTCTAATACAACATTTATTAATTTACGATTTACGATTTAAAAAATCATGCATATTATTGTTCATATCATATGTATATAATCAATAAATCTAAGAATATGTCTTACGTTACTTAAGATTATTTTAAGCGTATCTGGCAAAGATTATAAATAGAATTTTATCTAAAAAATTAAATAAAAATTTGCTCACATAAATTACAAGCGAGTTTATCAGCTATATCTAGATGAGAAACACTGTCGGAAAGTTCGCTAAAGTCTGCACAATTTTGCAGCTGCCAGAAAGACTAAACAAACGTGCTACTTCGTCTGTGTTATGCAAACTCATTTTTATAAATGCAGTTTCTTAATCTGAAACCGCAACGACTCGGTTGAATACTCGACAATTAAAGAAATCAAAGAAACGGAATGCAATATTACAAGGGGGATTCAAATTATATAATTAATTTTAAATCAATTAACAACAATAATAAAATAGATAATAATTAAATATTTCTTAGATTAATAGCTTTTTTAATTAAACAGAAATTGAATTTTTGAAATATAAAAGTTATAAACTTATAAAACTCGTAATAACATAAACACGGCGATTTCCGTAAATTATTCTACTAATTTACTTGTTTCTCTTGTATGAATATCACGTACGTGAAAGTGACAATGGTAAAGTGACTAACGCGTGGAAACGAGGCGTGAATTCATGATGCATATGTCAAATGATAGTACACGACCAGTAACGTGATCTAGATTTTACAATTGCACATAATTGATATTAGCATAATTCCAACAATACAACAGCAGATATATTATGTTGCATCAAGTAGAATTAATTCTTTTAATTACGAACACACCGTACATAATATTTATATAACTGATCTAATGATCATTCGTAATAAACAAATTCAATCGTCATCTGATATTACTTCATTCACTCTGATATTACATCAATCGATATCTGAGATCGTCGTCGAATATTACTTTAATTACTTAATATTATTTTAATTTAATAAAATTATATAATGCATGAAATTTGTCTTAATAAGAATCACATAATTTATTTTATAATTCTCATGACGTTTTATTATTAGAATAGAACGAAGAAGTTTAGTTATCATGTTTCAACAAGGAGAGATTCATAAAAAATTCCTCGCTAGCGCGCGAGTCATGCGCCGTTTCTTGCCGATTAACGATCGCCGAATTTAAGGAACTAGCGCGAAGTCCTGGTCGAAGATTTCGGTCAAGCTCCTAATGACCCACTTTCGGCGGCGCATGCTCGATGTGCATCACAGATGTTTACTTCAAAGGTGAAAACGTCGCAGCACATAGCTAGACCGACAGGTGATTTTTCGCGAGCGGAGTGAAGCTAAGGAAAAGGAGAGAGAACACGCGAAATAATCCATCGTTTTACGGAAGTGAGATCGATTAGGGGGTGGAACATCAGTGGAGAAGATTGATGCGCGATCGGACGTGTCGCGACGTCTCCTCGAAATCTTGAAGATCTAGGTCTAATAAGGATGCGAATGGCTAGAACAATCCGATCGAACACCATCGTGTGTCTCTTCGTAATTAATCGTCATCGATGTCCTTCCGCGGCTACAAATGGTCGGCTTAAGAAACGTCCATCCTCGGAGTTTAGAAGACGATCACTCGTTGCGAGATCCTTTTTGGCGGACTGAGGTGATTCTGGGTAAGTATCCTGATTGATGTTTGTAATCGCCTATTATCCTAAATATAGTTAGTTTAACAAAAATGATGCACGCTTATTTTATTAATATTATCATATATTGAAAAATTGCTGTTTGATTATCATATATTTATATTAAATGCTGCATAATAGATTGCAAATTAGATCGTCTCGCTGTGTTGTGCATATTTATTAATTATTTTTAAAATAAAGCTCGAATTCGTCTGACTTTGTTTTAATAGATGATTCCATAATTAGCTCATTTTTTTCTTAAAAATTCTTGCTAAAACACCTTCCTCCCTATGAACAACGCTAGCTGTCAAAATCAGCTGATCGGGATTGACAGGACTTCTCGCTGTTGTGCAAAATTAATTATTTTTGAACCAAAGCTCGAATTCGTCTGATTTTATTTTCGCAGATGATTCTACAATTAGCTCGCCATTTTCTCTTAAAAATTCTCGCTGAAACACCTTCCCCGCCAACAAAACGCAAGCTGTCAAAATCAGCTGATCGGAATTGACAGGAGGACTAAAGCTCTTCCCGCATTATTGCCGATTCCGGAATCGTCGTATTAGATGTCCCGGATGTCATCTTGATCGAAGTCGAATAAATCGCGCGTCTGGTGACCCAAATAACGTGACGCGCGCGCGTGCGCGCAACTTGCACCCCCCGAGGGTGTGTTTTCATCCCCGCTTCGCTCTCTCCGTGCGCGCGGAGAGGCTTCTCTTTTTCCCTCTTTTCGACGTCGTTGTCGTCGTTGTGGTAGCCGTCTTGCAGTGCGAACCACGACAGCTGGTGCCGTGACACCTGCTGCAACATCGCGAAGATCGATATCCGCTCGTTTCTGTGCCCTGTCTCTCGAAGCGGAACGCGAAGCGGATCCAACCGATCTCGCGATCATGTCCTCGACGGAACGGCGCCCGCTGTAACTTCCGTCGATACGACACCTCCCCCGTCGCTGTGTGATGTAGCCACGAGAGAGGAGAGAAAACGTCCTCGCGAATAGGTATATCCGCAACGGCGTCCTTTGGCTTCTATATGCTTTTGGCAAAAATTTTTGGCCGAAATCTACGTATCGTGAATTTCGCGACTTCGTGTGTCTGATTTTGTGCGACTCTCTATGGTGTTCGCGCGAAAAATGTTTCGATTTTTTTATTATGGTATTACGAAGTTGTGTGTTGAATATTTTTTCGGGGGCCAACAGAGGGGTTGATGAAGTTTTAAAATAATTGTAAAAGCTGCGAAGATTTTAATTTATCATTTTTTAATAAATAATTTCGAATTTTATAAAATTCAATCATAGCATATGTTTTAAAATTTCGCTTTTGATATTGAAGAAGTAAAAGAGATATTTGCATAATATATTATGTTATTAGACATGCTTTTTTAGGAACTCTTTCTTGCTTTGAAGACTTGCATGTCGCATTTTATTTTAAATAAATAATAAGTGCTATTAAAGATTCAAAATAAATTTGTTTATATACGAAAACGCGTAAATAATATTCCAGAAACCGCGGCAGGTGTCACTTGTCAAAATATTCGAGCATTCCCACCGTTCAATTAATTCTGGCCAGGGGATTAATGGACCAAATAAACATATTAGTACCAAGATAGGTGATTCCTAATGAAGCGTTGATAAGGTTTCTCAGTCTGCGACATGACGGCGCTTTCATTCGTTGATCACTGTGTTTATCAAGACTGTTTTTCACTCACGTGAGCGTGCATACGCGGTATTTATCTCATTGTAAAAGAGATTCGGAAGCTGGGGAAGGGAGAGAGAGCGAGAGAGAGAGAGAGAGAGATCTCTTTTGGCGCGAAATCATAAATGGAGTTATATGCGTTACACTCATGCAAAACAAAAATTCCTATCATTTATTTACGTCATTAATCACTCAACGATTCTTTAAAAGTTTAAACTGCGATTAAGCGCGTTAAAAATACTCGATGTTTTTTTTCTTTCTTATGATATTCGAATATTTTCAAATCACTCGGATGTACCATAAATAAAATATAGCGCTATCAGCTGATCGATACAAAACAATAGCGCTTTTCGTGAGACAAGTGGTGTAACACGAATTTTATTATCTTATACACAGCGAACAAGTGGATATCGAAATACCATAAAGAGAGGATCATAACACTTGAACATTATTCACAAATAAGGAGCGAATACGAATGAAAAGCACCATGGATATGTAAGATCAATCTTGAGTGGGAACAATCATCCCTTCGCACTTGTAAAAGTAATCAGACACTTGCCATCAAAGGAAGCTTAATGAGCTGCTGCCCTTTTATGTGAGTATATTGCTTATTTATTTCTTTACGTATATATATATATATATATATATATATATATATTATATAATTATTATTAATTATTATTATAAATTTTCCTTTATAATAAAATTATTAAAAATCTTTAATAATTATCATCTTAATAATCATTATCTTGAATAATTATGTTATCATTATGTAATTCCATGTCTTATAATTATTATAAATTATTTAAGTATTCATAAATCTCTGTTTCGTTTGTTTATAAAAATTACCGTCCAAAATAAATATTTTCAAATAACAAATCTGTAAATAATTTAGAAAATAATTTAAATATAATTTAGAAGAAACCGTATAATTTCGAGAATACATTTTTACAATTGATTAATAATTTTAATTTGAAAAAAAAAAAATATGAAATCCGAGAAATTATTGCGTGCGACTTCCCCAACATACACATATACATATATACATGCTTGATTATAACACCACAAGCGCAGCGCAAATATGCCGGTCGCTGCACCTTTCGGGACGACTGCGCAGTAGAGAATTCACGACCATGCAACACGCGTGTTTCTTTATTCCGTTCACGGTGTGTGTTGTATGTTGTCTATATCTCTCCCACGCGATTCAGCCTCGCACTCTTTTGCAGCAGCCCGTCCTTCTCGCGCTGTCGGCGCCACGGCATCGCGACTAATCTTCAGGGCCGTAGCAATTTCGAAGAAAATTCCTGCGCCAAGAAAAAGTCACTTATAAATACATATCGATTTTTAAAGACTAGAAATTATGACATTTCTCGCGTCAGCTGTTCGCTGCTGGCGCTCTGTCAGAATTTGCATTCGATATTTTCCCGTCAAGACGGGCGTCTATATATCATTCTAATTTTACCTAAGTGTGGTTTTAATTTATTCTTTCATTCAATCTATTAATAAAATAATATTCATTCAGCGTTGTGCTTAGATGATTTTAAAATTGGGTAGATATAAAGAAGAGATGGAAAATATATATAGTGTACATTTATCTTATAAATATATATCTAGATAAAAGATAAAATTATGTGGCGATTCATCTAGATATTAGTTTTTAAAAACACAGTTATAAAAAAATGTAAATTATAAAAGATATGAAAAATAATATATTCATATACTTGAATTTCTTTTCACGTGCTATAATTCTAAATCAAATTATTTGAACATATTCTAGATAATTTAATAAAGATATAACTTTTTTCATTTGATTTGCAGATATAAATAAAATACATATTTTATTTATTATTTATGTACATGTAAAGATAAGATGATTCGTCTAGATATGATCACCTATATCATTTTATTTTATATCCGAAAATTAATTAGAAATAATCCGACTTTTGCTCCCGTTCATGAAACGTCAAATAAATAACGATCGTTAATAAATCGCAGCAAAATCGAAGTTTGTGTGTACAAAATAAAATGAAAATATATCGCAAGAAAATCTGGCGGATGCTACGACCCTGCGTCAAATCAGCCGCGGGCGACGAACGTGTGCAGCTGTCTGTATCTGTATGCGAACGTGAGTCGAGTCGGAGTCCCCGCTGCGTTTTGCAGCTGATGCGGCTCGCCGCGTCGTCGCGTCCTGAGTTCTCGCGCGTGTGTTTCGTCCGGAGACAGAGGGAAAAATGCGTCGCGTCGAAATTCGTCGACATTGTCCACGAGGTCTCGTCGCCCGCGATCTTGACCCCGCGACCGACGTCGTGTACGCGCGATAAAGAGGGTCCAGGAGTCTCGGGAGAAGAAAGAAAGGAAAGGAGAAAAAAGGAAATTTGACACTGAGCGGATCTCTCTGTCTCGAGGAAAAAAAATAGGATCACTGAATAAATCCCCGGTGATGCGGGTGAGATTGCTCGCTCTCTCTTTCTTTTTCTCTCTTTCTCTGCGGGCATCCGGACAATGAGTAAGGAGCGAAGGTAGACAAAGGGTCGCCGGACCGTCAAGCTTCCCGGCGTAGTTTGCATTCGTTTATATGGAATACAAACACCGATTGCCATGCGATCGTCGAGCGTAGGAGACACGTTCGTCTGGTCACGCTTATGAGGGTTTCATCATCATCATCATCATCATCATCGAGGTTGATCCGGCACCAGAGTTGTCTATCGGCGCGTTTTTCCTCCGCGAATCGTTTATCTTTCTTTCTCTCTCTCCCTCCCTCGTGTGACAGCGAGAGTGACCCTTGACAGCGTGATGCGTTTTACTCTCGGAATTCTTCAGGATTTCCGCAGGGAGAAATCCCTGTAGAGCATAATATTAGGGTGCATCATATAACGCGGATGGTTGGAGCAAATAGAACGACGATCACAGAATTGCCATTATGGAGGCATTGCGTTTAGCTATACAGTGAGTGTCCTTTTTTTTGGCAGATGTACCCCTGTGTGATTGTTTGTTTATTTCTTATTATGTCAAATAAACGATAAGACATTACTTATATCAAGAAAGGCGATCTGAATTTGTAATTTTGTCTGCAGCAAGAATTTTTCGGAATTTTAAATACAACAAAAGAATAATTTTTATAATTATATGTATTATAATTAATAGTAAATTATTCAATTTTTAATTATAATAGATGTTTTTCACAAATACATCTTGTGACAGCTTGTTTTCATTGTGTGAAACAGGATACATCGAGAGAGCATTGTAAAGTCACTCTGTAAAATTTGTTAAAGGAACTTTTATTTTGGCTCTCTTATCTTCAGACAGAAATACTTCAAAATTTTGGATAAAAAAGTATAAGTAAGCTATTGTTAAACAAATTATTTATTACGATGACTGAATTATTTAGCTCCTAAATTCTTTTCACTTTTACGTATGAATATATATACTCTATATGTATATTATTAAATATTTATTTAATATTATTTCTTAATACACACTTTGCTACAGTGGAATTTACACTATATTGACTCTAATTTTTTTTTATTTCTCGCAGGACGCGGCTTGGGGAGAGGATGGTCAGCATGAGCTCCATGCTCGTAGAGACAGTCAGTATAAATTATGAAGATTTTAATGAGAGTTTTTTAACGTGCGGCACTTGTCTCTGCGTTTACGATGGCAGCGAGCATACACCTAAATTATTACCATGTTCACACACGGTAGGATTATATGTAAACTAAAATATAATTTATACATATACATAAAGCGTGTACATATACTTCATATTTATATATACGGTAATCTCATATCTTTATTCATGTAGGTATGTCTACATTGTTTAACAAGGATTGCTGCATCCCAGACACGAGAGACAGGAGCATTTAGATGTCCCATTTGTAGAGAATTAATAACAATTCCTCGCGGAGGGGTCCCTGCACTGCCCCCCAGCTTCCTCGTAAACCAACTGCTAGATCTTATGTCTCGACAAAGACGAGAGGTATAGTTGACTGGGACATGTTGCAAGATAAATTTCCTCCTTTGAATAAAATTTTAAATAATATTTACATCACTCTCCGTTGCAGGTCATCCCAAAATGTTCAGTGCATATAAATCAGGAATTATTATTTTGTGAAACATGTGATACAGTGTTTTGTACAGTATGCACCGGTGGGACACACGCAAGAACATCACCCGGATGCACAGAACACACAATTATCCCTTTTAGTATCGCGATAAAAAGGATGTCCGAGATACTGCTTTACAAAGCCAACGAGTGTATATCCAAGGTGAAAATTAGTTCTCTCCTTTTCTTAATTCTTAAACTACGTTCCTGCGCGCAATGTTATTACACTCTATGTTTACCAACACAAAGTGTGTAATTAATATCCAAATTAGAATGTATAAAGAGACGATTTTTGTTTGCAAAATGATATCTCGCTTATTTTATCATTCTCAGTATTAAATATATTTTAAAAATGGTAACTTTATAATATAAATTATAACGAAATAATATAGTTAAAATTGTATACATCGTGTCAACATGCTTATTAATTAAGTGGTAGGATATTATCATTATATTATAACATGAAATGTAACTTAATTATTATTGAATTAATAGATACATCTTTTAGTTAACACAGGCACAAGATTCTGTAAGCACGGAACTGCAACGTCTAGAGGCTTCCACCGAAAGATGTCTGAACGCGGTAGATAAGGAATTCGCGGATATCATTTCGAAGATAGAGAAACGTCGAGCGGAATTGCAAGCAGCCGTAAACGCCGCCGCTCGCGACAAGAAGCACGTGCTCGAGGAGCAGCACTCTCTCATCGAGGCGGAGAAAAGCAAGGTGGAGAGAGAATGCGAGGGATTGCAATATCAGGTAGAGGATAAAAACGCATTCAAATGTATAGTGTCATCTTTTGCGTATCATTTTACAATAATGAGATTTGATATTAAAGGTCGAGGTCCGGAATATTACGCAGCGTATTAACAGCCTGACGGATCAACTTGACGCGGCGACCGCTCTCAGCGAACCGAAGGAGAATGCCTTTATCACTTTCGAGTTTAATCATAACGATGCTCTCTCCCAGTTGGAGCAAGCGCTGAGCAACGTGGGACGAGTACGTTCTAGTACAACATTGCCAGGTACTTAAAAAAATGATAATATAATCGTGTTTCACGCTAATTATCATGGGCGTTCGCAGGATTTTTCCAGGGGAAAATGCATAATTAAAATTTATTAAATTTAATTTAATAAAAAATTTTTTTATTTTTATTTTTATATTAAATATGCAAGTAAATTTTAGGATTTATTCAAAAGGAGAGCAAATGCTTAATTGTTTTATTGATTTATGCTGATTATGCAAAAATAATATAGAAATAAAACAATTTTTGATCTATTATAATTGCTATAATATTAATTAATTAAAACGTTCAAAACGCAAAATTAATTTTTTTTAATATTTATAATACAATCTGCTTAGGTTTATGCCGAGCGAGACTGAAAGACTTAGCGATAGCGAAATTACAAGCAACGGTTGTGGTCGAAACGGTGGATTATCATGGCCATCCTCGGAATGTCGGTGGTGATCTTGTCAGTGCTGAACTGACGCTCGCAGATAATATACATGTGGAAAATCAAGGTACTACCATCGAGACGGAAGTAAAAGATCTGGAGAACGGCACCTACGAGATTTATTTTCGTCCACCGGCCGCGAGTCGATACGTTTTGAAGATATCCGTATTCGAACGACCCATAAAAGATTATCCGCTGTTTTTTGACACGACCGAACATAACGAAGCTATTAAGATATATGGAAGACGCGGTAATGGAAAAGACGAATTTCATCAGCCAGTCTCGGTCGCAGTGGATGATGAAGGAATGATTTATATTTTAGATACCGGAAATTCTCGCATTAAGGTTTGTTTAGAAGAACAATATTTTATGTAGCAAGATATCTGATATAGATATATTCTCAAGTTTTTGATTATTTTAGGTACTCAATTGTGACTTGGAATTTCAAAGGCATATAAATAATGAAGGTTTAGAGGGTCGCAGTTGTACAGGAATCGACGTTTCTCAACAAGGTCTCGTAGTTGTAAATTGGCGAACGCGAAAGATCACGGAAATGACTTCGTTGGGTGATACGATCCGATTCTTTTCGCATAACGCATTTCAAGTTAGTAGTTTCTATTGAAAAAAATTATATATAAGTATGTATAATTATGTATAAGTATTTCCTAATTAATTGTTATGCTTTCGTTTTCCAGGAGCCTATAGACATTGCAGTGGATAAGAATTACGGACACATACTTGTCGCTGATAACGGTCGAAGTTGTGTATTCGTATTCGACTCGGACGGCAAGCTACTATTCCAGGTTAATTTTCGTTTATGTACATATATGAACAATTGCATCTGCAATCATCCTCTTATAATTATCACGAAACTTTAACAGGTCGGCAAGAATGGCTTCAAGCTAATCAGTTCTGTGACTGTTGGTCCCGCCGGTGAGATTCTAGTTGCTGATAGTAGAATTCAAGTGTTTTCCGCAAAGGGAGATTTCTCTGAGGAAATATACTCCGAAGGCAAAGGTAAGTTGCAGTGTATTTTGACAGTGATTCGTTAATATCATATATATAATATATATAATATATATAATTATATAATATTAATATAATATATAATTATATATTATATACATATACATATATATATGTATATACACACACATATATGTATGTATGTGTGTGTGTGTAAAACTGAATCTCTCAAAGAATACAATATTATGGGGATATAAAATAGAGGAAAAAAAATATATTTTAATGCGATAAGACTCTATATGCATGTTCCCAATTTATGTACACGATAGGAAAAGGTAGCTATGGAGGAATAGCTGTGGACGCGGACGGCAAGATAGTCGGCACCCGTACAGACAAGGGTCGTAGTATAATACAAGTAATGAAGCTAGGTGGAGGTAATATCTTAACCGAAATTGACTCGCATAGCTCGAAATTGCGACGTCCGTCAGGTGTAGCCGTATTGCCGGATAATCACCTAGTAGTGGTGGATTTGGGCAATGATTGTATAAAAAAGTACAGATATTGGTAGAAAATCGTTGTCCATTTGAGTATCAAAATTCACAAACCGCAAGCAGGAAGAAAGTTCGTTACGAAGAGATACCAAATGTCAATCTAATTTAGAATTATTTATTCAGGTTTTTCTGTGAAATTTATAGCTCTATAACGTTATATATTATCGCAAAAAAATGTAATACCTATGTTTTTATAAAAATTTTTATATATAGTTTATAAATTATCGGATAAGACGCGTGAGACGAAATAATAACGTTAAAAAAGGAAACATCGCTATTTTAACTCTGACTTTTTTTTGCAAATATGTGTATATAATATCTTACAATTTACACACTTTGGCTTTATTTATTAAAATTTTATTTCTTTTTTTCTTCTCAATATTTAATGTTACTTTCTCTCTCATATTTTCTGCGCAAATGCGGAAATACAAAGCTTTCACTGCGCATAAAACAAAGTCAGTCGAAATGCTCATCAGTACTTATTATATGTATATTTTTGTATTTTATTAGATTTTAAATCATTGCGATTAATATTTGATCGTTTGAGAATGCATAACAACTCTGTTGTTGCTGACTAATCTAGATACATCCGCAGATGATCCTCTCAATTTTGTCAAATTAAGTCTGAAAATTGCTCATTGTTCTGGTTCTGCATGTCACATACACATGATGATTGCAATTGTAATTGATCATATATTAGATGTCGTAAGAGAAGCAATATATATATATATATATATATATATATATATATATATATATGTGTGTGTGTGTATGTATATAATAGTTTAATAAAATCTTATCTCTAAGATAATATATTGAGATTCGAGACAATAGTTTGTCTTTGAAATATACATATAAATGGATCAATTAAAAAGAAATTAAAAAATAGAGCTCGTCCTATTTCTAAAATTTCTTTTTAATAATATGTTTACGATTACCATTTAATGCTTAAAAGTGTTTTGACTTATAGTTTAACAGCTAGACTTCTTTTTCTTTATCAGATAAAAATATATAATTAATTAACAAATAGAATTGTGCAATGCGAACTCAATTATGTGAACAATTTGAACAATTTTTAAACTTGATTTGTTTCAACAAGATCAAGTTCATTATCTACGGATGTATAATGTTATTATATAGAAGTTCTATATATACACATACATACACACTGCCGTTTCATATTATTTTACATCTTCATCAAGATGAACACAGAGCTGTATCGTTATATAAAGCTCTTCTATTACATAAACTTAATCACATATGTAAAGATTGTTTAAATGCCATAGTGTTGAGGTTGTAGAAATTTTGCTTGAATTGCAAGTTTATATTGTTTAAAATCGTAGACATTTTTATTAAATTTTTCGATCTATTCGGCTCTATTTATTATTACATTTATTATATTACGTTTTTATATAGCATATTTATTAATTTATGCTTCGTGATTTGTGTGAAAAAGCTATAGTTTTTATTATTTTTTTTTAATTTTACCTTTTCGATTTTATTTTATTTTTGAACTTTTGCAGCATTTTTATTTTACAGAATAACACGTAAAAGTTCCTTGTCCTTTTTAATAAACAAGAGACTTGGGTTACTCGCGCATCGGTACTACGTGATTTTCTTAACTAAATAAAGCGTAAATTATAATTAATGTAAGATAACTCTAAGCACACACAAATAACTAGAAATATATTAAGAATTGTACATATATTTTTCAGTATTATCGTAAATTTTGATAGAATTGGCGTCATGGTTTATTTAACAAGAGAGATAAATGGTTCATTTATCTAAAGATCTTCTAAACTTATTGTAAAACACACATGATTATCTCGATAATGGCGCATGTTTCTGAAGGCCTACAAAATCACATTCATAATTAAAATCATTTATTATGAAATTTTCGCTGTTGGAAAGACGCTACATTTTAATTTTCGCAAATTTTATCGCGCAAATAATTTCTCTCCATGGTTGAGAAAATTTTATTTATATATATAATGTGTGTGTGTATATTTATAAATTAAGTCATTGAATGTAAATTAGGAAGGACTATGGCAAAAATTTATGTGACTTATTACGTCGCGCAATTTGCTTTTCTATCTGGAAATATGTGTTTAAATCTGTCTAAAGACTATGGTTGTATTCGTGAAATGTTATCATACTGTAATGTATATCTACTTATTCTTTGATACTTATTTCTTGACCGAGAGTGATATAAACTTACACATACATATGTATACACGCGGCTTATAATGTCTATTTCTGTAGCCCCGGAAAGAAGTATTTTCTCACGCAATACTTACTAACTTCGTCTACACAATCAATTTTTAATGTAATTGTACTCTTAATATTTATATACCATTTTTACATGACTTATATAGTTGCATGTTCTAGTTGCATTAATCGTCAGCTGTATGAAAGGGGCAGATGCATTTGAAAATATATTTTTAAATAGATAAATTCCTAAATATTTTTTGAGTTATATAAAATTATATTTGGATTTTAAACGTTTAAAAATATTTTACATATAAGAATGACATCAAAACTGTTTATCTTCTACTTTATGTTACTTTTTTCTTGAAAATTACTGATTAATAAATTATTTTTCTCAATTTTTTCGAAAAGAGATACATTATAATTTGAAAAATTAATTCAAAGTTGAAAAATCAACATAAAAATAGATGATTTTATCAACTGTAATCTTGCCTCTTTACTGTCGACGAGAAATCTCCTTGATGTACTATAAAAATCATTTTTAGAGCACGCAAGTCAGATTTGTGAAGCAAACAATTCAAATTGAATATGCAATCTATTAAGTTTTGAAATTTATATCTTTACGGGGAATGTGTGCGCGAAAATTTTTTAGCAAAGCCTATTTTTTGGACTGTATCGCAGATACGACATTCCTTATGAACTGCTTTGCAGAGTGATTTACCATATATAGGCTACGTTTAATATAATCTTACATACATATATATTGCTTGTATATGTACGAATACGACGAGTCAAACTGTAAAACACGCATTTTACCTATCATGTTAGTTCTTAGCAAAAAAGCATAACAGTGCCTTTATTGAGAAGATGTCACGGTTTATCGACAATTAATTGATGTGTTTTTTTTTCAAATTCGAATGCCCTTAATACTTTAATCGCTACATCACACCTGCCTTGTTTTAGAAGCGTCGACATTCTGATATGATTAAAAATCGTACTCTTTGCATAATTTGTTCGAATATGAATACGAATGTGCGTGAACGAAACAAAAATCTAAATAAAAATAATCATCACCAATATGGAATAATAAGAAAAAAAGACAGGCATCGTTCCTATAAAATATCAAAGTGTTGAAATACAAATGTATGGTGAGAGATCTAGAATCAATCAAATCGATGCGATATATTTTATCGCAATAATCTGTGTTAATTACGCAATTTTATATACAGAGATCTGTATTCGGCAATTTCGCGTTTTATTTATTAACATATACGTATACCTCGAGTCTCATTGAAAACATAACGCTCTACCACAACTCATTAATTATAATAATGTGAAAGTGTGTGTTAATTTTCTTTAAAGTCTGACCCACTAGAACATAAGCTTTTTTTTGTTTCATCAACGTCCTATTGTCGCCTAAATAAGTATCAAGCTGCCATAGATGGCATATTTAAGGAAATGCACAACTGATTTTATTATTCGCGTTTTTTTTTCTCTTTTCATATACTTATATATATGTATGAACTTTTCAGCAGCCAGCCATAAATACTACATAAATTCAGACTGATATAATATTTCTTGTTTGTATTTTTCTTGATATTGTTTAATCTAGTCATACGTCATCTGTAATTGTAACACCTATGTATCTAAACTACTGTAACATAAAATATATTGTAAATAAATGTATAAGCTTGATTCATTGAATGTTTTAATTTAACCATCTGAAAATATATTTATTTCCTCATCACAAATATTAAAATAAACCTATATAGACATTATATATATTTCCCAAATTTAAGTATTCATTTAAATTTTTATATATATATATATATATATATATTATTATATCGTATACTATATATATTATACTATATAGTATAATTTATTATATAGTATATATTATATATATATATATATATATATATATTATAGTATATATTTATTCAATATTTAATCAAAAAATAAATCATTGATTCAGATGCATAAATATTGCATGTACATATAATAAAACCTGACCAAAATATTTATATATATATATAGATTATTATTATATATATAGTTAACAGTTATAATTAGTTTGTAGTACTATATATATTATACTAAATATATAGTATATATATATATATATAATATATTTATTCAATATTTAATCAAAAATAAAATAATTGATTCAGGTGCATAAATTGCAGGAATGCACAATAAATAAACCTGTCGAAAATTTATCCAAATTTTACCTCGTTATATATATACAAAATAATCCCACGTCGCGTTATATACATATCTCAAATAAAATAAAACGCCTCGAAATCATATGGTGCACCATCTCGCTGCGCCGTCCAAAGACGACTGTCTCCCCCGTAATCGTGGGACGCCGCTAAGGAGAGTTTCACGTCCCTGAGTACGCGTAAAAGAGAGAGAGAGAGAGATGCGAGGGACCGAGGGAGCGAGACGGCGATAGGACGCTAGCTAACACACCAGCCGCGGCGCGCTACGCTACGCGACTACACGGTAATGTCAGAGTGGTAGTGAATGGAACGCGGTGTGCTGCACGTCCTCGCGTAGTACGACGCTCCGCGAGCGTCGCGCGCCACCAATGGTCGGCGAGTACGGGCGGTCACGTGACGTGCGTGCCGAGCTGTGCAGCAGCAGAACATTGCAAATGACAAGACGCGTAGGGCATTGTGTCGTACCGCCGCCACCGCTGTCATCGTCGTCGTCCTCGTCGTCCTCTCGTCGTCGTGCTCGCGCCAAGTTCCTCCGTTCTCGTCGCCTCGAAGAGAAGTCCTCGTCTCCCGGTGCCTAGCACGTCGGATACGTGCTTCCGCGTCAGGGACGCGTCCGTGAAAAGAAAGAGCGAGAGAAGAGAGAGAGAGAGAGAGAAAAGGAAAAAGGCAGCCAGCCCGTAGTTGTAGTTGCGCGCGCGACTCTTCGCGCGGGGTCTGGTCCACCTCTCTCTCCCGCGCCCTGAGAGAAAGAGCGGCGAGTTCGCCGAGGCAGGAGGAAGCCGCGTCAGGCGCGCGTCCGCTCCGTCGAGTTCCCCGTGCGAGGGATCGTATCCGAATAGTTTTCTCTGCGGAGAGAAATAGCAGAGGGAGAACGAGAGGGAGAGATAGATAAAACGAAAAACGAAGATGTCGAGCTCCTCGCAGCGTATGCGAAAGTCCTCGCCATGCTCGAAGCAGGGCCCGATGCGTGCCACCCTGCCTGTGAGCTCGCTCATGAGGCAGGGCCGGCAAAGCAGCAGCCTTCGAAAGAGCAACAGCAACAGCCCCACGGTCTCGCCGACGAACGCGGCCGTCTGGCGGGCGCGAATCTCCCCGGAGACGTCGTCTTCCTCGGGACAGCGGAGTCCCGGGTCCCTATCCTACAAAGGTATGTCGGAGCTCCCATCTTTCTTGCCCTTCTGGTCTCTCCTTCCTTCCCGCAGACTCGCTTTTTTTTTTTTTTTTGTCCGTTTGAGTTTTCATTTCTCTCTGCATCCTCGGGGATCATCGCCGGGAACGAAATCGGTTCCAGCGATGGATATTTGATGATTCTATCGCAATAGCGATAGTAACCGACCGGTACTGTAGTGTAGCCAAAATCTGTTGTCTGCTCTTGGAATCTTGTTCTTGGTGAAGGGGTATGTTGATTGTGGAGTGAGTGCATGGCGAGGTTTTGGATGTCCTTTAAAGAAATGATTTTTTCCATGAAGAAGTAAGGTATCTTACGTATTGCTTATTCCGAGGTATGCAAGCTGGATAAGAATGCTTTATTGTGTTCGCTGTATAGATGTAAGACTGCTTTTTGTGTTATGTATTATTTGACACGAGACTTCTTCCTTTTGTATTATTTCAATTGTAAAATAAGTTGGGAATAAGAGAGAGAGAGAGAGAGAGAAATTATTTGCAAGTCTTGCGTGTTTATCTTTGTTCATCTAAATATTGGGAAAGAATTAGTTATTAAATGTTTTCTTAGTTGTTTTTCGAGATTAAATTTTTAGAGAACAAAGAAAGACTGCTTTTATTTAGCATAAACCATCGTTGCTTGCTCTAAATTTATTGTAATCATTTAATAAATAGTTATTTATAAATGCAACCTATTGCAACATACATTTATAATTTTGTTTTTAAATGTATTTTATGAATCATGTTTCACTTTTGACTAACTAACTCACATTTACATACACACTTTGTGCATAATTATTTTGAACAAAGATTACATTTGAAAATCCACAAGTTTAATTCACTTCCACATTACAACTGCAGTAACTGAAGAGACATTTTTAGTTCGGTTACACTGTGGACTTATTATTTACATTTGTTTTCTCATTATTTTGATGGTCAAATTTCAATCAATCCAGCAACCGAAAATTGTTTTTATGGTTCGGTCTGGCAAATATAATACTTTGCAATAATTGCATAATAGAAAATCTATTTAACTGTCTCGTTTAATTGAATATTATCCTACTTTCCAGCCAAATCAAAAACACTGAGCGGCCGTTGTAGCGATAGCTTAAGTGGCAGCCAGAGTATTCGACGAACAGCATCACTGGATACCATCTATCTAAAAGGACAATGGCCACGTGAGTCCTATTATATGCATTCCAGTCTTCTGGTGGACAAATCTACTCAGGTGAGTACATTATGTCCTTTTTACAAACATGTGCATAAAAATGTAACATGAATACATGTATATCACATGAGATCTGTTTGTTTACCTCTTATTTTTATCGTATAGACGGAAGAATGTTCCAATGAACCAAGAAAAATGCATAGTCGTCATCCCACAGAACAAACTGTCACCGATGAAAAATTGGAGAAGAATTATTTCAGGCATCGGTATGTGCTGTTTCGTTTTACGTTTTCTGTTTATTGAAAAATTCGTATGTCAATTTGTATTTTATACATATATATTGTTGTTACAGATTACAACGTACAAATAAAGAAGGTACTAGCAGTAGACTAATAATGCCGGGTGGTCCACCACCTGCACTTCCCGGAGATCATTCAGTACTTTTACCCAGTATTGCTTCACAGACATCCATGCGTGAGTGATCAAAAAATTTCTTGTTCTATTTTATTGAATATTAAATCTAATTGAATATTAAATATCCTGTTTCTTATCTTTATAGACAATCAATTTAGCTTGAGTGCAAAAGCAAGTCCTATGAATATCCCAGTGAAACCAATGAGGCCTCCAATGCGTTCGTCTATCGAAGGGCTCAATCAAGAAATTGAAGGACTCGTGCTCAAAAGTACAGCCAATAATAGCGACGCAGATCATCCAATAGAAGACAAGGTAGTTCGAAATGTTGAGAATTATTAATTTACAAAATTCGATGTGTATATTTTATCAAAATTAAAAAGATTATTTTATATATAAGTTACACATTTAATTTAGAAAAAGAGCAGAGACACGCAGTTTTGAGCAAAATATATTTATAACTTTATCTCGAAAGATATTTTCTATCCGAATGAATAATATATATTCATTATTTTACATACATATTATAGATACCTTTTATCTCGAATACCTGCGGTTTTGCATCTAGATATTGATTTGTTAGATATGTATCATTAATCGCCGCTAAATATGTTATAAAAAAAGCTTTAAATGTATTTTTCATGCAAAATATTAGTTTTGCTTACGTATGTTTTTTTCATACAAAGTTATAGTCTTGTACAATAATTATATGATATTTTAGTGAGTATTGAATTTATCTATTTCTTTTCTAGTATGCACGATATCGCGAGCAAATCACACCCGAAGGACATCGCGCTCCTTTAGCAGATCTATTACGGAGTGTCAACACCACTCGGAGTGTCAACACACAAACGCCGGCTACCGACCTTCCCTCCAGTTCTTATTCTTCAGGTAAGTCGTGCAACCGCGTCTTTATATACTCAATTAATTTGTGGGTGTAATTGATGGTGTTGATAAAATTAAGATGATTATTACAAATATGCAAAAAAGAACCATTGATAGTATGCTAAATTTTTCCAAAAATAGCTGGGTAACAGTCAAGATTAAAAAGAATTAAGATTAATAAGAATTAAATTATTTTACAAAATTATTTATTCTGTACAAAATGTATTTGTGTGTTATTTTTTTAGTAGTATAATCAAAAGAGAATTTTGATTCTTATATGAACAAAAATAAAAATAAATTGAAAATGTAGAATAGAATTTTTTACATGAATTGTTTAAAAAGTAATTCTATTTCATAAAAAATTGTATTCTACGTTTTTAATTTATTTTTTATAATTTTCTTCTTTTGATTATGTTACTCGTATAATAATTATATCAACTTGTATATATACACACACATACTTGTGTATATTCTTTCTAATTAATTGTTTCTGGTTAACGTGAATATATTTAGTATAAGTAACACACTAACTAAAGGTGTGTGCCTGTTGAGACAGGCCCTCCATCTAGGAATTCTGAGTCTCCGCTGATTCCTGGTGTTATGGATGCGTCCCGTCCGCCTAGCGATCTCTTACAAGGTTGGAGCATATTTGCGGAAAGATTTGATTTTGCCTTTTCACAGATCTCATTTGTTTGTTTTTAATCTCTCGATTTGCCATGTTAATACTATGCATCTAATGATATGGATAGTGAATCATTAAAAACTATTACTCTCGCACATAATAAATTTTAAAATATCACTTTTATGGAAAAATATTTCAAATAAAAGTTACTTGATTTTAAGAAGAATGTTCATGCATGATCAGTACAGTTTTATTACAGGAGCGTTTTTAAATAAGAAGATATACGATTTTATTGAAAAAAATAATAAAAATAAAGATGGGCTTTGAAGTCTCGCTTCTATTTGGAACAAAATCGTGTTTATCATAGAATGTCTCCCTCTTGAGATCAAGTAACTTTTAGCTGATACATTTTTCTATGAAACATATTTGAAAATTTATTAGAGTAACTTTTTTTTAGTATGGTTTACTCTGTGATTTATCTTATACAAGCATACATACATACACATAAATGAAAAAAAAATTATATTTTTGTCAAGATTCATTAGAACATTCATCTCGTATGCATGATATTATTGACCCCTAAAAGAGCATCAAGGCATATGTAAAACTAAATTTAGTAAAAGAATAATGATATTAAATTTTGTTCAAACTTATATGGTCACAATTTTTATAATCACATTATTTCTATCGTGATTTGAATCTCTATTCAAAAGCTTACAATTTTTTAAATAAAAAACACATGTTATACGTATATATTTTTATCAATAACACATTATTAAATTATATGCAACCTCAATAATTAAAATAATATATAAATCAGATATTTAACAAAATTCTGTATAGTGATATTAGTTGCATGTTTTGATATGACTTATGAATGTTTTATATATTACTTATTTATTCTTTATAGTTAGACATTTTTCTCTTTTGTCTCTATAAATATTGCTATTAATATATGAAAACATATATTTATTATATGAAGACTTTAATAACAATTTAAAAGATGCATGATAAATATTACGGTTAAATATATTATATATACCTTTATTTTATTTTATTTTTCAGCATCACACAGCAAGAATGTTATAATATATATACATACATACATGATCTTAATATTTTAATGCTATTATTTATTTTTATTGTAAAACAAATGTACAATAATACCCCATTTTACATAAGCTCACTGTTTACACTCTAGCATCTATTTTAAAATATCAAATGGCATGTAAAATTCATTATGTATTTTGATCAATATAAAAAAAAAACAATGTTTCACCCAACGTTCCATTTCTTACACGAGAATGCGATTTTCACATTCTTTAATTTATAGGTGGAAGCCGCGGTTCAACACCTGAACAAGACAGAGAAGGACGTCTCGGTACCTCTCCTCACATTAACAGGTTCCTGGCGAGGGAACCGCCCGATGGCTGTGAGAAAGTCAACCTCAAATTTGTGGAAGATGCAAGGTAACGTAGAAGTCGCTCTCTATTGTCTCTTTCTTAGGCATGAGCATCCGTAGAATTTTTTCCAGAGCGGAGAGATGCTTAAATTTTTTTTATTTTCTATTCTTTTTTCATTTTTTATGTTAAATGTGCAAGTAAATTCCAATGTTTATTCAGAGCTAGAGCAAATGTTTAATTTCTTGTTGATTCCAGAGAGGAGCAAATACTCTTCTCTTTTGTCCCCTCCTTTTTATTTTATTATTTTAATTTTTTCTATATTAAATGTGCAGGTAAATTCCAATGTTTATTCAGAGCTAGAGCAGATGCTCAATTTTTTACTGATTCCAGAGGGAGGAAAATGCCCTCGTTTGCTTTCTCTTGTGCTCTTAGGATATTTGTAAATAATAAAATTTCTTTTTTCATATGTAGGCGGCCCATGATAGATTTGAGCAAACTAGACTATTCCCCAAAGCCGTGCGTTCCAGCATTCCAGTTGAAACCCAGCTTGGGATCAGCGTTCCTGCCATTGCAACAGCCGGCCAGCCCGACGATGGTCGCCTCGAGTGCATCACCCTCCGCGCATACGACACCGACCACACCTCCACCAAATCCATAGTCCCACTCTTTATCTTGCGGTGTTACACTTGTAAGCTCGATTAGTATATATTATATATATATACATACATATATATATTTTTTTTTAACGACCTTGTGGGTAGAAAGTGATTTACTTCGACGTAAAAGCATATATATCGACAAAGAAAAGTTACCGAACAAAAATGAAAGAAAGAAAGAAAAAAGAACAGCCTGTTCCCAGTGCGCGCCGCGCGGACATCGTGCTGGCATCGTGGATCGTGTAATTAAAGAAGTTGCGGAATTGCATGAATACAAATAAAAAAAAATAAAAGGGAAATAAAGTATTTGGACGGCATCCGAGCTCCGTTTATAATGTTCGAAACAATAATCTATAAATACGAGGAACAATAATTTGTGATAACTAAAAGAAAAAATACACAAAAAAGATAAAGAAAACGACAACGTTTAGGAATGAACATTGTGTTCTACAGGGAAAAAAGACTAATGAAATTGCGTATTCTAAATTTAGTGCTAAAATGTGCTAAACGACTTTAATTTTGTACACACGGATAAAATATTCAAGATTATGACAAAAAAAGTATTAAATTTGATTGTTGGAATAAACAAAATTATATGGATACAGAGGAGATAAGAAAAGGCACGTGTGCACGATATATATGTATGCACGTATACGTACATATATATGCATACGTATATATACATTGTTGCTCGTCTCTATGATGTTTTTATTAGAATCTTCATTGTTTGAAGTACTCGATTGCATAGTGACAGAGATGTGAATCACCCTTGTTAGAATTTTGTATCGTTTTGTATTATTACTTGTATGCTCTAAAAAAAATATTCTCAAACTATTATCATATGAGAAGTTAGAAAATGATGTATCCCTATGTTTTTGTTTTACAGAAATGGAGTTTTACACGAGAACGTCATTTTTTAGGCGAGATAAATATGTGCGCGATTGTTTATCATGAAAATATTTGAAGCCGCGAATGTGTTTCTCCCTATAATATTTTTAACAAAGATTAGGCAAATGATTCTAAATTTGAAATACGAAATTGTGTTTGATATTTCGAGATAATTCTAGGCTTTATCCGGAATTGATAACGTCTCATCGTTCTTCCATTCTGTTTTGCGACAATACCATAGGGCTACAATATTTTTGATTTATCTTATATATTACGTTAGTTTACAAACTGAATATGTACAACCAACACAACATGCAGTGACAGGTTGACGAATGCATGATGGAATGAGTCCAACGACATAAGAAGGCTACGTATTGAGTTGACAGAAACGCGAGAGAAATGAGTGATAATACTAGATATTGGTTGAAGTGACGACATGCGCTTTTGTCAGTGTGGTATCAGATGTGGTCATAAAAACGGTTCCATAATCTGGCACGAAAAACAGGTGTGCGTGTATGTTTTTTGTATAAATGCGGAGAATTATTTAGGAAGATATAATCTGCGTCTTATACAAAGCGACAGTATGTATGTGTTGTATATCAGAATTATGATTAACCATTCACGAATAACTTTGAAGACTTAAAGCGCGACAGAAAAATCAATTTTGGAATATTCGGCCAAACGCAGACTGAATATCAATTTGTAAAAGTAAATTTACGTTAAATTAGACAGTTAATAATTTAAATGGAGGTTTATTCTTTTAATTTGAATCAAAAATTATATGTTTTGCGATGTTAAATTAATGGAGAGATCTTAAAATATGCGTGGAAAAAAAAGAAAAGTTGAAAGTTATTCGTGCGATGGATTAAATTATCGTTTTACGCAGATATAGCCACTCGGAAGAAGTTCAAGTTTATTTTTTGCTTTTTAGTACACATTTTGCAAACAATTTTTATAGTTACAGTGTCTGTGGGAGGAAAATAAGAATCTTGATAGTGTGTAAAGCCAAGAGCGCGGAAGAAACGGTTTTTTAAATACGATAGTAATATACTTTCTAATAATGTAATGTAATATCTAGCTACAACAGTGAAGATGGAAAAAAGAAGAAAAAAAAGAATGTTAACACATAAGTACCTGGCACACTGGTCTATGCTCTCTCTTATCCAGCTCACTAGGAAGTTCATGCCTTAGAATGCGTGGTAAGGTGTGCTATACATAGACAGGAAGGTTAATCAGAGAGTCAGGATACACACAAAATGCACACTGGCTAGTTAAAGTGTATACAATACGAAAATACCCCAGATAGCAAACATACGTCATTTTGACGTCTAATGACGTCATTTGACGTCAAAATGACGTCAGTTTGCTACTTGGAGCTGTATAGTATTTACTAGCTTAAGAGAACTTCGTTTTTTATTTATTTTGCTACAGATCTAACAACAACACACCTCGTACCACACCGCACACTCTCTGTCGTATCGATATCTGAGTGTAGAGCAGCTTCGAGAAGAGAAAAGCGTATTCGACTACATTATTATACTTCGGTCTGTTCGCGTGCTTTGCATCCTGAACGAATCCGAAGTAATGCGCGACGCGTAATAGTGTATAATTAATATTAATGAATAAAATGAAAGAACAGATTTTCGTAATTTTAATAAGTAGATTTAAAAAAAAGAAAAAGATTTCAAAGCGAACGTTATTTTCACCGCAATCTGTCAAAGGGCTCCACTTTTTAACCTTCGTGTACTTGCATAATGTGTTATCATTATTGTTAGTTTTCGTTATCGATTCCGTAATAAGCAGAGTAACGTGTACGAAGACTGCTAGAACCGAATATTATTACCTGTTATTTGGGATATACCTAAAAAAAGAAAAAAAAAGAAAAATCTAAAGTTAAATTAATAAATTAGGCTCAAATCATATTTCCGATTACCTATGAACGAGTGTATATAGATCTATATACTTTAATTCATTATTAAATAATCTCTCCTTACACATGACTATACTGTTCGGTACATTCTCTCTACATATCTAAAATCTGAGCAGGCTTCAGAAACGGCAAAATGATTATGTCAATTAAAAATTTATTTAACCCTAGGACACAGTCTAGATGTATCGTTGCAGTATCTTGCACACTGAACGAAAAATAATTGTTGAACGTGTATCGTAATTTGTGTAAGATGCTCAGAAATTATACAAAACTTTTTCCAATATATAGAAAACACATGTGTATGTTATATAAAATATCTTTTAAAAAAATTTTATATACCTGCTGAAAAAAATTTAAAAAGTGCAACTTTTATTCACTGTTTTATAATAAATATATAAAACATTATTTAAATTGGTTTTTTTCATTCTATTTACTATTATCGAATGAATTTATCTTTCGTGCATAAGTATGACACAAATACGTCATACATAATAATTCCGATGTACCGAGCAATATGTATTTTCACTATTTGAACGCGCTGCATATATTAGTTAATGTATCATCAAACTTTTTTGATGATGTATTAACTCTTTAATCTATTATAAAATAGCAAGACTTGTGTTAATAAGCACTTTTGTTCTCAAATATATGTTTATATGTTACGAAAATGATAGGTTCACGAGGATAAATATTATTCATAGACTATTGTTGCGACTAAAGTTAATCTTTATCAAATTAAAAATGGACAATTTTTTATAGAATTTGCCATTTAAGTATTAAGTATTTTTATATGTTTGCATATCTTGGTCTTACAAATGCAAATATATTTGATTTTCTAGAATAACAAATTTCTTAATCGTTTCATTTAATTCGCGATATTTTCGAATTCTCTATTTTAAAAAAAGAGTATCTTACAATGCTATAATTCTCTTATATTCATTGTTCTTGTCTTGTTTAAAAACAAAATTTTGAAATTTATTTAGTTTCCTAGTCGGTCCTAGGGCTAAATCAAAATTAGTCAAAAGAGAGAAATAGAGCATGTAAATAATAAATTAACGCGCTTCTTATATTAACAACTTTTGATATAGAATATAAGTGACTCACGAGAGATGCTTCATTTTCACAAAATTACATTTATTAATGAAGCAACACATCGATCAATAAATATATATATATATGTATATGTATGTATACATATAAATATATATGTGTGTGTGTGTGTGTGTGTGTGTGTATATATATATATATATATATAAGAATACTTTTGTTTTGTGCTCATATTTTCATAATTATATTTCTCAGTTATATAATTATTTATCATATTTGCAAGATGTTTCAAAATTAGCAGAGTCAAGTACGAGATTTTTATAAAGTTTGAAATGTGATTTTTATTAATAAAAACATTAAAATATCACTGAATTCGAATTATAATATTCGAAAAACGTCAATTCTTTATAAATTAATCTTCAGAAATAAAAGTAAGACAACTTAACAATTTATATATGTAAATTCTAATAAAATGGTAACTAAATTAAATTTTGATTTGCTTAATTAATAAAGATAACGAGAATAAGAGAAAATTTAAACCCAAAATTAACATTAAAATTATGATCTTATTTGATACTTTCACTAAGATAGAAGTGATTTAAATTTTTAATATAAGGAACAATGATATATGCCATTTTGGAACAGCTTGTATATTTTGCATACGTTTGCATTTATCAATTTATATATTGATATATAATCTTGCGGATAAGTTTTATAATATTACAATAATGATTAGTTTTATTTGATTATAATATAAAATTACTTTATTGAAAAGTTATCTTTTTAGTTTAAATATCTTTTATTTAATGTTTGTTGATCAAAATTATCGTCACACGTTTCCAGGAATTGTATGGGAATATGTAAGTGTCGAAAAGCATTGAGAATATTAAATGAAAACTTGGTGCTTTTTAATATTCCTGTATTGAAATATGATATATCTTGACGTGTTGTACGATTAGTTTGAGAAGAAAATTGTTTTATTTTATCAATTTTTAATGACTGAGAAAATAACGTCGTGAACGATTTACTATCAATGCTCCGAAATGAATATGACGATAAATATGATGAATACTACGATTGTGATATAATTTAATAAGCTCACGATGTTTCGTTCGGCCATTGAGATAAATACATCGATTGTTGCGCGCGATGGCTTTACCAAACGATATAATTATTACTTCATTCATCGATCATAAGAGAAAGGAGAAATGTTAATAATAATAATAAGTATATTTGTAACTTTCTCAGAGCATACCACATGCTATTAAGGAAAAAAAAGAACTTCTCTCAATATGGAAAGGTGAGCACGGCCAAAGTGTTGCCTAGTACAAATATATTGTAAAGAAAAATGGATTGTTATTTAAATGAGCCAAAAGTGCTACTTGCGTTTTGCGCAGATTTATTTCGAGATATATACTTATCAATGTCCTTGATCTCAACGCGAGTCCTCTTATTATCTTACCTCTCCATAGTGAGAATTATTCTGCGTAAGTTTGTAAAAAAGATTTGATTTTTTACATGCGCAATTAATTGTACTCTAATTTTACCGGCATAATATTGTAATGTACTTATTCCAATAACAATATGCACCTTTATTTTTGTCATAAAGGATAAATGGAAAGAAAAATGTACCTTTTTATATTACTATTAAGACGCCTTACGTAAATAAACTTTTTAAAAAACTAGATTGAGACGTATAACTTGTTATGATATGCACAGGAATGCCTTAACATGAATTTAAATGCATGTCAAGGCATACAAGAAAAATACATATGCTTCAATATGTACATAAATTCATTCACTAATGCATTCCTATTCCCGTGTATACATAAAAACTTATGTCCATATTTCAGTTTTGCAAGAGTTAGTCCATACTAACTCTTGTTAGATCGAGAAAGGCGCCGGAAACGTTGAGATAAAATGGCGGGAAATGGCGGAAATAATGGCGTCTCCACCGGGCCTCCTGTCGACCCTTAATGTTTTATTTTATTGTTTTTATTAAATTATCAGATATGTTTGTATTTCTAGCCAACTGGTACATACATGTATATTTTCCTTTATTTTAAAATGTTTTATGGATATTCAATTTCAATTTATATTTAATAAAATATATATTTTATTATTATTAATTCTCACAGAGAGCATCTAATTATATTAGGTTTTACTGATTAAATATTATACTAATCTATTGCATTGGACATATAAAACAATTTACTTATTATAATATAACGATTTTTCTTTGCAATTAAACTAAAAATAGGATTTTTAAAATGGGATAGTAATTTCTTTTTTGGTAATAAAATATTTAAAAATATAAAACAATTTCATAAAAAAGACCAGTGTTTAATCTTTGCTACATATTAATTTTAAACACATGTCAGCATCATATAAGTCGCATGTGTATAGATATGTTTTTATTTACATAAATATTTATAATCATATGTTCATCTTCTTAATTGTCAACATTATAATATGTATAACAAGATACTCATCTCGCATAATTAAATTAATATTTTTCTTTTTCATGTATGTACAAATTGTCTATAAAAATTGTCATAATTATAAACCCATATATTGAGGGGAGGAAGAAAAAGTACTTCTTGCGGAATTATTTTTCCTCGATTCCTCAGCATTAGGACTATCACTGAAAATAAAAAAAATATCTTGGCAAATATGTAAAAATACATTATAAAAATAATCCTTATTATTTTGACAATATTCGTGTCAATGCTTATAATAAATGTTTATACACATTTAGCGCCAAATGTAACCAATTTTAATATACATTATTTATTAGATAAACACAAATAAGCCGTAAATAGTTACGTTTAGCGCTAACTTTATGATACCGATGTATAGTTATGATGGATTCTTTTGTACCAGCTTCTTTTAGTCCAGTAGTAATTCATACTTCTGGACAATGTTAATTTATTGGAAGCGCTATTCTTATAGACTAAATAAATTACCCAAAAAAGGCATCAAAGATACGAGCGTCTGTCTGCTCGGTCTACATCCAAATGCGGGAGAGCACTGAGCTATTCGTCCGACGACGCGTCGTAACCACTGTTGCAATTTTTGTCGTCGTTCTTCCACAAATTTCGCATCCTAGAACATTACAATGCAATAACAATTATTCTCATTACATATAAATGTTTATACAATTACAAATTTATGCATCATCTAATACTTCAATACATATATATGTAGTTTACTTTATTTCCTATTGTTTTTTTTGGCGGAAATTCGAAAGTTGTAACAATAGTGTCATGTTTCTTTAGCTCTCTATAAAGCGCATAAAATTGAGCATATCTCCTGTAAATGTTCCACTCTATGTCCCTTATGCGTACATAAATCTATATTGGAAAATACACGGAAAAATTAAAGAAGAATTATTGTTGATAAAAAGATTTTAGATTATAAAGTTGCACTTCTTATACTTGATAAACATGATGTATGTCGGATGATTGTCCTGTGAGAAACGCGGATGGAATCCATATATGAATAAGACATGGAGGTTCCGCAGGTAAATCGTCCTCATTCAACGGTCCTCGGAGACACTCCAATTCTGTTTGCAACATCTTCACTAGTTTGTCCCTGCAGAAAATTCAAATTCAATTAGGAGAACCATCATGAAACATCGCATGATTTCGCAACGTGTGATTACATACTTGTTTGTCAATTGCATTGTCAGTCTGGCATTAAATTCCATTAACTCGGCATGCATATCTGCAACCTGTATCAATTTCTCTTCATACTGTCGTGCCTCATTGTGATAATCCAACGGCGGATCTTCCTCGGATATCGTCGTGGAATTGGAATCTCTTCGTAACATTTGAACGGCAGTAACATACTTACGCAACTGTTGTCGTAAGAGTTCGTTTTCTCTGCATAATTAAAATTGTGATTAGAATTATATATTCATTACATAATCAATATATTTGCTGAATCACATACATTACTTAATATAATCCATATTATAACTATTATTTATAAATTAATATAAATTTGTTAAAAACTTTTGAAACTATGTTTTCACTTAATTAAATAGAGATTAGGAAAATTAAGTTACGTGTAAATCAAGATATAAAATAATTATTTATAAATTAATCAATCATAATTACCTATTTAATGTTTGCAATTGCAATTCGTGCCTTTCTAAATAATGTTGATGTTGCCTCTGGAAGCGAGCTAATTGTAATCTGCTTGTTATAGCATCTTCTCTAGCTTGTTCCAACACCTCTGTCATAGCTAAAAGCCTTACACGTAATGTATCTATGTCTAGATTCTCTGGATCTATATGCAGATCTAAACCAACTAATGGTTCTGTTGCTTCCACTGCAGGTTCCGTCACGTCTGTTGAATCCTGAATGAAAATAAAACTTTTAAAGAGAACATTATAATCTTATGTATATATTATTTTTAAATCTTGTTCTTTAGGGAAAGAAATTGATTATGGATTAAATCTATCTCTTGTCTAAGAATTATTTAGTATTACTCTAAAGCATTTAATAAATGTTATAAACATTTACAATATATAAATCTGCTTTGAATTTTTAAATACATTTGTATATAACAAATATATTAAATTTTTATTTTAAAAATAATCAAAATATAAACTTACATTTAAATAATTTGGCATAGTGACTATCATATCATCCAATGTTTGATCGAGTGATGATACAGGTACAAGGCCACCCATATTTCCAGTATCCATTATAGGAGTTAATACTTTTTCTTCTTCGAAAGACTCACTGATATTAAAAAGTTTTTATTGTATATGTAAAAAAATACTATGTACAATATATCTTTCATTATGTCATGTAATAACAGCTGCCTACCGTTGTTCCCATTCCAAAAGTTTTGTATTAACTGTACTATTGTTGGAATCAACTTGTGGTTGAGAATCTGATAAACAAGGCGAGATAGAATCTTTAGTCGATACTGCCGTAGGCGAGCTGCGACATGTCGGTGGTGCGCTTATAGAAGTTGTATTTTCCTCCCTGTGTTCGTCTTCCTCATCATCGAAAGAAATAATACGTGTTGGTACTTTCTTTTTCCGCTTTTCCTGTTCAGATGCAAGAGGATCTGTTTGACAGATTATAATTAGAATATTAATAATTTGACAATTTTTTTATTGATTTGATGCAGGAATCTTATTTAATATTATTTTAATATTGTTTTAAATAACATTCGAGTTTTTAAAATAAAGATTGAAAATTTTGTTAGATGAAAAATTATGCAGAATATTTATTTTGAATAATAAAAATTATTTAACATTACATGTGTAATCTCGTTTTTATATTTTAAAAGTTTTTATTAAGTATGATAAATCTTTTGTATTAAATTAATAGATTTAATATTCACCTGGAATTAATGTAGAAATAATTGGCTCTGATTGAGCACCTCTGTTTTTGTCCATGTCTTTTCCTTTCAAATCATCAAGTTCCTCATTATCCACTCTTATTGCAAATAAGATTGTTCCAAGACCTACAAATAATTAAATTAATTTATGCTTTCTGATATAAATAGAATAGTCATTGTCTCAGAACGAAAAATACCTGCAGCTACGTTAGGTAATACAGAACTCTTCTCCTGATCGAGTAAAAAGGCCCATTCCTCATAGAAGGGAGACAATGTATCCGGATTTATGATAGCATGTAAGTGCCGCTCCAGAGACCTTTCATTCAAGACAGCCCTCAGCCATGCTCTGCCTCGACCGTAATCTGTATGCACCTTTCTCAATATACTAAAACGTTCCTGTTCATGCCATGTGAGTTGTTCTTTTATGCATGGCCAGAATGCTGCATCTATTATATTACCAGGTTTCACATTACCACCAGAAACCAAGTCGGATACGTGTCTATAAAATAAATGAGAGAAAATATCTTTTAATATTTTATTGTTTTTGTTACATTGTGATGTAAACTTAAATATGATTGTTTGACTCATATTAAAAATTTATCAATAAAAAAAATATCATTTCCATGCATTTATCATCTCACTCATGAATCATATATTGGATAAGCTTGTGGTCTGTTTCATGACCTTGTATAATAAACACATGTAGATAATTATTATAGAACATGAATTTAAGATAAATTTAAATTTGATCATTTGCAAAATATTGTAAATATTACCTGAAGGCTGAGTTAATTTTTTCTATATAATTTGTCTTTAATCCATGATCAAAGATTGATTCAAATATGTGGCAGAGCTTTGCTACGCATGCTTCTGATTCTGTAGCTAATTCCGCACGTCCACCAAATCTGACATGACATTCTTTTGCGGACATTAATAGACCCTCCAATAATTTTTCCTTCTCGACTGCATGATCTATTATATTATGTGTATTCGGTACTATCGCTGACATAATACGCAAAGCCTAGAACAAGTAATATTTTCAGAAAATAAATCAAAATCAATGGAATTTAAAGAAGAATCTTAACATTTCTTGATGCTTTGCAGTATGCTCTGTAATTTAAAATAGAAGACTATGTCATTACTACTAATTACATAAGACTTATATTGATGACTCTTGTTAAGTAATTGCATTACACAATCTATGCATATCCTATGCGCCTCATATTTATGAAATAATTAAAAATCTTCCTTTAAAATGTATTCTAAAATTTAATAAGATCAGTATCTCAAGTTATATATATTTTTAAAAACAAGAAATCACATTTTTTAGTTTTTAAAATATGTTACAAAAAATAAAAAAAAGTTTTATTTTCATAATTACTATAAGACTTAGTAAGTTTTCACAAATTTATAAATTATTTTTTAAAATCAAATTATAATAGTAAAAGTATACACATATATTAGGTGCATGTAAAGATTGAATTGTACAATTACAAAAAAATAATAGATCAAAACAATGTATTTATCAAGTAAAGAATTGATGCATTTTATATCATTATCCTATATTTAAACATTTATAATAGAAATTCAAAAATTGCAAAAGAAAAAGGAAAACTGTCTTGACACAAAGAAAAAAAATACTGTCGTCACTTCATGTTGCATTCCTGGATAATTAACCTTATTACATCTTCGGAGAACTCATATATACCTAACGATATGTAGATGCTTTATCACTCATATTTGCATACTAACACAAACGACACGTAAAACTACGTAAAAGGCAATAAAAAACTTGTGTAAAAAGTTCACGATACAAAACGTAACACTCGAATGACGCGTAGGAACGCTATTACGACCAATTACGAATTTCTCCAGATTTCTCCCGGATATCTGTGCTTCGGGTAATCGCGAATCTGGGTTACGCTAACCCTCCCGTATTTTTTCATCGCACTGCATTTCAGGCATCGTACTGTCACAGTCGCGTCCATTCATCGTCGTTGACGACACGGAGGGGGAAAAGCATATTATTATCCGCGAACTTACCATTTAAGCGACGCAGTGAGCAGATCACTGCCTCGATCTGCCTTTCACAATCGAGGATTATTAGCGTTCATCGGAAATCGGAATATCCGCGGATGAATTGGAGACTGCGGAGGAAAGAAGAGAGAGAAAGAGAAAAAGAGAATCGCGCGAATCACTTCGGGGACGAAGCACTGGTGCGTCGTCGTTGTCGCGTCATGACATTTAACGCGGAAACATTCGGACGCTCATCGTCACACAAAGAAATCAGCGGAACGTCGGGGGCGGAACTGGCTCCATCACAGTATAATCGTATCGCGTATCGCTAATCGCTACTTCTCCGAGGACATAGACGTGTCAGTGTGGAATAGACGCGCGTCGCGATGGATCGATAGATCGATCGACCGCGCGAATCGATGACGTCGATTGGTCGCTTCGGAAACATCTTGCGCGCCAATCGGATCAGCTGACCGCACAGTCTCGTCTGACACGTGCTGGAGTGCAGTGTGCTTCTGAAGTTCGCAGATTTTTAAGTGCACTTTTTTCATAATAACAATAACGATATATAAAATACAATAAGGTTAATATTCAGGTAACTATAAATATTTAATTGTAATATAGTAATATCATTTAACGTCATATATAGTGTAGCTTAACTATATAATATAGAATGTAGAGGTTATAGTATATCATATAATATTTACAGTATTATTAGTATTACAGTATTATGTAATATAAGAATAGTAATATGTAATATATATTATTTGCATTAGTATATAAAATTAAATATATAAATAATATATTTATAGTAAATATTCTAGAGAGTACAAAATATAACGCTATATATTGAACACGATATATTGCACATACAATTTATATTATATTATTTCTTGCATATATATATATATATATATATATATATTTTAGTGTAATAATAAAATTTAAATTTTTTGGAAAATATTTCTTTCCAACAATATGCGGGCTTAATATACCATGTGCCTCGATAAAATATGTACGCTCCTGAAGATCATGTGACTTCCATTCGATATATCGTTTCAGGTGTTTTGGCGGGAAAGAGCGACGCGTACTATTACGTCATGCTGTCATTTTACGCAATCTCGGATGGTGCTACAATTTGCTAAATTGGCGTGTAATGGTGAGTCAATAAAATTATACAATTGTAGATATATATTTTCAGTTGATAACCACATGCATGTGTGCAAAACAGAAAAAATTATTAAATAATATCGTGAGAGAGAAAGAAAGAGAGGATACATTTGTCCTTTTTCTTTCTCTTAATATTAATAAAATTCTATTATTATTATTATTATCGATTGTTGTGAATTATAATATTCTGAATGAAGGATAAGAGATAGGAATGGCAGAGCAATTAAGAGACACACACATCGCGCTATTTATAAAATCTCTTTTTCTTTTTTATTGATGCTTTGACAACATGGGCTGAGACACACACATTTGCTCATAGTTCATATGAATTTAACCACTGCGTGTATTCAAACGTATACGTACACAATCCATTAAATAATCGCGCCGTATTCGCGCGATACGCAAAACCCGATTTGCGCCACCGTGTAAATAATTTATAATTTCGGGCTTATGTTAAATCGCACACGTATAAAATGTCGATTGCGAATCGATCGCCCGGTAGAACGGTACGCGATCCGCAAATTTTCCGTTTCGAATCGCAGCTGGGGATACACGTACTCTGTAACCGAATCCTCGAAAAGAATAGCATACGTAATCACGTATATCACGTCATATGAAAAGTGCAGCGTCGAAGTTCGTGCGCGATAAGTGCATATGCAAATTAGTTCAATCGTTACACGATTGGATACATCGCTTTAAGAGATGAGAAATATTGTTTTATTAATTCATGGACACATGTGCATGCACAGATAAAAAATTGCGATAAAATATAGATCTAAGTGAATTTAATTTATTTTGTCATCTTTAATAATTAGTCAAGAAAATGATATAAAATAATTTTTGAAAATACTTAAATAATTCATGATGCAAAGATGTAATAAAAGATCATTTAAAAAGAGTCTATATATTCATAATTTTCTACGATTCGTTATTAATTTTTTTGTAGTTCTTACATTCAATTATCTTCATAAAAGTTTTTATATCAATTATTTTATAATTATACAGGGTGTATCTAAATAAGTGCGAGAAATTTTAGGAGATGATTTTCTTTGTCGAAAATTAAGAGGAGTCTTATATATAAACATATACTTTTATATCCTTTTTTTAGAAAAGTATAACTTCTCAGAGAGGAATGAGTATATATGTTTATACAAGAAATAATTTAATTTTCGACAAAAAGAATCAACTAAAATTTTTCGCACTTATTTAGATACACTTTGTATAATTAAAATTTTTTCATTAATTTATAAGTTATTAAATGTTACTAAGTATGTACTGATTATTTTATATTCATTAGAATATCTAAAATTAAAAATAGTAAATTAATTTTAATTATAATTACTAATTTGCTGCGTAAATAAAAATTAAATCAACAATTAATTTCTTAAAAAGCATTGAAATTGACGAGAAAAATCTAATTTTTTCTAATGCACATACATTGACAATTATTGCCACGTGTCCAAGATTAATTTACAACGTTTCCGCGATTCGCGCGCGAACGTCGACGACGACGCCGGAGAGGATTGAAGCGAGAAATCGTAAACGTAGAGATCGCGAACGTAGCGTCCTATTTTTTTTATTGCCACGAGCGTGTCACGAACATTTAATGACGGAGGTCTTACACATTGATCGTCTTTGAAACGAGGACGGGAGAGTCCATCGAGGACCGGTCGCTTTCGGTCGCTCGCTGAGTCTCGTGCTTGTGCGCGTGACATCACGCAAAAAAAAACGCGCGCGCGATTTTTCGCGGATCGTCCCTTCTTATTCCCGATTATTTTTTTTCAAAAGGAAATTACATTTGTCCTCCGCGACAATCGCACGCTCGTCATCTTGATATACGCGCACGCACACACGTGTATGTACATAGATATCCGAGGAGATCATCCACATGTGGGTCGTAAGAATAGGTTGACAGGATAGACTCTTCTAATAGACTTTGCAGACGGACATAATAGAAATAGTTAATATATATATAGCATCATATATTAATATAATATTCAGTAATAATATAATATCTATTATATATATATTATATATATATATATTTATTAATATGTATATTGATATTTTTTCTTTTTAATATATATATTATAGTGCTTTCTTTCGCGTTTTTTTTTTCTCTTTTGTCTTGAGGTGTGATATTCAGCGATTTGCTTTTTTTTAATTTATTAGTGGATATGATGTAAGTATATATATATATACGCGTCAGCCTTATTACATGTGCTTAATCGTCGAATATCATTCCGAGCTGCTAAAAATCTCTCTTCTTAACGTTTGTGATCACGCATCAACCCTTTCGCTAAACATTAGCGGGTAAGTGATTTTATGTGCGTCCGAATTAATGTGTATCAATATATAAAATAAAATTGCGCAGTGTGAGAGTTAAAATTTATAGTATATTAAATTTTTAAGCGTTTATTTGCACACACTTTCGCGTAAACCACGGATAAAAATGGTATTATTTACTTACGGATAAAATTTGCGAAAATACGCGTTAATTTATCATTATATCTTTTCAAGAGATTTTAGAAATCACTTGAAATTTTTTGTATTGTAATAACGATATTTTATAATACCAAAGTAATGCAAATTGTGGACTTGTGCAAATCGCATAAATTTACAGAGCACAGACATTTATTCGTCATTCATTCTCCGAATGTTTTCGATAAACAAAAGCGGCGAAAGGGTTGAAATTCGCATAGAATTTTATAGATAAATTATTTTCGCGCAAGAGATTACATCTAAACAGGGCAAGTTATTTCTACGAGAATGTTTAGAATCTTTATTTAGTCAATTAATCTCGATTGTACTCTCTTCCACGAATTTCTAAATCCCATCTTAATTTATTACAATATTTTAGACTTCTAGCTTCAACTCGTTCTCGTTCAAACAGCTCACCCTGTATATTCAAAACAATAGGAAACAACTTCGATGTTTAGGTGCTTGTACGGTGCTCGAAATCAAATGCGCATATCTGATTGCATTTGCATTTCTCCTTTTTCTATCAATCGAATCGAATCACCGAAGGTGAATGATTTTTATCGATTGGAAGCGAATACGAGACCGAATTTTTTTTATAAGCTTTCCCTTTTCTTCTACGATAGGTACGCCGACTCAAGTTACACTTGAAAATTAACAAGCAAGCAAAGAAAAACGGCATCTTCTCTATAGATATTAGCATTCGTAAATTTTATTCGCAAGAGAACTATTCGTAAGCTCATTTAATTTGAGGACTTGTGTTTCAATATTATTCAAGTATTTCGTGCATTTCATTTATCATGATAAATTTAATAAGAAGTTACAATTAATAAGTTTGATTAGGAAACTATATTTCAGATTAATTAATATTCGCAGAAGCACATTATTTGCAAGCAAGTAAATTTTTTGTTAATTGTTTTTATATTGATACGATTTATTAAGGAATATACAAGTAATTAAAACAATTTTGATAGATTTTGCGCACAAAAGAATTAAGATTTATGATGAAATAATAGTAGCGAATCTTTGTAATAATTCTATTCATTTTGGTCTTGCAACCAGATTTTGTCTAAAAATTGAATGTCAATCACACAATGTTCAATCACACAATCGACAAACAATTTTAGAAAAAGCGACGCCGTTTTCCTCATCTAAGCTTTTCCAATCTTTGATTTTTTTACGATTCAGTTTTTAATAATTAAAGGAACAATACGCCATATAATATATTTATTACCGATTATTAGCGGAACATTTTGATCCTCTCACACATTACAAGATTAATCGCGTCAATTCGCAGCTGCACTCTATAATTTATTTAATAAATAAATCATTTAGACAGCAATAATCTTAAGCAATTAGTACATCTTATCGAGAATAATACGTACTATTTGCTAAAATTAGGTCGCATTACATGCAAACGTTTGCTACGCCGAAAATTAATAAATATATTGCTCTAATTTTATATTTTTTTAGAGTTTTTGCAAACTCCTCTTATTTTGCCACATCCTCATATCTCAAATCCAGATACGCAAAAAAATCGGTTGATTTCATCTCCGTAGAAAATTGTTTCAATTCGCACAAATAAAATTATTGCAGCTTAAAGTGACACAATTTCTGTGACTCTACAGTTCGATATAGCACATTTAAACATTAAAACGAAAAGCGCGCGTTGACTTTTTCATAAGGATGCTGCGTGCTTTATCAAAGGATTCTTATACATATAAAAGATATGAGACTTTCTTCTTTTGATCTTGAAAAACGCGCGATTGACGATACGAAACAACAAGCGCGAAGGCAAACACTGATTAATTAATAACCCGATCTACTATCATCACGTTGGTGTTAGAATCGGATTTGTGCCGTCGTGTTTTTTCAAGTGTTTTTGCTCGTATTCGAACACTCGATAAGAGCACGATTGTCTATTTGACACTTGATATTATTATCGACGCTGATATGCAAATATATGCGATCAAAATAATTTTCGAGCATCGATCTCGTTTTTCTAACTATTCGGTTTCGAGTTAATACGGATATTTAATTGCAAATTTGACTCCATTTATATAATTTATAATTGCTTTGTTTTGTAACGATAATTACTGCATTCGCTGTTGAAGTAATGAAATAATTATATCGATCCGAATATTATTCGCAATTCGGACGAACATACACGGAGATATGCTCGAGAGAACCACTTTTGGAATTAATTGTAGTAGCTGTATGTGGATTATTATTATCGAATATTCGAATACGTTGCACACTTCCGAGTAATTCCGACGGCGCTGGGTGGAATGCGTCCAAGAACCATATTTCCGAGTTGAATGCGTTGCAATTACAAAACGAAAGCGGAGCATACTTGGAACTTCCTGAGGAATTCTCCGTGTCCGCCAATTTCTATTTGCGTGTTTACTTGTCAGCGCGCAAGAAACCGAGTTATACACACACTCTATGCAAAACGATTTTAAACGTACGAGCACAGAAGCCTCGAGTCACTCAATGCATACTTACGCGAAATATTGTACATTGAATTACGCTAGAAAAAGCGCCCTTAATCCTCCCACGCTATGTTACTTGTGTGCGCGAAAAATAATTATCTTAAATGACAAAAAATATTGGATATATATAAATATATATATATATATATATATATATATATATATATATCTCATTTTTTTCACACAGATCTAAATAATCTTTTTTTAATTACACTGTGAGATATTTTTTTTATTTCATATGCTGTAACAATAATAATAAATTGTTAAAAAAATTTAATCATTTCATTCATCATGAAATCCTCTTATCTCTTGCTTTGATTTTGTCTTTTTTTTTCCTACGAAAGTTCAAACGTAAGAAGATTAATGAGGACGCGATAATGTTACCCGCCTGCTAATTCTCGACATACAATCTCATTTAAATTGTATATATTATTACATTTTCTACGCGACTACCACTCACCTTTGATATATTATTATATTTAGTCCCGAAAATAACATCCGTACAAAATTGACTATAGCCGATTGCTTTTATGATGTGTGTTCGAATAGGTCATTTCAAGATCATTTTCGTGCGATGACAAAAGTGAAGTTTATCGATTACTCTATATAATGTCTTAAAGTTACCTCTCATCTCATTTCTCTTCGTATGCCTCACTTTTTCACCTTCTCTTCATCTTTCTGCCTCTTCTCACGCAAGATAGGATGTGTATACGTGATTGACCTGGGATTTTCCGACCGGTAGAGAGTGCTAAATTGTGTGCTCATAAGATTGAAACGTTCTATGAAGATAAAAAAATATGCGACGAGCATCTGCATAATAAAGATATTTGTTCTTTTTCTTTTTTTTTTATACGTCTATGTATGTAAAAGTGTCATTGTTATCCTCCGTTTTTCTCGCTTTCCTTCGTTGAGAATTGAACAGAATGTCCCAACTTATTATTTACAACGACACAAATGTTATTTGACAGACACACAAATACTTTTCATACACGTATAGTGCACATGACATAATATTGATCAAGCGACTTATTTCACTTAATTTTGCCATTACGTGGAAATATAATCTCCGAAACTCAAATTACATGTTTCCATCTATGTGCGAATATACGTTAATAATTTTAATAATATCTTTAATAATTTAATTAGAATAATAATTTTAATTAACCGTCTTACTTCTTGATGTGATCCCCCAAGTCAAGATTAAAATGACTTAATTATTAACGCAAGAGAGACGGCAAATTCGGCGTAAAGATTACTTATTGCTGTAATAATCTGAAAATATCTTCGAGATATATAGCATTCATATGTATATGTATATAATATACGGACGAAATGTTCAAAGATCCATTAATCATTTGTAAAGCTCGTCCAACACCGGGATAAAATCGCTCATGAAGGATGCGATTCCCGCATTGCCATCAAGATATGCACTTTGCACTTTGCGCTTGCATTATTCTTGTTAAATGATGATAAAGGTGTTGGTGTTTGGTCCATGGTATAGCTCTCTTCTACTTTTAATAGTAGTAGTAGTTACTCGTATCGATCACAATATTAACTTTTTTTTTCTCGATATCGTCAATGGAACTAAAACACGTGCTCGTGGCTGCGCTTGTGATACTTAGCTGCTAGAAAAGGATCGTGATAAGTCCTAAGATCATTAGAAAAAGTTGCGGTACGCAGTGATTCGAAGGAGCTGCCTGGACCGACACTGGATAAAGAACTCTCTTTTCTTGTAATAATATTACTCTTTTTAGCCAATTTAATATCAAATTCTGACGGATTACACATATTTCCTTTCAAAGATGAATTCCACATTTTCAGCCAGGAGAAGAAGTTAAAAAATAATATGAAATATGACACACCTTTTGTTAATGAATCAAATTAGAGCGTTATTAGATTAAAAATATTTAAAGAAGAGAAAATTATAAAATATATATAATTATCATTTGTGAGAGAGAAAAAAAGAACTAAAATAACGCACTTTATTCTTATATTTATTTTATAATGTAATGAATAACAAATATAGAACAGAGTTAACTGCTGAACTTAATTAACTCCGCGTAATGTAGAACTTTCATTTTTCGAGAGACCCTCGAGATTTTCTTTTCTCTTTATACGCTTTTCGTATCCGTCGACTTTTCCAGTGAAAATTCTATCCAGCGCCGATTTAGAAATGTCGCCCCAAATTTCTGTTGATAATCTTGAACGCTTTGAATTCGTAAGAATCGAAGATAACGCGACACCTCGTGTCGTAGGTAACATCCGGTCGGAGGGAGTAATCAAAATTGACACGGAGGGGTTGTTTTTTTTCTTTTCTACATACTTTTATCTTATTAGGCCGCGAAAGCGCCGTCTTCGAGACGCTCTCCGTCTCCGAATTTTATATCCGGCCGGGCAACGGCTGTCCTGGTGCAACGACTTCCTTAATTTCGTCATTCCCCCGGGAATGTCTCGCATAAATTTTCCAAGTCTCTTATATGTATATGTATATTTTATATATATATATATATATATATATATATATATATATCGCGCTTACGTAATTTAAGTAAGCATTGCGTCACGGGATTAGTTCTCCGGGATGAAATTCTAGAGTTGTAGAGTGTTAAATTAATACGCGCATTGCACTTTCGCCGTCTCATTGACTCCAGTATCATCGTAATACTACATCGTAGTTGTTGTTGCTATAAATTTCATTACGAACGATAATACAATTTGCGCGCGAATTTAATTTACGAAACGATTTCCGAGAGAAGCGTCTTATTAAGTACGCAGATATAGGCAAAGTTGAAATTGTTAATAGCACAATGGTTCAACTGCGAAATGTTCGGATGAAACTTTCAGTTTGATTCGGTACGTTTTACTTTTCCCGATACGAACAGAAACGAATTTAATTGCTGCCAATTTTTAATTTAATCGGTTGTATTTTAATTTACTCCTTTTAAAAAATTATTAGATTAAATTTGAATTTAATATTATTAGATTAAATTGGTATCTAAACAAAGGCAGCGCGAAAATTAAATTTTGCAAGGTAATTAACACATTTTTATTTAATTTAGATCTTTGATTTTGTGGAATTTGCTTTAAACGCAAACGATTACTATTATAATTTTATCCTGTAATTTCAGGAAAAAATGAGAAAAGTTTTTTTCACAAATTTCGCGAATAGAATAGTATTGTCATAGCGTAATTTAATCAATTTTACTAAATTAATGAATTGTATTTAAATATAAAATAAACGAGTTTCTTTATTTGATTGTATCCCCCAACATTTCCAATAATTAAGATTTAATTCGAAAAAATAAGTTTAAAAATACTAGCAACTGTAAAGTTAAACAAATGTTTTTAATTTGTTTTTTTAACAACTTAACAACTTCGAAAAAGAATTATTTAATAATAATTACTTACGGGAAACACATGTGGCAAGAAAACGCGGTAGTTCAGTATTTATTTAATATCTAACTGTACATCCGAGTGTTATTTTATCGCGTGTATACTCTCTCTTCTTTCTTTAGTAGCATTATTTTTTTGTGAAAAATGGATATGTTATTTCTACTCTCTCTGTATTTAATAATTTCGAATTATATATTTTTAATCTCTAGTTATCATTCTGCATCGAAAAAAAATCTTACAAATCATACAAAGAATTGCCTCTATAAGATTCTTTTCCTGACATAGTTTCAATGATCAAAAAAACATGATCAAGTGAAGTAACTACGACTTTGGAATAAAATAAAATGATGAATCAAAATTCCAACGTGCTGAACATTTTTGTAACAATTAATAAAACAAAATTCATTTGTTAGTCTCTCGCATTTTTGCGATACCTCGTAATTCTGTCGTGAGAAAATAACTTCCCCTTGTTTATCCGTCGTCCTCGATCGAACCTTCTCGGTCTCTGCGGCCTACATATGTATATGTTTATATATGACCCGACAGGAAGTCGCTGCACCAAGAATCGATTGCCACGAGGCAAGCGATGGACATCTCTCCGCGGGATCGCTCTATTAATATTTACAATAAAGCCGCCTATATGTACCAGTCGATGGCACTCGCACGACGACCGGTCGGTTTGCCGATCTCCACACTCGAACCCCCAAATCTTCTCCCAGAGTTCCACCCGTGGAAGGATGAGTCTGTACAAAAGTGATGAACCGCGCGCGCGGGCTTGATGCACGAGAGAGAGAGAGAGAGAGACACAGATGCACTTTCGCACTCTATCGCGATTCACTTGGCCGCGCGTTCGCGATTCGTTATCCTTAAATTTTCATATCCTAACTTCGGGCTGGACCCGACAACACCACCACCTGACGTCGGACGGCACGGATATCTCTCTTTCAGGGATGCACGAGTGCGTGTTGGTCGCCTGCGCTGGCGACGACAGGGCGACGGAGAAGTCCGAGTCCAACACGAGGTCGCTGATGCAACCCACGATGCCCTTCGTGTATCTGCCGCCCGTTGTCCTCACGATGTCAGGTGCACCGCCTTCAAGGACAGATCGCATCCTCGTCAAAAACATTATTTTCTCATACGTAGATTAGGCAAAATACGTGCTTTTTTTCAAGTCTTCTGTATACATATAAGAGTGTTCCAAAAATTACCGGACATTATGTTAATGGGAGATTCCTATAAGATTATTTGGAGACGATTTTTCCTCAGCGAAAATGTCGAGGCACCAATAATTTTCGAGTTTTAAACGATTGAAAATAAAGGGGTTTTCTCAAACTAAGCCTTGGGGAATTAAAATATATTTATTAACAAATCGCATTCTTCAATTAATTTCAAGTAGAGCTTAATAGAATTTTAATTTAAAACGTAGTTACAAAGATGCATGATGGCAAAAATTGGGAACATGCGAAAAATGATGACCTCCTTCGACATTTTCGCTGAGGAAAAATCATTTCCAAGGGATCCCAGAAATCTACCTTTAAACATTGATTCCATCTTAAAGGATACCCTATATATAAAAAAATAAAAACTCATTTGCTATATACAAAATAAAAGAAAAAGATATAGATTCGGTTAAGATGACAGTTAAAAATTCTTCATATCCTTTTTGAATTGGTTTCGATTCCATCTTTTTGTCAGGGTACGAAATAAATATATTTGTGCGGAGATAAATGATTAATGTTTTAAGAGTTTCGCGAGTTAATTTAGATTGGGGGTATAACAGTACAGATTTGATTGCTTCACTCACCAACGTAAAGACCAGTGTCAGTGTTCAATTGTCTCAGTTGTCCCGGGGAAGATGCCGAGACCCCAGTACCGCTGTCTACCACGAGAGATGCCCATTGCTCGTTTCTAGAAAAAAGTCAATGTTATTCATTGCTACGTTTCATTTCGGACATAAATCAGTATAAATATTTTTCTTTCCGCCGTTTTTAATAAAACGCGATTTACCGCCTGCAACAGAGACGAATATTGATATATATATATTTTTTTTTATTCCACGGAATATAGATGTGCGGATTAATAACGCGAAGGTTTATCAAAATATCCTTCTTTTATCGAATTTCGCGAAAATAATACTATTTTAAATGATAGCCTCGAGCTACATGAAAGATTGAAAATAGGACAACACACATTTGTTTACATATACGATGTTCACGCAGTATTTCCTGTTCACTACAAACTTCGTAGAACAATTTCTAAATTCGTTTTTATTTAATTAAAATCGGATCGTAAAGCGCACATACCCGATTCTTTAATATTTAATATCAGTCATTTCGATAGCTTTGCGATGTAAGTGTATTTTAATTTGCGTTTCGCTGAAAGATTAAAAATAGAACCAGCAATTATTCTCCCGCGTATTCGAAAGGACAGCTTTTCTTCTTTGCCTCCTTCCTTCTACGTATCGATCAGGGTGTTAAATAAATAAATATTACGAAAATAGTCATGCGAGGAGAGAAAGGGGAGGAAGATCGAGTAACGAAGCGCGTAAAAACGTTTTCCCTCACCTAACAGCCCTGATACGATGCCACAGATCGTCATCCAATCGCGTAAGATTATATCGGAGCACGGCTTCCCCGGAGCCCAAATTATACGCGAGAGTGAGGTAGCCGTGATCCAGGCCCAGAGCGAGGAAATCATCATTCTCGTCTCTTTGTTCCTGTGAATCCGACTGTCGACCACTCCAGAGTAACAAGCCACTGCTGCTGCTGGCGCGGAATCTCATGTTGATGTCCACCCTGTAGCTGATTATCCTGCAAGCGATTAATTAATTGAGCAAGGGAGGAATTAGATGCGACAAAATTAATCTAAAAAAATTATTTGATTCAATTACATGTATTATATATATATATATATATATATCCCTTAGTCCCGACGGCACCTTTAATCCCGACTGATGGGTCGTTTGCGTCTTTGCGTTATTTGGATCAGTAAAAACGCTTTAAAAAATCTGAAGAAACTCATGGAGCTTCTTGCAACCTTCAACTTGAAGTCCCAATCATAATATTTCGATAAAAATTATTTTTTTATATAGTTTGTTATTAAGAAATGGAGGTACCTAAGGAAAAATCACTTGTTCACTGGGTCGCAAACGACCCATGAGTCGGGACTAAGGGATATATATATGTAAATCGCGAGTTTTAATACATCTGTCTGTATTTAAATACGCGACACGCGTCAGCTGTTAAAATACCGCCTGAAAATTGGCTAATTTGTTTGTTATCAGAATAATTAGGTGTGCAACCGTTAAAGGTTTATCTAACGGGAAACACGATTTATTTCCCCTCAGATTGCTTGTCACAGCGACGCTCGATAAACTAAACGCGGCGCGACTAAAGCGGGTCAAGGAGCGATTGTGTGTAGCATAACGTGTAACGCTGTTTACCGCTCCGCTCGTTTTCGAAACGCCGCTTTGATACGCTGTTTTTGGCCGTATATGTATATGTATACACCCCGAACTTTTGCCCGCTGCCCGAATTATATTTCGCGCGCGTGCGTACATTAATGGAGTGTTAGCGGACGAGTCGACGGATTTTTAAATTGCAAAAACGAATCACCAAATGATGACAGATTCGGGAAATGTTGTCGGGTGACACGGCGAGGCTATACAGACCGTTCTCTATGAATACTTTTACGCGTAATAGTCAATTCGCCGCTAAATTGGAAGGCAATTTTTCAGACGCAAATTCGAGAGGGAAAAAAAAGCGATTTAATTCTATACAAAAATTCTAGAAACTCTATTAAACCAAAAAAAAACCCTTGATATAGCGTACGACCGTATTTATTTGGCGAAAGTTGCGTTCGTTATTTGTCACCCTGGTTATACACTCTCTCGTTATATCGCGCGCACCTCTTCATCGTGTCGGCGTCGTTGTAATGCAGATAGCTCTCGCTGCCGGTGAAGCTGGGCACAGCCCTCTCGTATCTCACGGACGACGTCACAGCGCTGTTGCTACTGCTGGCTTTAACCGGCGATGGCACAAGCCGCGTAGAATCATCCGGCGCCGGACATGGGTGCGGTACACCTGGACGGCACCGACAGGTGAATCGCTCGCGCAGAGGCCGACACTCCGCATCCCCGCAGGGTCTAGCCTCGCACGCGTGCCCGCAATTGCCTACATTCACTCCACCCAGCGCCTCTGCCAGGATGCCCACCTGTGCGACAGAAATTACGTAATATAATATAGCGATAAAAAAACTATGAATAAAGCTGCAATAATGGCGTTCGGTCTACTTTTCTTTCACAAAGCAGAAACAATGATCAGGGATTCAAAGGACCTCACGACTTATTGTTGAACAACAATGTAATAGGCTTCGAAACTAAATATTCGATAGATAAGTTACGACAGAAAAATCGGCTGGTTTTATACCGGAATCCAATTTTATCTAGGATTTTATATAGAATCTCGTACTGATAAAATTAAATCTTGGTAAGATCAGTTGGTTTTGTGATGTCATGTGATGTAGCTTATGATCTAATGGACAGAAAAAACTTGGGCTCTACGAATCGACTGGCTGAAACTCACCAATCCACTATCCAATATTATAAGCTACAACATAAGAAAAAATAGCCAATTCCGTCGAAAGTTAGAATCCTATTTGGTATAATTTATATGAGAGCTCTGCGACGTTATCTATCAGAGCAGCGGAGCTCAAACTTGAAGGTAAGACGTTCTCTTACAGTGGCATTATCTACCGCGTAAGTTCGGAGCGGCGGCTGTATAATTTCTGGTGTTCTTACCTCGCGATTATTCAGCACGATCGTCTGAATGCAGCCGACGAAGCTGGCCGTAGTTTTCATCTTCGGCGAGTACATGTCGGACGACGGCGCGCCGCCCAAATAGAGATTCAGCGGTAAGGATAATTGCGTGAACGCTCCGGGCGCCAGGATTTCCTGGGCCGGGTCTTCCTCAACTTCCAGGGATGCCAAACGACCCGTTCGAGAGACTCGAACTTCGACCCATTCGCCGAGACGAACCGGATTCTCGCTCCTGAAACGATAATGCAGATAGCATACTCAGAATGCAACGTCATTAACTTTTGAAGGGCCGGCGGGTATTTTGCGAAATCCCCTGAAAATTTTGCTACCGTGAGAAAGGAAAGTTTCCTAATTAATGTATATAAATCCACACACATGAATCGTACATTATGCGCCATGATAAAGTGCAGTCTCCTGTTGGCGGTGACCTGTTTTTTTAGGTCACTTTATTTGATTCATTCCGGAAAAACACCGAAGACCGCAAAATGGCATTGAAATAAATTGTGGAAAATATTATTTTTTATTTTTGTTTTTTGTGTTTTAAAATTATACAACAAAATTTTTTCCGAGTGTCTTTTCTAGGAAAAAAAATCAAGAAAAGAGAGAGAGAGAGAGAGAAAGTTTTCAAATGGTTTCGTATCCGAATGTTTTTTTAGCTACATATTTTCCAATAAAAAAACTATGGTATATCCGAGGAAAAAGTAGCAATTATTTTATTTAAGATTCTCTACATATGTAAATATTACTTTTTACTTACATAGATTTTTCTATATTGATACGTTATTATTTCTCTTTCTAGGATAAATACATTTTATTTGACCTGTTTCGATCTTTATGATTTATTTCCATTTTCATTTTATTTATCTTCCTTTATCTTTTTTTTTTTTTTTTTGTACGGTGAAAAAATTCTGAACAAGAAAATGAAGTACAATATGAGAGATAATATGGCTTCCTCTACCTTAACGAGGTATGACGCAGGGGGTTCTTCAAGAATATATTCAAGGTTGAAAAAGGGAGATGATATTACTCTTCCTCAGCTATTTCGAACAATCCAATCTTTTTTCTTTTCTTTCTTTCTTTTTTTTTCTTTTTTTTTTTTTTTTTGAAAAATGAAGTCTCATTCACGCGAGATCAAATTTATACGGTACACTTTCCTTTACATTTATTTCTCTTTTTTCCTCAGAGAGATATTACTTTTCCCCGTGACTTTTCGATTTTGCAAGATACCGTACATTTTGACACGGTATCTCTTTTTCGCGCTGCGAAAAATCTAACATGCGTTCGAAAAACCGTTCCGCCCGAAGCGACTGACTGTGCTTTCGTCTCCCCGAAATGAAGCCCTCGAAAACACGTTAGCGCCGAAAAAGTGAAACGAGATTCGCGCTTCGAAAAATTGAAACGCGCCGCCTTTCCGCGCGAAGCAATTAACGCGTTTCCCTTCCGCCACGTTTCACCACCATCGTCTACAATTATAATCGATGTTAACTCGATATTGCTCCATCGATTTGATTTCGCGACGACGCCCGGGAGTCAAACCAGCCAATGTCGACCTCGGAATTTTCCTCCGGAGGAGAGAAACGAAAATTCGCGCGCGCGCGAAAATTTTACGCGCACAATCGCGGATCGTATCCGATTTGAATTTCGCGAGAGGAGTCGACGAGCAGACAATGGATGAAAGAAATTCCTCGCATAATTAATATTGCATAGCGGGACAGAGACAGGTGAGTGAGGGAGTTCTCCGTGAGGTCGTAGGCGGGAAGTGAATTGCTAATTAATATAGAAGCGAGGAGGTCGGTAATTTTCATATTGGACTTTTCGCTCGGCGCTATTACGATAAAAGATACGGCGCGCTTGGAACTTGGAGGCTCGCTTGTTAACTGTTTTTTTCTCCCAGACGCGAGATTAAACATCACCCTCGCTTAATAGCGCGCGTAATAATACGCGTTTTTTATATGGCGGGGTTTTTATTTGGCGGACCAGTGATATTGAATTCTCGAGCGAGATTTATTGTTTATAGTTTATATATTTTATATGTGTGTATATAGCGGGGAATAAATTGCATTTAAATATTCCTGTCCGGATAAATCGTTATTAAGGTATCTGATAATTACTGCGTTAAAGGATTATAAATATCATGCGTGCAAATTTATTTGTATTTTTTCTTGAAACGAGATATCGAAATGCTGAATAATTCTTATCTTCGAGTTTTATTCTTCGTTTAATTTGAAATATTTTCTTAGAATTTAAAGAATATAATTTCTTTAAAGAAGGATTTTCCTTTGACAGATTTGTAATTTGAATTTCAATTACTACAATATTTAATATTGTAAATCGAAAATTTGCAATATATGGCAGTTTCTTCCGACATTTACATAACAAATTACGTGTCAATATAATAATATGTATATGCGATAATGTATAATAAAATTGTGTTTATTTAGTAGTACAAACATGCCGCGAATTGACAATATGTATTTGCCTTGAATTCTCGATTTATTTAAAATTTTATGCGATTGCGTGTGTGCATCTATATTTTCCTTTATTTAAACATTTTTGTCTACGGAATAAATGATACTTATAATGTTTCAATATTATCAACTTTAATTAAGCACATAGAGAATACTCGAACGAAAAATCTTTTTAATTTGGAGAATATGATAGTCTTTTCTATAATATCTCGAGCCTTTATAATTATAATTAATATTTAAAAATGAAATCACACATCTGATTATATAATCATTAGAAACATTTGTTTAATATTTGTATTAATTATATAAAAGAGCTAATTTCGATCAGTTTTAATAATGACTTATTAATTATTAATTAAATCAAATCAAACAATCCGATTAGCATCAGCGTTCGTTAAAACGACTCGCTTTTTACAATAGTAAAACATAAAAAGTTTTATCATGCATGTAATTCTAAAAAAAAGTATTGCGTTACGGTTTTTTTTTACTTTAAAATTTTTAACAGTAATTGATATTTAAAAATATAATAACCTTATCGATGTGTAAATGAATATTTATTAAATGATATAGTACACTATGAAATCACATAAAAAATATAAAAATAGTTTCAAATCGAGAAGTCAAATCGATATGAAAAATATTATTCATCACAATATCATTTATATTTGTTCAATATTTATTTATTTAAAAAAAAGAACAATTGCAAATCAATTTTGAATAATCCCGTAGATCGTTATAACTGGAGCGATCGCATCAACAATTTTCGCTCGACTTCGCGAGACGGCAAAAAAAAAAGCGCGAGGAAAGATCTCGAGCGATATATCGCGCCGGTTTAAAACGTCTAACTATGCAAATGTATATACACATAAACGATGCAATTAGCGGGCCTGTTGTCGATGTGGCTGTTTCGCGCAACACAACGTTTATCTCGCGAAAGCAGCACTTCCGGAGAGCGGGATTGTCACCCCGAGCAAGCTACGGCTCTCTCTCAGAGCGGAAATCTCGCTCGCGGAAACTTGTTCGAGGGCCTCCGAGGCTTACCTCAGAGTGGCAGGTCCTGTTCCGAGGTCGAAAGTGAACTGCACGTGGCCCGAGGAGAGATAGAGCGCAATAAAGTCACCGGTGGCGTCACTGTGATGGCCGTTGTAGAGTATCACGCCGTCCGGCGCTGTCGGTTTTAACGTGACGGACAATTCCAGCCACGACAGCGACGTGTCCGCCAATCCCGGATAACGTAGGTAAGAGGATCCGTTGAAGGATGGAACCTGCGGGAATAAAATACCATGCGGTCTGAGATTGCATGGAAATGTCGTTACCAGGCAAATGCGTTCTCCGCTTTTTTTCTTTCTTTCTTTTTCCTTCTGCCTTTAATTCGCGATTGACGCGTTGTATTTTGTTGTGTTCCCTGTGTGTAATTAATCGAGAATGACGTGAAAGGCTGCAGAGAGCTCGTTTTATTTTATCTGGCTTCGATAATAATTTAAGCTCACTTTAAATTATCTATCATTTCACGACGAGATTTAGAATTCTGTTTATAATTTTATGCTTCGCGCATGTACAGATTTGAATAAGGAAATATATATTAAAATATATATATATATATATATTAGAATACATATATATTATACATATACAATGACAGACATGTGTCACATAAAATTAGAAATACAATTCTATACTCAATTTGTCATGAATATAGATTGTGTCTAAAGTGGATTTGACACTCAATTTTTTCCTAATTGAAATCGAGAGATTTGTTGCGACTTTTCAATATTCAATATTAAATATCTTTGTGTCTCGAACTTATTAAATTTATTAAAGTATAAAATTCATTTTTACTTTAATAAATTGAATGAAAAATATATCTTGCTAATTGCGTCTTTGAAACATAATTTATTGGCAAGTTCTTTACTTGTAACTTTAAATAGTTTATAACTTTAAAACAATTAATTCTCTCGATGCTTTTGTTCAAAAAGAATCGATTTTAAATTAAGTATTTAAGAAAGAAAAGATGACATGGAATATTTTGTACATTTATAGGAAATTAAGAATTTATATTTTACAAAAATATAATAAAAGTTACGTGATCGATTTTGTCGATGAAATTACATTTAATTTAACATTAAATTGAAAATTGTGCGATAAAAACTTTTTTTTCTTTTTTAATTAAATTCACAGATATTAATACAGAGATTTCTTATAATAATGTTCTGGATATGAAACGCTAATATCACGCTAACTCGCGTGTACAGTGAATGATAATGTAAGTTCAAGAAGGAAATTGCCATAATAATTTAGCTGCTTCGCAGAGAGAACACGAGATCTTAACGTTTATCGTATTCGTAAGTACGATATTCCAAGAAGGGATTATTATATTCCAACAATAGGGATCTTGGCGAAAGGGAGATAGAGAGCGAGAGAGAACTAAATATGGATTGTAGAAAGTGAAAAGAGACAGTTTCTTAAAACTCTATAATTTCCTTTTAATCTCTTATGAATCTCGTATATGGAGAGACGATAAATTTAGACGAACAAAATGCAATGCAGACATTTTTCCAATGAAACAAACATACGTCAATTTTAATATAAAATCACATATGTTACAGATACACTTAATTATTTTTGCATAAACTAATTTCGCCGCATCGACATGTTAATTTATTCAATTAACTTGATGTGTGCTCCAGGTATGTAATTATTTTACTTTAATTATTTTATATATATTTATAGCTTATATTTTCAATTGTACCGTAAAATAGGCTCTTATCGTGAAAATAAAAATGTTAATTATTCTGTAAAAATGCGGTATTCCTCGCCGTATCTTTTTTTTTTCTATACGCGAACTCGTTTTTATAAATACCGCCAGCCCTTACATTCGTAATATTTTTCAAGCTACGATGTATTTCTTATTATTACAGACGTTTGGCTCTCATACACGCGCATCTCTCTCTCTCTCTCTCTCCTGCGGAAACTGTAATAACTCTCTTCGTCATCAAGCATAAAGTAGAGAAACTCTCGGAGAACAGCTGTTATTTAATTTACGACCGGCGCGGGATTTTGTGCCTTTCGTAAATCGAAATGCAAATACGCTGTATGTCACTGTCTCGGATAATCCTTGATATAGCTGCATTCAAGTGCCTTAAGAACAGTAAGAGGTCGAAGCGAGGCTGCTTCTGCCTTAATGAGACTGCCTGGTAATTGTTTGTACGTCAGTTGCCTCTCAAGATAAAGCGTAAAACGTAAGCGCGGGATCCCTCGTCGAATTATAGTGCCCCCCCGTTATATTTCGCGAGGCTCAAGTGGAAAACATCAACGTATACGACGACATGTATTTTATCTACAAATATATCGTGAAGTTATATGTACGTGTAAGACGGGCGATATATTGTTGCGCGTAAAAGCTCCACATTTTCATCTTGCAATTAGCGCGCGTTGATTCTTGTCTATTCGTTATGTAACGCGTTTTGGTAAGAAGCAAATTTGCGTTAAACAGGAGTGCATTGAAGAGTGCAACATGCATTATTCTTTCTTGCGATTTGAAATGTGTGAACTGAAATAAAAGTATACAGAGTGTATCTAAATATGTTCATTGAAAAAGATTATTAAATTGATAAATATTTATTTCAATACTGCGTGATAAATCATTTATTTGAAAAAAAAAATAAGTATTTATTTTGAAAAGGATTTTCTTATATCAAATAAATATTTTTCACATCAAATTAATATTAGTAGTTTTAAATAAACGATTTATTTTAGGTAGTATTGAAATAAATATTTATTCAAATTCAATAAATTTTTTTTTATTGTGCAGAAAATTTTGGGGGATGATTCTTTGTCGAAAATTAAGGGGAATTTCTTATACAAACATATACTCTTATATCCCTCTTTGAGAAGTTTTTATTTTTTTTCTCAAATTTCAGACAAATTAAATAAAAAAAGTAAAACTTGGCGTATATTTTCCAGTAATAAGAAGGATACTTATTAATATTTTTTTCATCTTCTTATATCGTTATAAGGAAATGAAACAAACAACCCCTATTTAATTTCTTATCACAACTTAACTTAATTTTTTATAACAAGTCCTCCCCTTAATTTTCGACAAAGAATCATCTCCTAAAATTTTTCGTACTTATTTAGATACATCCTGTATAATTTCAAAATATATGGAACTTGAACAAGGGGGTAGATAGAAAAACTTAACATGTCTGGCCTCCGGCATTTACTTAATTATAAATATGTTCCATGTATAATAACTATGACTCGAATACGAGAAACTTGCAAACATAAATGTTTCAAAGATTACCTGTCGGAATAAATGGAAACTTCCATTCGGGACTAAGAAGATAAGTCTGTCCATTTTCTCAAGAGAAGAAAATTCTGTTGGATTTTTTAAAGTAAACGCGCGGATACAGAATTTTTAATAAAAAATAAAGTCTATTTAAAAGAAGAGAGAGGGAGGAAGAAATTAATTAAAAAAAAGGAAGATTTCGTTATTAATTTGCTTTTTCGTGAAGCCTAATAATTCATTAAAATCCAGTACGATTTCAATCCCTCCGCGCAGATCAAACAAAACCTATTTCAGTCTCAATAGTTCTATTTAGGGAAACATAATTTTTCCGAGCCACGTATATACATTATGCACAGATCGCATTACACAAATATCATTTTCCATCTACCATTCCGCACTTTGCTCGAAACTTATTCAATTTCTCCGCTCGGATGTTCAAAGAACCTTGTACTTTTCGCCGATTCGTTCTTCGGAGGCAGCGTGAAATTCGAAAAATCAAAGGTGTCCGAACGGTGTCCCTTCAAAGTGTCCGGCGGGAAAGTGATATAAATTAATTATAGAGACACATCCTGACACGTTAAGCTGACTGTGGGATAAGACGGTCTTATAGGAAATTTTTCCAGCCCTCGTCGAGCCTCCTCTCTCTACGTAAAAGCTACGTCCCGGTGATAAGAAGCTCCCGCGGGAGTTCGTCGGCGAAGGAGTAACCTTGTATTATGCGAAAGAGAGACCCGTAAGATCCCTCGGGGAACACCTTTTCTTACCGCTTACGACATCGTCCTTCTGTCCGGCTTATGTCACTCTGACGTACGCGACGCGCGAGGATCGTTGATAGGCTCACAAATTTTTTACGAGGCTGTTTCCTACTTCGAAATGTCGCGTTGCATTATCGAGAACACGTGTCATCCCCGTGTCTGTTATTATAAATAATAATACCATGGTGGAAATTATTCAATAATATGTGCGTTCTCGAGACCGTTTGATCTTTTAAGTCTAAAACGTTTTTCGCTGACTCTATTAATTTTGTCGTGGCAAATATTTTTTCGCTCTCAACCTGTTTTCATATTTTAATTATATTGTTTGAAATTATACATGTTTGAAATTAATTTTTTTAGAATAATTTATGTAATTATAAATACGTGCGTGGGCGAGAGAGAGAGAGAGAGAAAGAGTAAAAATTATAATGATATTCCTATATTTTCCGTCTGAATGGGAATGTTATTTGTTTACGAATAATATAATGAATCGGAACATTGTTTGTTTACGAATAATATAATGAATATTCTAATTATTTTAATTTAAAAATAATGAGAAGAATATAATATAATTGAAATTGAAGAATGTAATAGAGAGAATACAATTTGTGATATATATTTTACGATATTATATATATAATTTCATTTTTTTATTAAAAAATAATTTTAATATCAAGGGTTAATTTAATTGATAATGCGTAAAGATTTCGTACGTATAAATAATTAATATCTGGAGGAAAATTTAAAAAAATCGACAATTTTTAATATTTCACGATGATTTTAAATTATTTTTTTATGTTAGGCATTCGTCTTTCTCTCTTTTGACCCATATAACTTTATATATACACGTCCAACGCAATACATCCTTCCATTGGATGTGTATACCTACATATATATTTCATTTCCGGAAAAGTCTTACACGTTCTTTTTTCGCTTTAGTGTAGAAAATTTTGGGCAAATATAGCGTATGAATACAGAAAAAGCGTATATAAATAATACATACGTCAAATTTTAACTCCAATCTTTTTCCACATATGCGATTTACAAAAGTTTAAGTAAAATAAATTGCGTGGAAATTATTGTTATTTTTACGCCAGATTTTTGTTTCATATCATGTATTGTATATATCTGTTGAAAATGGATAAAACATTGACCATCCCAAACACTATCGTGCTTTTCAACATTTATCTCAATTTACAGAATCCTAATAGCAAAGTAACAGCTTAGCTTTATCTTCCGTACGTTCCGGGCAAGGAAATTCGTCGGGATATTTATTTTGCGTTTCGTCGGACGAACCATTATGTTCTTCATTTCGTCTGCAAACAAGACGATAAAACGTGTCATGCGCATTCCTTATGGTAAAAGCACGACGCGCCGTTTAGTTTTACTTCGATATTAGCGCTTTATTTCGACATCCGGCGACGACTTCCGGCGGACGCTGCAAAAGTGGTCGTCGTCGTCGTAAATTACGACGATATTCCGGCGACATTTGGTTATTGCGGCTATATCTCTTCCGCTTGTACGTTAATGGAATTAAACTCCCAGGTACAGCCGGGCGAGACCAAAGTTCGAGAACGAGTTTCGAGTTTGAAGTGATACTCGTTAACTCGAACCCTTTATGGTCGTTTCTCGAGCTAGTTTATGTTCTGATTTCGAGATCGTCGGAAATCGCGGCGATCCATCCGCGAAGGATGGCGATACATTCTGCTATGAGGATATTCTTTCACGCGAAACGCAATATGAGAAGAGAGAGAGAGAGAGCAAAATTGCTTCCCCTTATCTTTAATACGCTGCTTCGAAATTTATTACGTCACGAACGAAACGTTAATTCCGAGAGAAAGATTCTTGATTTCTCTTCCGAAACCCTCTTTAAATGTCATTTCTAAAAGATTTACTGCTTCATCAAAATTAACTGCGAAATTAAATTCTTGATTTCCAGTTCGAAGAATCTCCGATACACCCTTTACACTTTACAAATGTTAAAGTGCAATTTACGATTTGTAAGATATTTGTACGTCGCCTCACTGTTGTCTCTCTTCGAAAATGGATCGGTCGACCCTTTGTGAATCGATCTCGGCTATAATTGTCACTGACGTCAAAAACAAAGTGCTGACACGTCACCGATGCATGTGAACGAATCTTTATAGCTCGGCGGATGTCGTTTCGCCGGAAGTAATATCGGTCGAATGCCGATACCATTTTCATCATTTCGCATCGGACCGAACGCGCCGTTCTCTGCCTCCCGCCATTGCCATAATCGATATCGTATATCGTATATAACCCGTGCATAATCCGCGACTAACTGTGCACAGGTTCGCGCGACCAAACCGCATACGGTGACTTCCGGCGAATGCAACCGCGCTCGCTCCATTAGCTCGCACGATATAAATCGCGCAAATTTCTATGCGCGTTGCTCTAAACTATTTACTATGTATATATAGAGAGTGTCCTGTAAAGACCGGATCGACATTTAAGTTTCTGCATTGAAAATTTTTCAACTAAATATTATTTTGTTAATTGAACATGTGAAAATATTTTAATTAAATATATTAAATCTAATAGTGAATTCGGTTGGACGCTACCACTAGTGCGCACTTCTGAGTGCATATAAAGGTTATCGCAGACAATTTTACAATGTAATTAAAAAATAATTAATAGTAAAAAAGCTTATTATCATTATTCATATTGAACAACAATAATAATAGTTCTTACTATTATTTTCCTTTTTTAATTACTTGTGTCATTGTGAACTTGTGTGTTGATAAATAACCTTTATATGCACTCAGTACGCACTAGTGCATCCAATCGAATTCGCTGCAACAAAACATATATTTGACTTAAATACTAATATGTGTTCAATTTTAACAAAATGGTAATTTAGTCAAGTTAACAAATATTTGTTTTGCGCGTGGGATCATTTGGAGACGATTTTTCCTCAGCAAAAATGTCCAAGTATCAATGATTTTCGAGTTATATAAGCGATTGGAAATAAAGAGTTTTTCGCAAACTAAGAAAATTAAATAACAAAACCGCATTCTTCAATTAATTTCAAGTAGAGTTTACTTTAATAGAATTTTAATTTAAAGCTCAGTTACAAAGATGCAGGATGGCAAAAATTGGGAATATGCGAAAAATGATGACCTCTCTCGACATTTTCGCTGGAGAAAATCGTCTGCAAATGATCCCAAGAATCTATCCTTAAACGTTGATCCGGTCTTTACGCTCTGTATATATTTATTTATTATATACATATAAGTATATGTATATATAAGGTGCTTATGCATGTCGACGCGCGCGATTTTGATGTCTTTCTACTCATTTAAACTGTCTCATTAGCAACGCGATGTTAATTCCTAGTAGCTGCCCGCTTATTGCTGGTATAAACACGTCATTTACGTGGCGACTGAACACGATCGATTTTCGTGTCGCATTTTGCGACAATCTATGGCATCGAAATAATGCATGCATATTCAGAGAATTGCTTGTTAATATTAAATGAATAATGGTATTTTAAACGAAAATACAATGCGAGATAATCCGGATAAATTACAGTAATAATAAATTCTCCTCTGTAAATGGTAGAGGAAGGGTGATTTGCGCTATAATTTTTACAGGAACTTTGTAATCTTGTAAAAGATGACGCTAAGGGATGAAAGGTGTGATAAGAACTGAAAGAATCGCTCGAAAAATTCTTTCTTGACACCCATGATTGACACAGGTCTTATCCAGAACAGCTGATTAAGTCAAGTTTATTCAATGTATTGTTGACACTAATAGGATAGCGTAATCCGCGTGTACAATCAGCCAAAGTTCTTAAACATGACAGCATAACGTAACAACATCGTGTCTGATACGATGTTAACACGCTCGTTGTCTGCGAATCTGCAGGTGCAGGGTGTAGATGCAATATCGTCTTTGCGTGCCAGAAAGGCGATCTGTAAACTGCGATAATGTAACGACACTTTGTCGGAAAAGTTCGATATTCCCAGATGAGGTTGCCTCGAATCTCAGTTTTAACTATGGCCTTAAAATTTTTTTTAGTTTTAACTATGTACAGGGTGTATCTAAATAAGTGCGAAAAATTCTAGGAGATGATTCTTTGTTGAAAATTAAAAATTAAGTTTTTTTTTTTAAATATTAATGAATATCCTTTTTATTAATGGAAAATATCCTCCGAGTTTAATTTTTTTTTAATTTATCTGAAATTTGAGAAAAAATAAAAACTTTATTTTTACCTTCCTCTTTAGAAAAATATACCTAACTCCTCAGGGAGAGATATAAGAGTATATATGTTTATATAAGAAACCTCCCTTAATTTTGAACAAAGAATCATCTAAAATTTTTCGTACTTATTTAGATACACTCTGTATAATTGAAAGAGCAAAGATGAAAAATTTACAAAAAGACTTTAGATCCGAAATAATTTCGAGTATTAGAGAATTTAACAATTTCTGTTTTTGAATTCAAGTTTTAAACCGCATATGTTTGATAAATTCTCTGGATAAAATCGTGTGTAAATTAACGAATTGATAAATTGTAAACACAAGCTCCGTACGTAGATATGGATTAAACATAATATGAGAGCGCAATGTAATAAATGATTATATTCGCGGAATAATGTGTAAAACTTGTCGATTTTTCATTTAAAATTTGGACTATTTATTTATAATAATATCTAAAAAAACATCAAATTTATCTCAATCTGTTTTGAAAAATGATTTCTCTCGTTCTCAATTGGCACTTTTGCACGATTTTTTTATGCCATAAAAATTATTTTTTTAAATTATTATTTTATAAATTTATTTTATATTGAAAAAATTTAAATGTGAAAAAATTAAAAAAGTAGCTTTATTCGATCACTGGTCTGAAAATATATTGTAGCTTGTAATTATATTTAAAATAAAGGAGCCTTGATCGTCTTAATATTGTAGCGAATGTTTTATTGGCATATATGTTGCAATATTTTTTTCGATATCAATTTCACTTAAAATTGAATTTTAAATCTCATATAGATAATTTATGTGACAGGAAAATAATTTGATCAAAAGAGGAAATCAAATTTATCATGTCATTGCTTTCCACTTATAACCTATTTTTTCTTATTATATATTCACACTTTTCAATGGAGCTTTCAGCTATTTTTCGATCACGTTCGACGATGCAAATTCGCGCTACCTACAACATAGCCGTTTTGCAAGAAAAAGTATGCAAACGAAATTCTCTTTTTTTTTTTCGCTATTTCCCGACAAGCGATTTTCTAATTTTTCAGGTTTATCGATTACCCCTAAATTACAGGGTATCTCGCAGATGTATATATGTATACATACTTCGGAGAACGTTATATGAAACCCCAACAAGGTTTTCGCGTAATACCGCATTCTCTCTCGTACATAAGTCCGGTTCGTGATATGTCCGTGCGCTTATAATTCCTACGAAATTGATTCGATTACCTGGAGGTCCACCCGAGTCTCGCAGAGATCGCCCGTATAGCCGAGCGGGCAGAGACAGACAGCGGTGTCGCCTCCGGTCGTCAGGCATTTCCCACCGTGGGAACACGGCACCTTGCTGCACCTGTCGGCCGTGCACTCCTCTGAAACGACAATAAATCAGGCGATTTAATAAAAGTTTCAGCGGGACGGGGACGTAAAATCGAGAGAGAGAGAGAGAGAGAGTTACACACGCGAGCGAGAATCGGATCCAGGAGAGAGTGGTGAGAGAACCCGACTTCGACTCTCGACACGGGAGATTTCGACTCTTGCGAGAGATAAAACCAATAAAACCGCTCGCGCGCGCACTTCGACAGGCCGTCCTGTCCGATTTATCGGAGCGTGGAAGTATCAATTTCTCTTCCGCCTCATCGTATTTTCGACGGTATCATTTAGCGGCCAACATTGACGAAGGAGGGAGAAAGGGGATTTTTTCGTTCACGACGTGTACGTCAACGATCCCGCGAAAATGGTAGCTTTTCGACGTTCCAGCTTTACGATGGGACAGCCTGTCGGAAAACCTGCCGGATTCTTCTCCCTCCTAGTCGCGAGATTTATACATTTAACATTGCATCGTGATTTTCGTTGTACGCGTCACTGGAGGCTTCTGTACAGCCTGTATTTCCAACCCGAAACCATGCGCGTTGCGAAACGAGTTATTTTAGCTTTTATTTGGTCGGAATTGCATTTAAATTTGATACATATTTTATATACGTGTACGATAAAATTTCTTGCCACGAAACAAAAGAGAAACTGAATTGAAGTCTATTAACCGAAGCTAATTATTCGATTCAATGCGCAGCTCTTGCAAATAATAATCAAAATGTGTTCATTGTCCAATATTATAATTTATAATTTGAATAAACGATTCAATTGTAACTTGATATACGTTAAAAAAAAAAAAAGCGTATATCAACAATGGGATAAGATCGTCATTACGAAGATAATCGAATTGCTGTCGATTTCAACGCGATTTCAACAATGAATGATTCGGACGATTTTTATTTTCTACTTCGATTATTCGAGCGAGGCCCTCAAACTTTGGGAATTTCAAGTTTTCCAATCTAATGGATGTTATCTTTTCACGAGTCTGCCTATGGCTATATATGGTAACCGTAGACCGAGTCGAAAAGTAACGCGAAACTTTCGATTTAACCTGCCTCGTCTGCTTCGTGCCACGCCATTGTAACAGATCGATAGTCGCAGACTGAAAATAATGGAGCGAAATAATAGCTAAAGGAATAATTTATTCCGCTAATTGATGTTTCACATATTAATGAGACCCTACGTTATTTTACTAGCACGTAAAAATCAATGCTTTCCGCCAAATACGTTGCTCCGACTCTCATTTAGAATTGATCACTTTTCTAATTATCATAAATACAATTTTAGTCTTTAATTTTTACACAATTTAATGTTTCATCTTAAATTATAAGGTAATTTTAAATATTTATTAAATTAATATTGACGTTATTAAATTATTAAATATAAAATATATTTTATCGTTAACTAAACTTATAACATTTTTAAAATTTATAATACAATTATTTTGCATTAGTATTAACAAATTTTTACTTATTTTCAGATATGATAAATTTTATAAATTCTATAAACACATAACACTATATTCAACAAATCATAAATATATTGAAATCCTTTATTTCTTTAAATTCTTTATTCTCCATTTTTTCTGGGATGTATTTTCAGCATTATATATTTCAAAATATGTATAAAGCATGCATAAAATGTTTGTAAAAACAATAATAAATTGCGAATGTATGTAAATTTTATACGCGCAAATGAAATATATGTATATCAATTACCACGGGTTACACATTAACATATAAAACATAAATAAAAAACAAGTTCTGCTCAATTAATATTTTGTGCAATAGTATCTTGTTGGATATCGATCAATATTTGATAAATTATAGTTGCAAGCTGATAAAGAGTATTTCGTGTGTGCAATATATAACCGATTAACCTGTATGTAACTGATTACGCTCGAGGACATATTTTAATTAGTTCTAATACATATTCGTATAGATCTGTTTATTATGTATACGTATATGGACAGAGAGACTTTCGATTCTGAAAAATATATATAACTTGTATTGATAATATATACTTTTAATAGATGGATAGTTCAAAAAGAGAGAATGTATAAATAAAAAAAGCACAAATGTGCATATTTCATCATAAAAGACTGAATAAAATAAAATTATTAACGATTGAATAACACAAAATAAAAAAAATTAATAGCTAAAACTTCAGTAAAGCTTTTAATGAAGAATCAGACGTTTATATCAAGCAATCAGCACAAATTTTTCTTGATATCCATACCAAGTAAATTAAATAAATCCCTCAATTCTTTACGAGTTCAGAGAAGTTTACTAAAATAAAATCTCGAATTTCTGTTCGACGCGCCGACACTCTAGTTTGTTGAAAATAAAAATAAAATTATTCGTGCGAAATGTAACACGTGTTTTTTTCAATTTGTTTTAGTACAAATGCTTCTGCCCGCAAATATTCTGCATTTGTATTCACCATTCATTTACATTAACTTATTATTATACAAATGTATATTGTTTATTATTAATATATCCGTCGAGCGATTGGTTCGAATCAAACCGATTACAAATATCTGAATTATATTCCGCATGTATTAGGAACAATGGCACCCACGATATTACAAAATGGAGATAACATTCGGCTGGTTACATCGTGATATAAATACCAGGCAGATGTCCATTACTCAGAGGTAATTAATGCGACATACGCGAAGCAGCTGTTGGATATATATATAGCCGGACCTAAACGACTTCCCCCAAATGTTGACAATTAATTACCGACACTCCGGTATAGAGATAACAATAATTATTCACGATAATCATAGCCTTGTCTGACGACGTAGCGATCTCGCCTTTCGCTCATCTTTCGGAGTAAAATCGTCCCGTGTCTCGCTTGCCGATGTAATTAAACGAAACTTTCAAATATCGCACAATTCAACTTTTTTTTCTCCAACGAGAAAAGTTCGACAAACCGTAAATTTAAAAAAATCTGAAACTACATACGCGCGCGCGGAACAGAGTAATACAATCCTGCTATAGAACTATTTTTCGTTGCGGGTAAAAAACAGTGATATTAAAAAGAAGGCAAACATCCTTTTAACTTTACAACGAATTGCGAATCTGTTCTATTACATACGAGATATCTCATATTACGAGAATGTTCAAGATTATGAAAAGAACCGAATAGAAATTGTTATTATATTTTTTATTTATATATATTTGATAATTTTACTATTTAATTTTATTATATTTTTGCGACATCAAATAGTGTATAATAATTCATTTTTTTAAATTGAATGTTTGACACACATGTGAAAAGATTTTTTTTTAATTTTTATCGCGTATTTAATATTCGATTTGATTTTGATAATGTTATAAAAGTCTTGAAGGAAAGTTGGAAAGTTATTTTCTTTTGAAGATTGTTGCTGCTTTTTAAAAATGTGTCATTTGCTAAGAATAAGTCTGAAACACTACTCTGTATTTATAATGATGTATTTATAAAGTATCCAACTTTTTCCATTTATACATCGTCGAATATATTCTACTAAATATTTTAGATAGGTTTCTTTATTATCTTTTTTAAAAGTCAGTTATTTTTATTATTTTTTCGACTAATATTTTTATCGCTTGTGAATTTTTATTACTATTTTGGATTTTTCAAGTATTTTGAATTGTTGGTTGACATATAATGCTATATTAAGTTTAACAAAATAAATATAATTGGCCGAGAAATGTCAGCACGGATATAGGATGACATTTATCCCAAGTGCATATGTTATATTTCTGTCATAAACATTTACTTAAGTAAAAGCATATAGCTTTCTTCTCGTAAGAAATCAATTGCCGTGAAGTAGAAAAATAAAAGACAAATAAATTTGATATAAAACCGACACGCGTCATTTATAACCGTGCAAGTAACAAAATAATAAAGTGACTCGCGTATTTATAATACGCAGGAGAATTATTATTATTTACGTTCCGTCGCGCGAGAAATGTATAAAGTTGACGTATAGCTAGGGCGCTAAAGTATTTGAAATAATTAATTACTATAAACTCTAATTAGCCGCCTTACAGCTACGACACAATCGGCCAGACGCTACCGGGTGACCGAATTAACAGCTATATCGGCAAACGGACAACAGGTGTCACATGAATTTAGTTGGCAAATCCTCCGACGCCCGCTCGATTTAACTCCGAATATATTCTTCGTTTTCTTTTTTTTTCCTCACGACGAGAAGCGGTTCCCCAAGTAGTTCGAAGTCCCGAGCGCGCATCTCGAAATTTAATTCGCCGAGAAATACAATTGTATTCAGCCGGAGATTCACCATCTTATGTCGAACGTTGCGTTGCACTAGACTTCAAAATAAAAAAAAAAAAATTATAAAATCCATCGAATCTACCCAAGCAATTTGATACCGAATGACGTCATTAGACGTCAAAATGACGTTATTTGGGTATCTATGTGAAAGCGTCTTGTACAGAATCGCGGTCCGAAGAATTTCTCGCGTCATTGATTGGAAGAGAATAGAACGCATATACATATGTATACGATTTAAATAGAGGTAGAAGCGTCGTAGAAATTATTCAATATCTGGGAAACTTAGACTCGGCGAAACCGGATGCTGCGCCGTGATACACTGTACGTACCTACGTCGAATCCATTCGCGGCGTCGCCTTGCGGGGCCAATGGGAAGCGATAGTGGTGCTCGTTCGCCTCCAAATGCCGGATACAACCCTTAAATCCTGTCCTCACCGGAAGGCGCTCCAAACCGGTCGTGTTTCCGGGTCCGCCGACGAAGAGCGGCTCGCGGAACGTAATTCTCGAAAACAAGCCCTGGAATTGAGAAGCCAGAATTCTCCAGTTACACGTGTGCAGCTGCAGGGTAACACGCTCTCTGGCCCGGCAGCGCAATTGCGGCCTCCTGATTAATGCATGAAATACAGTCGGCATATAAGCCCAACCGACGTTGGGCCGTTCTCTTTGTATATTTCAAAGTTGACGATATACATAGCACAGCGATACATATACATATATATATATATTATGCATGAAAAATATTTCTACAAAATACAATAGACCGAAAAGAGATGAAAATTCTAGATGAATAAATAAAAGCCGAATGGAGTACGAATGAAATTTTCTTCTTCATATACGCACACAAAACTTGAGTGAAAAAAATGTAATTAATGCCCTCTGTTGCGCTAACACTCTGGTATAATAATAGAAAATCTGAAAATAAAGATATATCTGTGCAATGAATTTGTTGCTAAAAGTTTGTAATATCAAATAACTACGTTGTGAATGAAGAAGCTAGTTGCGAAGCGAATAAATGAAAATTTAAAGCCGGGGGCTACAATGCAGCGCAGTTATTGCGGAAGAAGTACCGCGTATAAGAGCGACGTGAAATAGGAAATTCCTCCGTGTCTTTTAAAATCCGTGCTATTTTCGTGTCGCGCATTTTTCACATTCCCTATCTCGTATCAGACGACAAACTATGCCCATTGTCAGCCAGATAAACGTCGCTTTATCGTGCATTTTGTATTTGAACGCGCGCGCGATCATAGGTTTCCATTGGTGAAAAACTCTTCAAATCGAACGAGAAGTTCGTCGAAGACGTTGCTAACCAGTTTTACTTGGGTTTTTTGTTTTTGCTTCCTTTTCCGAAGTGAAGAGAATGTGGCAAGGAAAAAGAGAGAGGGGGGAGAGAGAGAACAGAAAATAGTGGAGAGGTCAGGGGTGGCTTCTCTAATTACGACGCTGTCGTTAGGACACCAAGTGCTTAATGGCACTCTAGGATAAAGTGGGCTTGAAACGCGAAGCCATTTGCCGGCGTTGCTGCTCGATTTTAAAGGTAATTAAACCTAACCTGGGAAAAACAGATGGGTTGAGAACTAGCCGATAATTCCTCGTTATCATACCGCTATCCTGAAACGCCCGTGAGACTCGTTGAAGAAAGAGGATTGGCGTAAAAAGTCAATGAGACATTTATCGACTTGCTCTCCTAATGACATTCAGAATCCACGTTGTTGATTGCTCAGCTCGAAATTACCTCGATTATACATATTTTTTCATCACATTTATATATACAGGGTGTCCGGTAACTAACGGACCAATGATTAAGGGCGGATTCTCTGGCCAATTTGGAGACGATTTTTCCTTAGCAAAAATGTTGAGAAGTCAATAATTTTCGAGTTATAAGCGATTGAAAAAATAGGTTTTTTGAAAACTAAACGTTTTGGAGTGAAAAGTCTAACATAATTACATTCTTCAGTTAATTTCAGGTAGAGTTTATTATAATAAAATTTTAATTTGAGGCTTAGTTATAAAGATACATAATGACAAATATTGGAAAGTTGTAAAAAATGATGACCTTTTTCGACATTTTCGTTGAGGAAAAATCGTTCCCAAATTGACCAAAGAATCCATTTGTAATCGTTGGTCCGTTAGTTACCGGACACCCTGTATATATATTTAAATTTACATTATGATGTATCGAGAGACTTATACAATTTCTCAATCTGTTAGAAATAGATATTCAGCAAAAATAAATAAATAGTTTTTTAGAAATTCATTTGAAAGTTTGAGAAATTAATAATATATATTTAAACTTTTCAAAGTTTGGAATGCGAGACAACTTTCTTTCGGTTATAAATATTTTCGATTACATATTTCTTTCATCATATTTATATATTTATATAACGTTACGATATATCGGGAGAATTTTATAACTTCCTAATTTTGAGAAATAAAAATTCAGCAAAAATAAGTCGAACATGTAGAATAAATGTTTAAAAAATTAACTTGAAAGTTTGGCAAATTAATAATATTATATATTTATGCTTTTTGAAACTCGGAACACGAGACCGCCTTCTTTCGCTTGTACTACAGACTCACTTTGTGACACCTGTCCTCGCCTAAAAAAGATGTATTTTATTTAAGATCAGTGTTAAGTTAAGAACTTTGTAAATTAGTGAACTAGTTCATAAGTATCTCCGAAAGACTATCCGTTATCACCGGTGTAAAAAGGCGCCGTAAGTTTCGCTTACACTTCTGATCCTTCGTCTTGGCGCTGCATCTCATTTGCAAAATAACAAGGCAAACGAGCGTTGCAGTGTCGCTAGGAAGCGATGCAAACCAAATTAAGAAAAAAAGGGCAAAAATACGCGCATAATACAAGTGCTACAAATACGATTAAAACGAGGAGCGCGCTAGTTAACACTAAGATTCACGAATTTATTTGCAAAACGACTACAGCAACCTCGCTCTACACGTCAAAGAACATTATACGGCGTTTGCATCAGAAAGGAGTTGCATTACGTTGCGGCACGTTGATGCATTGTAAATTAAGTTGCCGACTCTTAATTAAGCTAGATTTTGTCAGACTAGAAAAAGGTCTGTAACCGAAGAGTAATCTAAATACACACCGAAATAAAAAATTAAATTATTACGTGTGTGTGTGTGTGTGTATGATTCCGTGAATATATTAAATTGATATTTGACAGAAATATTATAAGTAAAAATTAATTAACGTATCATTTTGTATCACATCATTAAACTATTATTATGCAAATGCAAATATACTCGTATATGTATATGTGCGTGTATGTATGCATATATTTAGCGTATAATTTTAAAGAGTGATAAAAACAATTTCTCATCGAATATCGGAATCTTGCGGCCTATAAATTATGTTTAATAATATGAAACCACTGATTCAATTATCAATAATTGCAATTGTTGTCTCTTTTTCCTCTTTTCTTTTTCATATATTGATTTATGTAATAATTGATTTATTAAATGATCAATGTAATCGTGTAAATTACACAATTTGAAGAAGACTAAAATAATTGTCAATAATGCTGCTGATTAAAGTTAATAATTATGATAATTAATATTTTTTGAAAATATTTAGAGAATCAGAATAATTGTTGAAAGTGTAAGATAAAATATAAATAAAATATAAAAATTTTGAATTTAAAAAACTTAAAATAGTATTGAACCTATCAATTCTTAATATAGTTAAGTGTAAAAATGAAATATTTCTTCGCAACTGTTAAAGTTTTGAAAAATTATTCTTTTACTACGTGAATATTGAATCAATCGCTATCTTGATAAGTCCAAACGAGCACGAGGTCAATCGTTTGGGTCGGATTAATATGGAAAAGAGTGAAATCGATAGACGATTACTTGGCCGGAAGTACTTTATTCAGACGAGTTTTATGGGCAATGGCACTTTTTCTGATTAGATTGATCGAAGGTGCGGTCTTGTTCCAGGGTGTGGTTCTCCGCTTTTAACCTCCGCCATCTGTCTCGATATATCCGACTTGTTGTACTCTTTAGCTTCTTACGTCATTCATTACTATCGCATTCTCCAAATATTTCACACGTGTTCTATTTTCGCAGGAATTATTTTTGCGCAAAAGATATTACTGCTAAATGCATTTCATGACAATTCAATTTTTCTATTTTTACATGTGTTATTAAGTTATTACTGTGTTCTAAATTATACTTATTGCTTTTAATTCTTAAACTCTCATTTAAAATTATTGCAAAAGGACTTAAATTCGAAATAAATGTTGAAATGTTAATGTTAAAATTATATCAATGCTAAGAAAGAATGAAAAATGCGACAATAATAAATTATAATCCCCTTTCAAAGTATACTGTTCGTATCTTATCTCTTATGATATCTAGGGCAGCGAAAATATGGAAAACTTCTCATGCGGAGCTTTTGCGGCTTCTGCAGCAAAATGAGAATTTTCAAGAAAGTCAAAGTTTTGTTGCGGTAACATTGTATAACGTGTTTTAGCACATATCGATATAACCCGCGACAAAGTTTCGACTCTGCGCGCAAAATAAAAAAAAATGAAAAGAAGGTCAAAATTTCGCGCAACCCATATGGAACACTTCGAAACGAAGTTCCGTTCCATGTATAAGAACGTTTCTTCAATTCCTGGACTACATTCTCTCATTAAAGTTTCCGGAAAGTTTTTGTGAGATACAACAGCGTTTAATGCTGGTTCCATCTCAGCGCCATTAAACTTTTTGGAAGTGAATCTCTCTCTCTCTCTCTCTCGTCGAATGGAAACAATTTTATTTTACTGCACAGCCATGAGCATTTCGAATGGCATTCAAAATAATGATCATTGTTTGCATGGCGATGTACTGTCTGCATTTGCATTTTTCCATCTGCGTGCTTTCAGATTCGTCCATTAGTTTTTTACAATCGTTTAATTCATCGCATACACATTTTATTCGTGCAATTGGATATTTTCAGAACGAAATTTATTTAACGAAAAACTGACGTCTCTGGAGTCGAGCTTTACTAAACTAAAGAAATAAAATGCTTATTTACCGCGACGAATTATCACGATCAATTGAATTTCTCATTACACTGTTACATAAAACACGAGCTACAGAGAGGTCTCGAGGGAGGTGCGCGAGTGTCGCCCTGTGAAAATCTCGAGAATTCGAATAAACTCACCGGTAATCTCGATAATATACGTTCCGCCTGGCTGCGGAATATCGATCGCCTCATTGAACTCACGATATATATATATATATATATATATATATATATATATATATACATATATATGGGCAAATAATATCCAACATCTGGCCTTGATGGAAATAAAATGAAGTGCTCTCACCTTCGATCGTCCCTCCACTCTCTTTTCCTGATTTAGTTGGATCCAGGCGTCCCATCGATGTCTGTAGACACTCAGAGTGTTCCACTCATTCAGCTTCACCGTTTCCGTGCTCCTGACCGTACCCACGCCACTGCCGCAGTCGAACCTTAACCGCAGAAAATACAAGGATACGTCGTTAATCGATTAGGAATGTCAGGCACGTAGCGAAATATCAGGCATCGTCGAAGCGGAATCTACAACAATGTCCTTTTGATACATCGCCGGAGTGCGGTGGAACTTAATCGCGGAAAATAAAAGAGAACTCGCGCAATTAAATCATGATAATAAATAATGATTGTGAAAAGAAAGAGAGCAGTTTATTCCAAAAATGTCGAAAAAGGATATTTGACGTTTCTTCTTTTTTCTCTATTTTTCTATTTTTATATAAATGCAATTTGTGTATAGAAAAGACTACAGTTCCTAGAAGTAAGAGACAATGTTTTAATTTTTACTTGGAAATAAAATGGCGTCCATAATTAGCACAAAAACAGTGATGAAAATTGTCCTATCTTTTAGTAGACAAAATTTTTGATAATATATACATATATAATATATATATATTATAAAAATGACACAATTACACTGTTTTTGTGCTTACTATTTTACGCCATTTTATTCCCAACTAGAACACATTGTCCAGATTTTTACTCTCTAGAAAGGACTATATAGGAGAGCCAAGTTGAATGTATTCGTTTAAGGTTGTCGAATATACAGGGTGTCGAGCGGTCTTGGAAATCCTTAAAATCCTGGAATTGTCCTTGATTTTTTTTTATGTCCTGAAAATCCTGAAATAATGTGTATTTTTTTCATTATATCCTGAATTTTTCTTACTTATCCTTGAAAATGTTAATGTTTGTATAAAAATCTTTTTACAGGAATTTTCAATGCAGATATCTATACTTTTCTCTTAATCTCAATCGCGATTTGTACAGAGGAATTAGAAATACAGAAGAAAAAGCTCTTATCAAATGCTAAAGAAGAATCTGATTTAATTGATAAGGAGGTTCAAAAATTAAAAAATTTAATCAAATAATTATTTATGTTACATTTAATAATTCTTATGATCTCGAAAAATTACTGTACCTTTTACAAGCAACAAAAGTACCAAAGTTTAAGTTAATTTAATTATTTAATTAAATCTTAAATAAAAAGAGAATATATATATATATATATATATATATATATATATTGTATATATATATATATATATATATATATATATATATATATATATATATATATATATATATATATATATATATATTTTGTTTTTTTCTAATCAACTTTCATATGCTTTTAATTAATAAAAAAATTCCTGGAAAAAAATACTTTTTTGTCCTGGAAATCCTGGAAATGTCTTTGAATTTCTTAACCTTGTTTCGCTAGACACCCTGATATAGCATGCGACAAAATATAGTTCTTTCTCTTTCTTAATATCGTAATGGACGATACATCCTCGTGCGTTAATGATGAAAACGGATGGTCAAGCATTCAATAATGTCTGCCTTCGGTGAAGCATTACTAGTGTCGCTGCCGATGCAATCAATATGGAAATTATCGGCGACGTCTAGTAATCCATTCTCGATCATCGGCGAAAGTAATCCGCTGATATGTAAGCGCGCAGTAATACTCTACGCTCAGTTAATAGAACAACAAATCCACACGGCTGATCATTTAGCGTTCCGATTAATGAATTGTGGAAACGAATCTGGGAAACAATGGACGTCCATCGGCCGGTATTAATGAATAAATTACACGACGCGTTTGATGAATGTGTCTATGAATTTGATATTCCAATCTATGATTCTCGTTATTCTGATCGCGCTGCTAAATTCGAATAGAAGAGTTATCACATACACAAAAATCCGTTCTCGAGAAATATATGTTTCTCTTTCCATTTTTTAATGATTACTTCTCATTTCTGGAATGTCCTCATTTATTATATAAACGTTCTTATTGCTATGTTAATATAATCATTCTTATATGTCATATTTATTATATATTTATTGTTAGAGAAATATAAATATATGTATATATATATGATTAATTGTGACAATTTTTGCTGTTAAATATAATAGTAAGATTTTCGAAATTTTTTAAAATTTATTTTCAGAGTATCCTTCACAACAAAAATGCAAATATGATTTTTAAGGATATCGATATGTTTCAGTACTCCATTATCGTAAATATTGGCGAGAGTATCGACGCGATATTACAAGTGTCATGTGTGGCAGTATAACACTTCGCAACGCGCACTTTTGCAGGCGCAAAACTTTGCGTAGTGCGTTATAAAATAAATCCTACGTCGTCGTTTTCACGGCGAAAAAGTTTTCCCGCCGACGGGGGTGGCGCAAAACGTCGTAAAAAAAAAAAATAGAAAGAGGGAGGTGCGGAACAGGATCAGAGTATATTGCAAAGGATAAACTTTCAGTTTTTGCGCGGCGCCCATAAATCGTACACGGGTCTCCATTAAGTTACGGCTTATTAAGCTGTAAACGAAAAATTAGTCCCGGCATGGAATACTTAATTAATGACCACGTCAAACTCACGGCGAAGTCTCCGAAATTATGGCGCCGAAGTGTTCTATAAAATGTCTCCCGTGTAACTTTATATTCAATACCTCTGCGCCTGCTTCTTGACGCGGGAATAAAAAAAATCGATGAACCTCGTTCTCGAGACTATTTAAAGAAGTTCGCGCTTATAGAAACCTCGTCGCATCTCGCCGATATTTACGACGATCTCCTCCCTCTTTTAATTTTTTAATTAATAATCTGATCTGGACTTTCGTCTTTTATCAATTTAATCCTTTCAGAAAGTTTGTTATCCGTATCTCTTTCACGACACTAATTCTTTCATGATATTAATTTCGTGATAACGTATTTCTTTTTAATCAGTGCCTTTTTTCGCATACACTTGTACAAATAAAAATTTTAATTTCAATATCGGAGCTGCTTTTCTAGATAAACTCGAATCTATATAAACTGCATCGTTCGATAGTAGAGAAACTAAACCCGTCGTCATTGAATCGGTATTTAATAACGTTAATAACGGTAGTAAGTAACATGAATATACCTGAATTCGATAAAGCCATGATGAAGTATCAAAGCCATAAAATCACCCTGAAGATCGTCCCGTTCGCCCGCAAGAAGGAGCACTCCGTCCCACGCCTCGGGCCGAAATTCCAGCTCCAATTGCACGTGTTTGTAAGCGGCTCTCAAGGCGGGAAAAGCCAGCCAGCCTGATCCTGTGAAACGCGGCGATCTCACTTCAGCCTCTGAAACGCAATTTTCAACTTCGTTAATTTATTTTCGGATTAAATTAGCAGCAATTACATTTACAGTATCGATTAATTTGCAAGGACATGGCAGAAATTTACAGTAATTGCGAATGAAGAAATTGATATGTGTTGAAATATATATCATTCATGGTTCTTGTCAAAAATATATTCAAAAATTTTCTTTATCAGAATTTTATTTTATTATGTGAAAAAATGCAAGTAGAAATATCATTTAAATTAGCTCTTTATAAAAATATCGGTTTAATTGTATAATTTCATTGGAATTATTTTTTATAAAAATTATGAAATTATTCTACTAATATAATTTTCTTTATCTATTATCTAATCTATTATTTTACTATAATAATTTTCTTTATCAGAATATTATTTTATTGTGAAAAAATGCAAGTAGAAATATCATTTAAATTCGCTCTTTATAAAAATATCGGTTTAATTGTATAATTTCATTGGAATTATTTTTTATAAAAATTATGAAATTATTCTACTGTAAAAATTGTCTTAAAATATTATACGCACAATTACAATATACGTGTATTAAAAAATTAAATTATCCATCTATGTAGACTAATGTATCTGTAGGATCTTATGAAACTTATTATAATAATATAAAACAGTAATGGAAAAATGTCCAATATATTTATAACGCATCAGCATATTAATCTATCAATGAAAAATATTGTTCTTCGTGTCGTTGGAGAAGTTGAAGGAAAATAAAAAAATGAAAATAAAAATGAGAAAAGTGCCAGTTTAATATACACACGTGTTTTAAAACGTATCGCGAAATAATCTCGAGAGATAGATGCAATTCGTAGTTGGGAGACGTGGGAATGGTTAGCATGCCGGTGCCGTCGACCACTTTTGGGCGGGATATACATCGGCTGCGGCGGGAAAAGAGCGGAAAATCGAGAATTCCGGCCGCACGCGAGGCTTATACGAGGAACGTCCCTTCGCTTCCCGCGATCTACAACCTCGTATCAATCACGTGAGTGTATACCGCAGGGTGCACCCTCGTAGGAGAGGACGACCTTCCCGAGCACGTGGAACACGTGATCGTAAGGGCGACGATAAATCAGGCCGGACCAGAAGAATAGAAAAAGTTGCACCCGTGGGGCCTGGAAATGGAATTCCAGTTCTTGATAGCGCCAGAAATCCTCGACACTATCGCGTATAACAAAGCTCCGCCGCTTCGGAATCGTGCACGCAATTACAAATTGGCGATATCGAGAAGACACGGGGAATTTATCGGACACTGACGTGCGGCCGCAGTGGCGCGAGGAAATTCCTCGATTGATTGGTTTACTACGTCATAAAATCGATTTTCTACGACGTGCGTTGCTTGCTACGCCTATTACTCCATGAGATTGTGACGTGTATATATATATATATATATATATATATATATATGTGGGTCATTCCACGTCAAATCGGCCACTCCCTCGCCCAAAATTGTATTCAAGTAAATTTAACTTCCACGATACCAAAATTTAGCTTGAAGCATCTAGTTTTTATGCCGTGTGGCGATTTTGAAAAATGTTAAATAATGACCTTGGTTTTGTCAGTTATATTAAAAATGCTTCTTTCTCTTTTTACTACATTTCTGTGCTAGAATATTAACTAATTATCGTATTCTGCACAATTGCACATTTGGCAGTATTAATTATATTTTTTATATTTTATGAGAAAGCTTTCTGCGTTTATACAGGATTAATATTGTCTGTAGATTATTTTTCAAAGCCCACATTACTTTTTCTTTTCTGAATTTTTTAGGTTTAAGTTTTTAAAATTTAAAATTTTTCAGGCTTTTTAAGTTTGTAAATTTTTAGGGATTTTAAATTAAATTTTAAAAATTGTTATTATTTAAAATGTAAAATGTGGGGCTGAAAAATAATCTATAGACAATATTAATTCTGTATAAACGCAGAAAGCTTTTTCATAAAATATTACAAATATTGTTGAAATGTGCAATTGACACATAATGATATTATTTAACAATTTTCAAAATCGCCACACGGCATAAAAACTAGATGCTTCAAGCTAAATTTTGGTATCTTGGAAGTAAAATTTACTTGAATTCAATTTTGAGCGGGAAGGGAGAGAAGATGGCCGATTTGACGTGAAATGACCCATATATATCTAATATTTCTTGTTAAATTTTTCAACAATTTTACGAAATAACTTTCCAATTATTATTATTAATTGCAATGAATTTAAAATTACATTTTAAATTTAATTAACTCAAATATAAATATAATCAATTATAATTAATATAAATGTAATTAATTATTCAGTATAAATATTATTTATTATTTAATATAAACATAATTAATTATTTATAACTGTTTAATTTTATATATACACATACGATGCATATACGAACAGCTATGCCAAATTTTAATGTGCAGTAACCAAATAATATAAAATTATAAATAAAATAAAATTGATAAATTAAACAAAAATTAAAGAAAAATTGTAAAAATAATATAAAATTATTTAATTAGAGAGAATAACTAATATAACTCGTGTGTTCACTGTGAAACATAGTTAAGTGTCCTAAATACACATACACACATCATTGAGCAATACTAATACTCCATAAATTGCTATATTCGCAGTTGAGAATAACTGAGTTGCAAGACTATATATATTCTCTCCTTGCAGTAGAACAAGTACATCGCAAGCGGACCGTGGATTCAACTCTCTCTCACAGTAGAATAAGTAAATTATAGCCGGACCATATATTTCTTCCTTCTAGTAGAACAAGCACATTATATTCTCGAACCAATATAATCCGCTTTTCGATTACACACTCGCAATATTCCGATATGCATAGAATTCACTGTATCTTTCAGTTATAGAATCACCTGCTATATATAAATGCAATTTTTTGTCATTTTTATTTTTAACGTCGCTATAACGAAATCTAAGTAAATAAAGCAATGAAAGAAAATCAATATACATTACGTTTCATCCGTAGCTGTAACATTAAATAATAAATGTAACAGATAATAAAAAATAGATAATGTTGTTATAAACACGCTGTTAAGATAATTAAAAATGAAACGATATACCCGATGCATTTAAATAAATTACAACGCGATGGAGAAGAGACACATTTAGTAGTGAATTTCCGGTCTTCTTTCATCTCGTATTTTCTTTCTTTGTGTGTGTGTGTACATATGTATTCGGCGTACATTGAGAAGCGTTTAAGATACATAGCAAGTAAATGAGTTACTTCACCGCCGTGGGATGCAAAAGGCAAAGAGAAGGAGAGACTCTATTGATTAAAATCGAACATCTCAAAGTTATCGTCTCTGATGTTTGCATCGCGCTCGGCTTAACGCGGGAAACGAACTTCCGGAACGCGGGAAACAACGTTCCCGATGCCTGCGGTTCAGCGAGGCGTGTAAACTCGAACGAACCGAGAGAGAAGAGAGAGAGAGAGAGAGAGAGAAGGAGAGGAACCGATCGAGAACCCGACGACGGCCCGTCTCAAAAGAGAGAGTTACGATCTCTCCCGTTTCCCGCGGCGACTTGATTGATCGTTTCGCCATTCGAGGCGTGCCTTTATGCAAATTAAGCGGATCAAAAGACTCCCGCGCGGTAGTTTCCGTCTGAGCCTCGCAAAGTGGACGTAACCGAACGTCGGACCCTCTTCCTTCTTCCCTTCGATGCGCTGTCCCACGAATGCTAATGAAGGTCGTTTCTTTGTTGTTCAAAAATTCCAACAACGTACACTCATATATGTATCCCTCTCCGTTAAGTGTGTCGTATACATGTTAAGCGGGACTTTTTTTCGTAGCGTGCGATTTTTTTTTTTTTTTTTTTTTTTATTACAGCGAAAACTTTTGCGCGGAAATTTCGGAAATTAACATCCTGGTTAGAGGAAAAGGAGGAGAAATGTAGGCGAGATGAAAGGGATAGTATAAAAGATGGAGATTACGGCTATTAGCACGGTTCGAGAAAAACGCATCTTTTGGTGCACGCATGAGTCGTAAAATATAAATCAACGATATTGTTATCTTTTTTATAAAATCTCTTCTCTAATTCTCGTTCTTCTCTTTTAACGTTTCATTATGATGGTAATACAACGGTTAATAAAACGGGAATTTTATCGTACGGCCATTATGTCAAAGCGTAATTTATGTAGGATAATTTACATTTTAAAAAATGTAAAAAATAGGTGTCTGCGGGATAGTGCTTTTGTAGTTCATTTTTTTCTATTGTATTTTTCATTATGTACCTATACGTTAAATACATAACACAAGTGCATAAAATGTAAATATGAATTTGTGTACGAGATAAGTAGAGATAGAACTATACGGAAAGAATTTTCTTTTAGAATTTACCTGAAAATCATGATATGGTATCGGAAAAATTTTATAAGTTTCTCCGATTATAATTTATCACAATAAAAAATATTAATTTGCACACAGTCAAATCAATCGGACGTATTTTATGTCTTATTGCGATAGATATAATATTTTATATTGTGGTAAAAAAATATTAATATTAGAGAAACCCCAAGTAGAGCAAACTGATGTCATTAAATGTCAAAATGACGTCATGTTGCCATCTGGGACTCATAAAATTCATCCGATATCGTCCCATGATTACCATGTGTGATTGTCAGGATACATTGCGAGAGAAATTCTCTCTGTGTACAATTGCGATAGATATAATATTTTATATTGTGGTAAAAAATATTAATATTAGAGAAACCCCAAGTATAGAGCAAACTGATGTCATTAAATGTCAAAATAACGTCATGTTGCCATCTGGGACTCTTATAAAATTCATCCGATATCGTCCCATGATTACCATGTGTGATTATCAGGATACATTGCGAGAGAAATTCTCTCTGTGTACAATTGCGATAGATATAATATTTTATATTGTGGTAAAAAAATATTAATATTAGAGAAACCCCAAGTAGAGCAAACTGATGTCATTAAATGTCAAAATGACGTCATGTTGCC